GCCGAGGAAGAGCAGAATATCGTCCCAGGTTTCAATGAACCCGACACTCGAGGCAACGTCTAAGTTAATTCTCTCTCCAATTCCCTGAACAAAAAGCAATCGGACAGCATATCACCACTCGGTGGAGGAGAAAAAGTGCCTAGATCCTCTCGTGATTGGCCGCGGCCTTCGCATGCCAGCAGCAGCGGATGACCCGAGGCGGCCGGAGCGTGTTACATATAATTTTGAAATCCCTTTGCCTCTTGGGCCTCTCGGCTAATTGCGTTTTTCAACCAGTAGGAGATAAAGAGGAGTGTTGGATCGGATTTAATTGATTCCGACTGGAGGAGACGAGTGCATGGGTTAATTAAGAGGTTGGGTGGCGGGGGGCTGTGGGACCCATGGACAACTTTAGATTCTCGAAGTTTGTATCAATCAAATAATTGTAAAGTCGGAAGTCAAAGATTTATTATATCTCTTCATCTGGCAGCTTTCCGTTATGCGATTTGAAGATTTTGCGTGCTAAAAAACATAACCCTGAAATCGGCAACCTCGAAATGTTGAATTAAAGGTCACAACGTTGGAAGGCTGGGGTTTAAAACAAAAAAAGCCATCAGCTTGATAACGGGTATTACGATGAAAAAAACTCGACAGTTTATTTTCGAAATCACAATGCGATGTTGCCACGTTATTCCAATTTCCAAAGAATGGAAATAATTATCAAAAAATGAAAAAAGCACCCTCTAAATTTTTAAAATTTTTACAACAAATGGATTTTGAAAACAATCAAGACTCTCAAAAATAAAAACATTTTTAAAACCTTGGGACAATAGAAAATACGACCCGTAAAAACAAAAGCAAAATGTGGAACAAACTATTAGAGGCCACAACCATGAAAAAAAATTGAAAGTAAAATTTTTTTTTAAACTCCTACGGCAAAAAATTTCAAATTATCCAGGATAAAAATATACATCGTCATTCAAAAATAGTGCACTAACTTAACGGTACCTTATTAAGTTCACAAGTCAAAGTTCGAAAAAAATTAGAAAAAAACTCCTATAATTTAATGAAATGAAGACAACGATGGACAAAGACATAATGCCTACTTCCTTGATTATTTTGCGGAATGAATCGATTGATTTCATTGGATTAAAATATGGCCTAATAACTAAAAGAAAAAATAAACTTTGAAGGCATGTGTCTTCTACATTTGGGCCCAAAGATTAAAAAAAAATTTTTCTTTGCTCAATAAACACTCCTGAGTCATAGAGTTGGTGCCCCATTTCAGAATCACCCTGTATACGTTAAAATCTTTTTGAAAATTTTTAAAATCTTGTCAAAGACAAAATATAGAAAACTACAAGTGATGAGCATCCAGACCTCACGAAAATTTCAAATTTAAGCAAAAGACGTAATCTTGGAAAAAAGCTCTATACCTAGGAGAGGATACGAATTTTCAAAATTTTCAGGAAAAATCCCAAGATATTGTTGGAAAAACGGCATCCCAAAATGCAGTTAGCATTCGATACAAAATTAAAAAAAACGAATAAAAATTTATAGAGAAAAAATTTTGCTTTGAAAAAATATCAGAAAAAAAAATAGCATTTTTCGCACACTTTGAGAAAAAATATCCAAAGAAACAGTAATATTTCAAAAGAACTTTAAGAAAAAAATAAAAAAGCTGCGAATCTTAAAGACAAGTAACCTGTTAAAAGCACAAAATAAGATTAAAAATTTATTGAAAAATACTTTGCTATTACTCGTACTATTATTTCAGAAAAGTGAAATCTTAAAATTTAAAGGATACAAATTTCACAATCTTTACACGAATTTTAAAATTTGAAAAAAAAAATTGGTCTAAAGAGTTTAGACAGTACTTCCCTCGCTGTCGGAAACTTGACGACTGCATGCCTATTGTGTTTTTTTTCTCATTACATTTTTGTAGTGGGAATTTAAAAAAAAATTGCGATGACGTCATCAACATTTTTGCAAGGACACGTATATCAGTTGGGATAGATGTAGTGTAATACTAAGAATAAAATTATTATATTCTCAAATTTTCGGGAAAATGAATTGGGTCGTTTGAATATTGATTTGTAATAATCAATAAAATAACGAAACAATTTACTCACGTATACCTACGTATCAGAGGCAACTGAAAATCGTGTATGTATAAACATTCTTAATTTAAGATGACAGGCGTAACAGCATACGCGAGAGCCAAACAGAGAAACTGTAAACAAAACGACGGTCGGTTTTATTGCTTCGACTTCCGCTTATTATATAAAACATTGGGTTTTATTTTAATTCTTGACGGTGAAATTCACAATTGGTTGATTATAAACATGTCTATTTCACATTCGCGGAATCAAGTGAACGCATAAAACAAATGCAGGTCTGTAATGTTAAAGTCGATGTAAATAAGCGTGCTACCCTTATGTTTCAACCGAGTTTTTCCTTTAACAAATTTTGTGTCTACCAAATTGGGTTGGTTGGGGTGTAATACTAATAATAAGTGTTGCCTTTAATTTAATCAATAAAATAAATTGACTTCATTAATTTTTTTGAACCACCTCTTAAGAAAATCTAAAAAATATGAATGGAATGATAAATCACAAGTACAAACTCATCATATTTTTTGCATTTTAGATAGGATTTATTCAGCAAAATTTAAGGGTGACGTCATCAATTTTTTTAGGAGGGATGAACAAATACATTTTGAACAAAAGTTTACCATGCTTATAATAACTTTAAAATATTCCCAAGATTTCAAAGCATTCGGTTTTGTAATTCCTGATTAAATCGATAAAATAAATTCACGCCTTCATTAATTTTTTTGAGTCACCCTGCATATGCAAATCCAAAAATATGAATGGAAGGATAAATCACAAGTACAGACTCATCATATTTTGTACATTTTAGATACGATTTATTCGGAAAACTTTTGAGCTGACCTCATGAGTTTTTTGTAGAAGATAACCAAATATATTTTGACTAAAAATTTATTATGCTCTTTATAACCTTAAAACATCTGCAAGATTTCAAAGCATTCGGTTTTGTAGTTCCTGATTAAATCAATAAAATAAATTTACGCATTCATTAATTTTTTTGAGTCACCCTGTATATGCAAATCGAAAAAATTTGAATGGAATGATAAATCACAAGAAGAGACTCACCATATTTTGTACATTTTAGATAGGATTTTTTCAGCAAAATTTTGTGGTGACATCATAAATTTTTTAGGGGGGACGACCAAATACGTTTTGATCAAAAATTTACCATGCTTATGATAATTTTAAAATGTCTTCAAGATTTCGAAGCATTCGGTTTTGTAGTTCCTGAGTAAATCAGTAAAATAAATTTACGCTTTCATTTATTTTCTTGAATCACCCTGTATATGCAAATCCAAAAAATATGAATGGAGTGATAGATCACAAGTACAGACTGATCATATTTTGTAGATTTTAGATATGATTTATTCGGCAAATTTTCGAGCTGACGTCATCAAGTTTTTGGAGGGGATAAGCAAATATTTTTTGACTAAAGATTTATGATGCTCTTTATAGCCTTAAAACATCTGCAACATTTCAAAGCATTCTGGTTAGCAGATTAAAAATTAAATTTCAAAATGTTGTTTTATAATTTTGATTTTTTTTTCCAAAAATCTGGACGTTTCGGGTGAAAAGTCGATTCAGAGTTGTAAACTACATGTGTAGGACTGTTATTTTATACAATTGAAAACCCATTTACTATGTACAATTTTGAAGTGACGTCATCGCATTAGTGGTGGGGATGATTAGACAAATTTTGGTTAGCGTTTTACCATCTACATGATATTCTTAATATAAGTACAAAATTTCACAACAATCGGTCGAGTACTTTCGGAGATTATCTGTCTAATAAAAATCCGGGACGGCAGACGGACAGACAGACAGACAGACGGAAATGGGAGACCTATTTCTTCGTCTTCTAGGGGTCATGAAAGAGCGAGAAAACGTAAAAGTAGAGAGTCGGCCGACGGACTCGATTACAATACTTCCTTTGCTTACGCTCGGGAAGTAAAAACAAGCGAAGAGTGAAAAATCGAGTCTAATGCAGAAAACAACACGTTTACCACCAGGAAGAAGTGAGAGGAACACGCAAATATTTCCCCGACCTCGAACCTGTCCGAAAAATGTTTACAAACAGTCTGCGCCCCCTCTCCCAAGCCCCTTTCCACAGCATCTGTCAAAATGGCGTTTATGTAACACAATGAGCTCCGAAAACTACGAATCACTGTTCCGTCGGAGGGAGCAACAACCTGGAGCAAGGTTAGTGCACAAATCGCTAATGAACTTGAAACTAGCAGACAGTGTGCAGGAACTGTTACTGCTCCTTCTAACAATAAAGAGTAAATCACGCCGCCTCGGTGCACGTAAATTGTGCGTTTTTCAACTAAAATAAAGACTGCGTTCCATGACTAACACGTCTCGCGATCATCATATTCATGAGCAGCCATCGCCTACGAAAACACATAAAATCCGTCTTGGAATAAATCACGTGCAGCTAGGTGAAGATTAAGAAGGTACGAGATTATCATAACAAACCGCTCCAATTGGGAAAGTACGGCGAAATGCTCTTCTGGGAGAATCGTGGATGGGCGGAAATGTCTGTCTGGCATCTCGTTATCTGTTAAACTTAACAAACCGAATGCAGCAGATTATATAACTTCTTGTAGGACGAGATGCTTAATTCCTCTGACGACGACGACGACGAGTCAGCGAACAACGGTCAAGAACGAATTCATTGAGCCGCACTTACCGACAGTGCCACTAAAACAATGCAATTGGTGATAATCGCGCTTTGTTATCAAGTGATGACTTTGGAAATCCCAGATGTGCTATCCGACACGTCGGTGTGAATTTCATGCACGAGCAGAAACAATTAGTTAACAAATATGTGTATGCGATTGCGTAACGACATCATTTCCTCTCGTTCCCACGGCAATCCGTGCGAAAAGACGCGCTTGCGCACTCTTCCGTCCTAAGTGATTGTTTGATCTCGGCCCACTCGATAAAGCATTTACGATATTTTTAGTGGCAATCGAGCGTTGTAAATCCAGCTACCAAAACATCTCGCATGTTCGACACAACGCTACTCTTAATTAAATAAACCGCGTTGTAGTAAACAGTCCGGGCTCTTGATATAGAACATAAAATCGGGTTCGGGACTCGATGTGTAAAACATCTGCCACTTGAAAAGAAAAATTACGAGAAAAAATTGTAACGCCAGCTTTCGAGCGTTTCAACGCCTTGATAGAATTCAGAAAAGAGTTTCAGATGCCGGCTTGGAACGACCTCGGATTTATAAACGGAAACACATTTTACTTTTACGATGGGTGGCGGGCTGACGAATTCCGTGGAGGTAGCGAGGAAGAGGTGAGTCCGCGAATGAGTAATTTTCGAATTATCGGCGTAATTCGCGCGATTTTCAGGCTCGACTGGCTCCATTCATGGGTGGAGATGTAAGACAATGAGCGACGACCTTAAAAAAGCCCGCAGATAAGGCAATTATGCTAATGGTGGGTCGAAAATTGGGGTTTATGCGGGAGTGGGGTCTGGGTTATGGACGGTTCTAATAGTTTTACTATCATTTATCGTTTGATTGATGTTTGGAGTGTAAACTTTGCAAGAGACGTACATATTTGCGGAATCTTAAGATATGTTTGTTTAGTGTTTTCTTTATCGATTATATTTGTTTGTTGTGTGTTGGCTTTTGATACATTATCAAGAATGTGTAGGTTATTTACACAGAACTAAAATCCTAATTCAAGTGCTTAAAACAGTAAAGTTGAATCAGCTTTTTTTGCGATAAATGTTCTATTAACCCCCTTTTCTTTGTTAGCCCGTTATCAAAATTCTGAAAATCCACTACTCCTATGTAATTTCTGAGATAACTTGTAAAATTTGACGATTCAAACTTGATAACCCATATGAGTAAAGTCAGAACTATTACAAAACATTTAGACGAAGGGGCACGGCATATCATATTTTCAATGACGTCATCGATTTCTCGTAGGAGATGAACTCACACCAAACATTTAAATTATTTAAAATAAAGCCGGATTCAATCATGAGCACCAGCAGAGCAATAAAAGCTCTAAAACCCTTATTAGCTTGTAATAAAACGCTTCCGTTATTGATTCCATTGAATATAAATTTTTAATAACACAGCGCAATAGGAACGTATTATAAATAAATAACGAATTTAACTCAGAAAGTAATAATCGACAAAAATCGAAAAACACTGCCGTGTCATAAAGAGCACGGCACTTAAATATTCAATTTCGGTGAAGTTAAATATCCGGAATTTCCGCCAATACAATTTAAATGAAACAATATTGTTAGTTATTTTAGAGTTCATATTGTTAATAACATTAATCCTTCAGGCAACATAATCACACCTTAATAATGTTGTCGACATAATGTAACTTTTAACCCGTTATGTATACAAAAAGCGTCCTTTGTATGGACTACAACAGCTCAAAATAAACAAACCCGTGATTCACTGAAATCGCCAACAAAATGTCTAAAATCGATTACGCATTCCGACCCCACCATCACGGGAGGGGGCGGTGACATCGGAAAATTTTTAAGTAGTTCACTAGCAATAGACAAATCAATAAATTTGTTATTATTTTCCGTAAAATCAAAACGCCAAGGTTAAATTTTTATATGTTGATCCAGTCTGTAGAAAAGTTTGGTTTATTTAAGTTCGTATTGACAGGCAACAGTTGGTTACAATCTTATATTCTACATGTTCGACTTAAAGGTATTTTTGGACATCGTTTACACCGCCAAAACCCACAAAAATTTTGAAATCATGTAATGGAACGCATTTTGCAAAAAAAATCGAGTTGGAACTTAAAATTTTTACTTCCTATATTCCTCTACTAAGAGTGGTAAACCGCATTATCCATTACCATAGCACTACTGACATTATACTGTGGCAGCTTAGGAAAATGTTTTCCCGCAAACCATTTTTACTATCGCGGTATGAATGTTCGCATTCTTTGAAGATGGAAATAAAATCTGTGTATTCATTCATAAATTTTTCCTTGGCTTGAAGCTAACCACATCTCTGTTTCCGTTCTGACTTCATTACTTACTCACTATATTATAACATAATCCAGTTTTTTCAGAAATGTCCGTAATGTTGCTTTCTCGCTATAAAGAATAATCTGTGACTAATATCGACAGTAATAATATTTTTCAACAAAAATTGATGATTTATCAAGATAGAGAAGTTTAGTTTCTGTTGAATAGGAAATTTTTGTCAGCTACTTCAAATATTTTTTTGAAAACATCAAGTGACTATAATTATTTTTGTCAGGTTGGCAACATATTTAAAATTGAAATTGACAACTGTGCACTGACATGCTAACACTGCTGCCAATAATTCAAAACTGCCAACCCAAAAATTTTCTTCAACCATTAATAGTCACCCGCTATCAACTTAAGTACGTGTCCAATTATACATGTTTTTATTGTTACAGAAAATAGAAAATTAATTGAGAAGAACAAGAATCAAGGCTTCAACAGAAAAACATTTAATTGTTAGAAAGGCCACACGAACCAATGTGCATTAATAACTTTCTGCATTTTATGTGAATAAAATGCACATAAAAATTCCTATTCTTACATATAGCTCGATTTATAAAAATGTGTGTTCTAGATAAATATACAGTTTTAAGTATACAAAACGAGAAAATAGTTTCTCAACAACAATATGATAAATTGTGTACTTTTCCAAACCAAATTATGTTGTTACTGAAACCACAGCATAACCCGCACATTAGTATTCCATCCTGGCCGAAACCCCAAAAGAAAAAATTAAAATCCGTTAGGAAACTGTACTCTAATAAAACCCTTCCGTTATTGATTCCATTAAGAATAAATTTTTAATCATTCAAGGGAAACAAGATGATACTAAAACATTTAAAAATGTATTTGGACCAAAGGTAGAGCAACGATGACCCCAAAAACCACTTTTGAAGAACTATCATACATAAATTTGAGGGGAGCGAAGCTACGTCCAGTTTTATTGATTTGGAATGGCGCATAATTAAAAAATGACCAGTCCCGGAATACTAATAATTGAAAATACCGAAACGAGATCGTGAATACAAAGCGCACACACCACAATTCGGTGAAGGTGATGCCTGCTGACACAATAATATAACTTTTAACCCCTCGATACACGCAAAAAGTTTTCTTTGTGTGAGCTCCAACAATACCGTAATACGAGCGTGTCCAAAGTAATTTAAAATATTTTAAACACATTTTAATCAATAAAACTGTATTATACACGAAACAACAACTTAAATAATTGAATAGTGGTATCGATTCAAAGGTGGTAGTTTTTAAGGATGCTAAGTGGTAGTTTAAGACGTGCGGTAAGGTGAGATACAGGACCTAATTAGGCACGAGACCGAAACGCGGTGACATAATGCCGCTTTTAACCCCTTATACTCGCAAAAAGCGTCCATTGTCGGCGTACAATCAACAAACCCGCGACTTAACATCATTGAAATCACCGACAAAGTGTTAAAAATCGATGACGCATCCCTCGAGCAAGCCACCGGCGGCGGGGGCGGCGACAGTCGAAAATTTTTAATTCCTCCACTAGCGGCAATAACGCAATCGATAAGTTTAGTAGGCTATGCCATTATTTTTCCGGGTAGGCATGCAGAATCGGCGTAAAATCGCACGGCCCGGTCCCGGCCGGTAAGATGGCGGCGTTCCGTGCATCCATCCCTCGTAAGTAAGAAGAACAACAAACCTCGTATTTGATGGCGGCGAGCCGCAACCAGGACTCCACTTTGAGGCAGAAGGGCGAGAGCGACGGCAGCAGCGGCGTCCGCGAGAACTGGTACAGGTAGACCACGTCCTTATCGTAGTTGGCCTTGTGCACCAGCACCTTCGGCGGCGCCGGCTCCTTCTCCTTGGCGGCGTCGGCGGCGGCCGCCTCCTGCTTGGCGGCCTCCTCGGCCTTGGCGTCGGCCGCCGGCGCGTCCTCCTTGATCTCCTTCGCCTCGGCGGGCGGCGCGTTGTTCTCGACTTCGGTGGCCATTCTTGCGATTCTCTGCTTTTCTACACTGAACACGCACACACGAGGAAGTGCTACGACACGACTGTGCCTGTGCTGGTGCTGCCACCGAACAGAGCCCGAAGAGTCGGCGGGCGGGTCGTGACGTCACTAGCAAGCGACGCGCTCACCCCCACCCCTCGCCGCCCCGTGCCTTGTTGCCATGCACATGCAGGGCCCCACCCTTGTGCCGGTGCCGATGTGCATTTTGTGGACGTGGACGTTGACCCATCTCGATGGGTCGCTGCGGAAGTGAGGCACCCACGGTGGGTGAGGCGCTTAAATGGGGCGTCGCGGCGAGGGGGCGGCGACTTCGGGGTGGCCTGCGAAATTCGTCCAAAAACCGACAGAGGGCTTTCAAAAAATTTCACCAGCCACCTAAAAAATTATAACAGGTTTTACAAAATCTGTAAATTTCGGAAAAGGTAAAAAAACAAAAGTAGCAAAGACGCGAACCTTCGGCGCAGGATTCAACCGCCGACAGATGGCGCATAGGCATATCATCAAAAAAGCGCCTATTTTAAAAACAATCCAAAAACCTGTCACTATTTTCTGTCCATTCCTTCCAAAAATCTCACGACGTCATAAAAATGTCTAGTAAAACTCGCTCGCTCTTTCATAATCCGCCGCCGCTTTTAAATTTACCTGTACCGGGGTAAAAAATGGATAAAGCGTGCATATTAAATTGAAAGTAATTGTACATTTTCAGCGGCGAAAGAATTAGCCCCCAGACCAATTAGCACACAGTAAACTTTTCATCCGCTGCTCCATTCCACCTTATCAAACGAAATTACTCCAAGTAACAAATTACTTTATCCGAATAAATTTCTCTCTATTTGCTTTCGCTTGACAAATAAATTCGTAATGTTTGTCCACGGGAGCACGCTTCTAAATATAGAAACAACATCAGATAACTTCATTTAATCTTATCACGCTGAAGAAACAAATACGTCACTGGCAACTGTAAAATTAATCAACGACCGAGTCGTTGTCGTAGGCCCTTGATTTTATTAAAATTTAAAGATCGCGTGTTTTAAGGTCATTCTCGACGTAAATCAGGGACGACCTTGTTTGGTTTAATCCTTCTGATGTCCTTCATTGACACCTGTGCGAAACTAAACGACGTAAATTGCTAAAGCGGAGATCGTTAATGTTGAAGTAGGGTACCAGGAGAATTTTAAAGTGGATTGAGAGCAAGTGGAAGTTCGTGTAGCGTCGTGGAATGAAGATGGTTTCGAGCTTTCCGATACGTTGCGTACTAGTTAATTGGACTTTTACGTCTAATGACGGAACGATGTGATGTCTTGAGGTTTACAGTTGCTAAACAGAAACAAAGAAACGCAGTCATTTTTGGCATAATAAACCATCGCATACCAAGTCTTGAACGAGACTTTTATTCTACAATGTTCACAAAGTCAATTTTCATATTTTAAACTATGTGGGTGGTGATCACTTTCACTAAACAATAACATATTTACTAACGATATACAGAGTTAATGTTGAACGATAACTAGCAACAAATACAATAAGGACAACAAAAATTAAGTTTAGCCACACTTTTAACTACTATCCTTACAACGCTATATTTTTAAACTGTCCGGCTTCAGGCAATTTGTAAATGTAGTCCGATTTGAACAAGTCGTACAAAAGCTTTGTATTGACGCTTTTAATGACACTTCTAAAACAAAAACAAGCAATTAAATTCGAGACAACGCAAAACTTTAAAGCAAAAATTTTAGTCTGTATTTGGAATATGGAAAAATCCACAAAGTGAATTTTCCATGTTTCAGTAAAACAACATGACACGAGTTCCATGCACTTAGCAGATTATTGCCGGTATATAGAAAATTATTTTACCCTTCAAAATCAAAAATTCCAAATTTCTCTAAATTTTTCAAAGTGTCGCCGAAAACAGTTTTGAATTCCTCCGGAACATTCTTATATTTATACAACGTTCCCACGATATATCTAAAACAATATATGAAACCTTCAGTGACGACACTGGAACAACAAAACCGGTCCATTTAATTGCCCACCTGATTCTATACAAGTACATCGATTGGCGAACATCAAATGGTGCGAAAATGCTATCATTTTCGCCTTTACAGTAGCAACAACGAAAATTGCCGTGAATGTAACTATTATCCAAGTACCCTTGACACGGTGTATGATATCGCCGCTTACACATAGAGCAAGCAATATCGTCAACTTGACACGAATCCATCGTTGGAAGTTTACATGGACAGTCAACGGCATCGTCTTCGTCGCTCGAAATGTCTAAAAACAATGCAATTTTCAATAAAACACACGTTAAAATAAAAAATGTCGTACCGATGCACGCCGACATGTAAGTATCGTTCAGTGTCTTATTATGATCGTTCTCCTTCTTTCCTCTAGCTTTTCCGTTCTCCGTTTCTTCAAGAAAATCCTCCTACAATTTTGAAACAATTATTCTGGGTCGATTTATTTTTTGCGGGAAATTTAACTTCGAATTTGCGTGGCGCGAAATTCAAACTCTCGAATCTGATTGGTTGATCGGTCAGGTTCAAGAAGTCAGTTTTCCCGCCATGCAAAACAAAAGTAAAGTTTGTCCAGAATTATAAGAATTTTATGAACTCCCAACGTTAATTTGTTTCACAGCTCAGGCGTCAATTCTATTGTACAGGTAAAGAGCCTGTCAGGGGAAAGCCGATCTTTTCTGTACCTGAGTTCGCCCCGCTCTTCAGCTAAACAATAAAACTGACAACAGGGCTGTAAAAGAAATTAATTTTGGGAGTCCATAAAATTCATATAATTCTGGACAATCTTTAAGACTTCTAGTACCGTAAAAATGTCGTTGTTGGTGACTGTCATACCAGTCACACCCGATGGATTTTCGTTTACTTTCGATTCCGCTTCTTCTATGGCTTCGTTCACCTCACATTCTTCGTTACTCGGTGTAGGGGTACGATTGAAATTAAACTAAAACATAGCCAAATTGAGTTTTTCCTGAATCATCTATGACTCACTCACAATATCCCCCTTCCCACGACATTTCATCATATGGAAACCCGTAAACAAGGTCCCTATGATAACTGAATTTCCTCCCTTGTCTATCTTTTTCACGAAACTTTCAGATTCATCAATGTTGTGAAATCCCGGAGGTTCGTAGTCTTCGGGTGTGTCTAAAAATGGAAATTGCCTTTAAAAATTTACCAGCAGTTGTGACCGCGCTACTGAAACGCAATCCAAACGTGATTACCCTTTATTAATATTGAAACTAATCTACTTAGTGCTTACCATCGAAATACGTAAACTCGACTCGGATCTCTATTTCCGCGTCGAACTTTTTGTGCTTTCCCAACTCTTCCAGGGTTCGCAGCAATTCGCAAGTGCTTTCAATTAAATTTTCTCCGCTTTGAGCCGACTTCTGCTCGTCGTTTTCGGCGTATTGGAAGGAAAATTTGTAATTTTCGATAACGTCTCCCGAGCTTGTGTCGATGATAAACAAGAAAAATTCGTGCAACTGGAAATTTACTCGTGTAGCATTTATGCGTTGGTTTTTTTATTCGGAAAAATTACGTAATTCTTGTCTATGGCATCTTTACATGCCAACATGTAGGTGTGGAAGTTGCGGATGAAAATGTTCTTGGATTTTGATTTGAACGATCTGTACGTAATCTCCTTGAATTTCTTGGTAATAAATTGGTTTTCGTCGATACTGAGACGGTGATATAAAATATTTATTGCGGTTGCCTTTAGCATGGTGTTTATGTAGCGCTTGGACATGGTGTAGGACTTTACGGCTTTCTTGACGGTGGAATCTGTGAGCGTCTGCAAAAAAGATACACAATAAAACGACAAATATTTCAAATACAAAGTAGTTTGGCGCAATTTGCCATTCTAATTTTGTGTTTTAATACGACTCGGTAATTATGTACATGTTCTAGTGATAATACGCAGAAGTAATGTTGGTCACCTGTCGTCAGAATCAAAATATAATTATGTTTAAATTCAAAATACCAGACATAGTTTTACAAAACGTACAGTCTTGCTTTGAAATGGTGAATCGGAAAAGGTGAAACATCCTGTATAATTATTAAAGTGCACAGCGCATCACCAAGGTTTGAATTTACCGCCAAAATGGTTATTCGGACACGTCAAAACGATCGCTCGTTGCTGAGTTTGAATTTTTCAATCGAATAGTAATTTCAGAAAAAATAAAAAAAAAACTGGTTTTGTTCAGGAAGGGATGGTTTCGGAAGTTTATTTATTATTCAATGTAAAAAAAATCAATAAAACGCGATCATTGTATGTGGTACCATCTTTCGAGCCACAGTCAAGTTAAAATCGCCACCTGCAATACCGGCCGAACCCGCAAATCTTCGAAAAGCGAAAATTTTGGAATCCGCTCGGTATAAAACCGCGCATTTTGTCACAAAAGCCGTAAAACTGACTTTTCCACACTTACCATACAAACTACGCTGTCTCTGACTTTAACTGTAGCCATTTCTGGGCTTTTCGAGTGAGTGCAAAGCGGCACTAAATGACACAAAAATTATCAAAATCGCATCGCGTTACCAGTTGCCGGTTGTGTCGAATTTTACTGCCAACTTACAAATAAAAAAACTTTTTAAAAAATTCTTCAACATTTATTTGAGGGCAAAACGGCTTTGTACATATTGCAAAAACGGACTTTAATAAACCTGTACACTCAATCCACAACTAAAAATAAATACATTTATTGTAATTTGTGTTTTTCATCAACCACCATAATCAACATTGCAACTGTCAACAAATGATTAGTTTATTTCACATCACACTGTTGTCCTGTTGGAGTCTCCAGCCAGTTTATCAACTAACTAAAACATTGGAGCATTATTCAAGCAAAATTTGTAAAGATTTACCAATACTTTGGAAAGTCCTGGGAGATTTAATACGGTTCCTAATACTGGCACCCTTCGGAGAAAGTTTATGGCTACTGGGAAAAAACCACTGGAACAGAAACAGTGACAAGGTGGCAAAGATAAATGAAGAAATTACCTAAATAATAACACGAATCCATATGTTTCGAATAGCATTCCCACCAAAGGCCACCCAACGAGCACTATGATAATGCCGCCGAAGAAGGCGATCGACGCTTTTATTTTGTGCCTTTGGAAAAAAAATCTAAATGTTCGTTCTAACCCTATTACACACGCCAGACCGGCTATAAATAATATCTAGAAAAAATACAAAACACACAGGTGTTTACCAACGTCTCGAGATAAACTTACATTGCCTAAAGCCAAAAGGCTCTTATCAAACAGTAGTATCACCCCCAAAAAGAGGAAAAACACTCCGAAGCCAGCCAGGCCAACGCCGATTTCTGCAACACGCAAATTAGTTGAACAAGCCTCAACATTTCAAAATCTTACTCTGCGTATCCGAAACCTCGAACATTTTCGACTACTTCTAAACAGCGATATTTCGTAAATTTTAAATTTAAATCTTCAGGGACATAACCTCACAAAACACATCCACGTCACTCAAAGTATGTTGGAATTTTTTTTATTCTACTTAAGTAATTCTTGACTAATAAATGTCACAGAGTCATCTGCTTACGGCTTAATTTACGTACAACACACAATTTCTCAATTTATCATAACAATATTTGTTTTTGATCTATCATTTTCTTGTGTTTTTGGGCTGGTGGTTTGGTTGGCTTTCTGCCGAGGTAAAAAGAGCGGCAAATTTAAAATCAGTTAATTACATGGTTTAATTAATTCACTTTCGTACAAACTAACGGGTTATTTTAATGCCTCGACACACGTATTGACACACTTTCAGCGATATTAATCCCACACACGCTATTAATATGCCAGAAACAACTATACATTTATAATTACGCCGCTTCATCTGTTTGGTCAACATCTACAACACACAAAATTTATTATCTACTATTATTATTCTCTTGTGTGTTACTTTTTCCTCAAATTCCTCTAGCTGCGTCCCTAGGGATTTCACACTATTTTCTAAACATTTCGTCGCTGGAGACAACCTCACATCACAGACAATCACATCCTGCCTACTAACAGCAATAGACAAAGCCGCTAGGTGCTTCGTGAGATGAACAGAAGTCTGCGCCAACACTGACAATACGTATGTTTGATCAATCAAGATGTCCACGTGCTTCCTAAAATTGTATTTAAAAAAAAAATCAAAACAAGTTCAAAACATACTCGGCTGGAATCTGCAAGTTTGCGGCATGAGTTAAAATGGAAATCCTCTTCTCTACTTCTTTGATACCCATAAGTTTCAAATCATCGTCACATAGGATTTTTAAAGTGAAGGCATCAATTCCGAATTGCTTGAAGAGGTGCGAGTATTCTTGGGCGTCTGATGTGCACAAAACGGTATCTAGAAGATTCATGGCGGAAATTAAAAAGTAAACTAGAATTTATTGTCAACAAGGGGCACTTTTTGTTTAGATTGGCATAACGAGAAACTAAAAATTTGCTTTTTTTGAATTTTCGAGGTTACATTTGACAGAAGAATACGCAAGTGTCAAAAGCAAGTAACGAGTTATGCAACACACAATACACTGGCAGGAGGAAATTGAAATAGTTATGTTTTTGTCTAAAATGGATATTCTAATATACAGTGTGTCTCACATAAAAGCTCGTGAAGTACGGACCCAAATTCACAAAAGGTTATTGTTTTTTTTGCGTAAACAGAGAAACTTGATAGATATTTTAACATAAAATTGTAGATAAATAAAATAAATAGGTTTGGAAATAAAAATGTTTGTTTTTTTTTTTAATAAATTTTACTAAAATAAAATAAAATCTTTCGATAAACTTAATTCCTAGTACTCCTACTAGTGTTACAAAATCTTAACAATGACGAAAGTGCATACATCACCTCTTCACAATTGGTGCTAAGACCGACTTCCTACATGAAATGCACATTTTTACAACAACAATCAATAAACACCGGATATTCATCACTTGAAAAAGCGTGTAAGAAAGGGTTAATTTTAGCCCCTGAACTTTTAATTGATATACGAATGGTACTGTTGGCGCCAGGTGCAAATAATCTAGCTAAAGATATCTTGAAGGTGTTCACCGTTCTCCAAGCTGTTAATTAGTCACTAGTAACAGAACATGCAAAGAACTAAGTTCAAATGTGCTTTGGAAATTAAGCTTTCTAGTTCGTATTGATTTGAATTAGCAGGTAACACGTATCCAACGTGTAAGCTTCGATATTAATTAACTAAATACCGCAGAGGGTGAAATGGTAGACGCAGTGGTGTAAAAAATGTAAGTTGTTTTGTAGTTATTATTTAAGTTTTATGTAGCATTTGCGAAAATTTGTAAGTTTATACATGAAAATATATTAATTTACGAGTAGTTACGGTCAACATCTCATCTGGTTATATGGTCAATAATTTTTCTTTTTACTAGTCCAGGGGGAGTTATTATATCTTGGTTCTCTTTTGTACCATACGAATGACGATAATCTACAGCCGTATTGTTCTCATTGGTTAGTTAATGCCGTTTTTCATTGTAGTCGAGTTTGTCAATGTTATTTTTTCTTATTTTCATGTTCATTTTATCATAGTTTTTTTTTTTGGAATTTACAAAGTAAATACGCCTTGTCCACTTGGTGGGCTTTTTAGTTATTTATTATTTGTATTCCATAATTTCCTAAACTTTGATTACACTTAGATTATTACAGATTACGATAAATCCGACTGAAATACCTCACATGTAAATATTGCACTTGTGAGACACATATTTATTTTATTTTATCTTTGAAAAATACCAACCTGTATGAGTAGAGTCTATTAATATTGTTATTATTGCTTTACCGATGTTAGTACCTATTGTAACATTTGTTATGATGTAAAATTTATTCAAAGGCCTTTTTTCTGCCTACTTTAAATTCCGTTCTAATAATAAAGACCGAGTTTACATTTATGTAACATTAACTCGCATGTTTTTCGTTCCTCGTGCCAGCCAGGGATTTGCATGCTCAACAATCCCAAAGCTCACATGCGATGCTACTGTAGATCAATTTTAATTATTCATTAGATTCATGAGCAGCAGTTGAGCAAATTGCTCTAATTATTAATCCCGGAGATATCTGCATAATTTTTGCATTTGGACGATCAACCGCCCCCGATGAAAATCCGACACCACCTCGTTCAAACTTTCAGTTTAAACTTTAATGCCCCTTTTAACAATTTCCGATTCATACCCGCCCCGAATTTCAAAAATAAAAACCAGAACAAATTAGTAACGATTTTTGTTGTCAGAGCTTGATGATATTAAATTGCCGTTAATGTGCGTGATTTTGTCATATTAATGAAATGAACCATGGAAACCACGGGGAAAATCCCCGATACCGCCAGTTCCGACCAATACATTAAAGTATCTTATTGAAAAAGCCATCGTATAATTCAATTTGTCGACGATCCGTTCGAGATTAGTACAACGGTTCTGGTTTTCGTGATGGGACGACGAAACTTCCGCATTTGATCGCTTTCTTTGAAACTAATAATTGCTAGCTGGAACTTATTTTTTATCCGAAAGTGAGGCAGTGCGAACATGGCTGACGAAGACACCCTGAATAAGGTAACTTAATTTATTCGTTTTGTAGCCTTAATTATTCGTTAAGTCGGTTTTGCTGGGTGTATTGTTTTGTCAATATGACAATGAGCCATTACTTACATGAAAAGTGGAAAGGAGACAAGTTTCATTCCGGATTTATTTTATTCGGCAGTAAAAAGTAACTGTAATGTGGATTTTTTTTGTCTAGTTCGTTTTTAATAGAACCGGCGCATCCACCAATATTACTTCAGCGGTGAAACTATTTTTTTTTTGTTATTCGTCGACGTTTATTGTGCGATTTTAATCTTTTAGCGGGGTTTACGGTATCGTAAATATATTTTCCATAAAATAAGCAAGCGCCAGATTAATGTAAAGATTTAATTTTTTATCACATATCACTTCGACAGTAATATTTATGGAATGTATTACAAGAGGGTTAATGTGACGAAAAGTCAAAATTTGTGTTTTTACACTCTCATAACTCATAGAATACGAAAACACAAGATTCCCGTTTCCGCCCGTTAAGTGGAGATGTTTTAAACGAATAATTTCCAGAATTGTTGAATAATCTCCTGAACGTTTATTAAAATTTTTTTATTTATCCTTCTCAGAAAGTTGATTTTCCCAAAAATATTATATAAATAAAAAAATCATGATCCATGTTGTTAATATGGAAAAAATTAATTACTTAGTCTCATCTACAGAAGCTGCTGAAAAATAATGAAATTTTTGCCCATAACTCAGTGAATTGTGTGTTGCATATGTTGAATTTTTTGTTTAAAGTAGATATCGTACTAGAAGAAAAAATGATGAAAAATGATTCTAAAATATTGTGCTGTAAAGCAAATAAAGTCTAATGACAAGTGTGCAAGACAATGAAATGTCTTTTACCACCACATTTCACTTGTAATTGAAATTTTAATAAATATTTTATTAGTTTGTTTATGTTTTTATTATTTACAACCCACATCTAAAAGCGATTTTTGTGTTTTAAAAATTATATAAATTATTTTGAACAAATATATAAATAATATATGCAACCAATTATATCCATAGCTGAACCACACGTGACGACAATCTATGAACGGATTTTTTAAAGTTTTGGCAGTTTTGGTTCTAAATAAAACTTTTCAAAAAAAAAAAAACAAATAAATGCAATACAAAGATACAATTAGAATATCAAGTTACAAATTTTACCAAAGCCAGGCAATTAAATGTCGGTATTTTTTCAAGTTCACGTTCATGATCACATTTCACTTGCACTAAGTAATTGAAATTTGAATAAATATTTTATAAAATTACTATAGTGTTGCGACTGAATAGACAGCCGGAAAATATTCCGTTAAATATCCGAACTTATGTATTAAAATAATTACGAAGCTTTTTATTTCTCATTTAAAACAGATTAACAGTATTAAAGAAAAAAGTAAGTAGAGTGATTCAGGAACAGAAGAAATATTTTTGGAAGTGGAGACTGATAATAAGGATTGTGAATTAGCCGATGAAAATGAAAGTTCAGACTGTGGTTCAGATGACACATACTAAACTTTTGAATAATGTTGTAATAATTTTAAGAATTATATTTTTCTTCAAGTTCTTTTATGTGTTTTAAATTTTTGATAAATTGCGGCTTAAAATCCTAATTTTTAACTGGATAATTGTCAGGATCAATATCCAGCTATTAAAGCTATTTTCGAAAATAGCATGCTTTTTAACAACATTAACTTGCTAGCATTTTCATTAATATTTTTTAAAATACTTACCTACTCAGGGATTATTATATAAATATGCAACCAGTTATACACCAGTTCAAACATGACAATATATGAATAAAACTTCTAAAAATATTCTTTCATATTTTCGTTCTACAACCCAAACAATTTCTTTGGTACTAAATGTGAAACAACAAATATTATTGTGGAATTAACATTGTCAGAATAACAAAAAATGGAAAAATTAAAACGAAGTGTGGAGAGACAACAAAACGGAAAATGAAAATGTGGATTCTTAAACAAAACAATTATTTAAAAAGAGGTACCTATTAATTTGTTTAAAGAAGCAGCAAAACAAAAAAAAAAATCGCCCCTTGAAAACAGTTGATGATTAAAATATACCAAGTGTTCCAGATTGTAAGTTAAGGTATCTGTAAACCAAATTTAATGATAAGTTTAGTATAACATTAAAAAAATGGAACTGAAAAGTCTTACACTCCACTTTTTATGATACATCGTAAGAAAAATATAAGAATACAATAATTTTAGGAAGTTAATGATAATAATAAATAAATTATAATAAGAATTAATGAATGCAAATGCAAACAATGCAAAAATTTGGAACACAACAATTTTATGACATCCCAATATAATCCATACGTCAAACAAACCATAAAAGTGTGAATATTGACGCAACATCTTCGATCAAACGATAGTTGCCTGGAAACAGCACATTTTTATATAATTCAGTAATATCGGTGATCTTATGTGACACAGATTTCCCAAAAATTAAAAAAATATTCAAGTATGTCGGAACAACCCAAAAAACCCAGCAAGCTGGGCGTAATAAAGGGCCTGCGAAGATTAGCGTTGGCCAACAGGTCCTTAAGCGAAAAGTCCATAAACGTAAGTAAAATAAGTAGACTTTCAATCAATAGCTCTTTTCCATAACCGATTTTTAAAAAAATATTTTATACTTGTATCTGTGTCAGGCAGTCTGTCGACTTTCGAGTCGCTATCGCCAGGAAATAATCCAATTTCCGGGCAAAAATTAATTTGAAATTCTAATCCACAGAGCTTTCTTTCCAAAACTTCCTAAAAAACACGCATATGTTATGTTAACTACTTCTCTTACCCTACACGCATGATCTACTCATTACAAAAAAATCTCAAATTGAACAATTTGTACAACCCTCCACTTCAACTTCTAGTCCTCGTCTGCGACTCTTCGCCCCCACACCTCCCCTTAATTAACAGCACCCACAATCCCTCCCCCGCCTCTCCCCCGCGAAATAAATGAGTTTCCTTTCTCCTGCCATCATTCATCATTAACTCCGCCGTTAAAAGCCCCAACGGGTCCCATCAATCCCAACAATCGGACTTTTTTACCGAACGTCACGTGTTGTGCACTTTCGCCACAATCTGGCCATAAGAGCCATTTATAAATAACTGGTGCCAGGAACCCCGGTGTTCTTCAGGCACAATTACACCACACTTCGCACTGAGCGTAACCATAGGGTGACATGAAATGCGATCGCGTGCCCTTTGCCTAAATGAACTGGCATTATTTTGTCGTTGCAAGTAACCACACTCGAGACAGTCGTCTTCGGCGGGCTAAAATGAGCACTCTGTCCTAGCTCTCCGAAGAACAATGTTCGTGTACGGGCCGCAGGGCCACTACTCCTCGGACTCGGAGTCCGAGTCCGAGAGCGAGTGCGACCCGGAGGTGATGCTCATGGTAAAAAAACGGGCGAAAATTTCTTGGAGTTGGTGTTTTAAGTGTGTCGTTTTTCAGCGCCGGCGGGAGGAATGCGAGAGGAAGGCGAGGAGGGGCGAGATGGACCCACGTCTGGAGTTCGCCTTCCAGCTCCTGATGGACGGGACGGGGTTGCCGAGGCACGAAATCATGGACCACGTGTTCGAGGGAGACATGGTATGTGAATTTTGGTGGTGGAGCTAGGCCAAAATTTTCTTTCCAGCTGGACGAAATCAATCAGTTGTTTCTTCCTCACATGAAGAGCAAGCTGATGTGGTTTTACCAGGACGTGGAGGAGACAGAAGTGGTGCCAGTGATCGACCCCAATAAACCTAGTACGAGCAGGCAGGTCCAACCCAGTACCAGCAGACAAGCTATTCTCCAGCAGCTGCTCCCCACGTACAAGAAGAAGCTGTTTTTGACGGACGGCTGGGATGTTCCTCTCACCGGAATCTGCATCTATATTTTTAGGACGAACACGACTAAGCAGCTCCCCGAAGAAGGCTTCCACAAGGTAGAAAGTACGATACTTAGTAGAAATGGGGTTACTTTCAAGGACGTTACTTGATTGGCTATTCTGTTCGTAGCATGTGTTTTGATTGGCGAATTCAAGCCCCGCCCTCACGTAGCAAAGCGAACGGGCGTGGCTTAGACATTCTAGCCTCACTTATTCCATTATTTCCAGGACTTATTCTGCGGCATAATCGACGCCCAGCGAATCGGTTTAATAACCACCGTCGAGCGCATCATCGAGCACGTCTTCATGGAGGCTCTCGCCCACCCCAGCCCCGACTGCGAAGACGACGCCGCCAACTGCCCCATGGTGAAAAACCAGCTTCTCCCCAGCCTCCGGTCCTTCTGCAGCGCTTTGAAAGGTAAACCCCAACTTTGGGTGTTACACCCCCCAACTCCGAATTTTTCCAGTTTGCGAAGAAGTCTGCAACGAAGGCAACCTCTTCGACGACGGCGGCTCCACCATGTCTATCCTCGACACCGAAGAAGTGAACGAAATGTCGAAACACCCCGAGAAGCTTATAGTGTTGGAGGACCGCGTCAAGTCGTGGTCCAAGCGCCTGACCGAAATTCTCAAAGAGAGCGAACAAGTGAGGAGGGAGAACGACTCATCGGGACCTCAGGACGAGCTCGAGTATTGGAAGAAGAGGGGGGCACAGTTCTCGCAGATCTCCAACCAGGTGAACTCCAGCGAGGTGCAGATGACGATTTTGTGTCTGCGGTTGGGGCACTCGAAAGCGTTGAAGGAGTGGTCGGAGACGGATAAGAAGATCACGTTTTGTTACAACGAAGCTAAAGATAACGCCAAGTTTATACAGGCGTTGGAGAAGAATTGTCATTCGTTGTATTTGGACGACCCGGTGAAGATGAGAGCTTCGATTTTGGGGTTGCTGCAGACGGTGCGTCTGATACATAGTATCTCTCAGTTTTACAACACTTCGGAGAGGACGTCTGCGTTGATGGTGAAGATCACGAACCAAATGATCGAGACTTGTAAAGAATACGTGACGTGTCGTGGTCAAGAGACCATTTGGTCACAAGATCGTCTTATGGTCAAAGACAAGCTCACCCACTGCATCATGTTGAATAAAGTCTACCGCAAAACTTACACTCTGGTCAAGAACCAGCCCTTCATTCCCGGACAGCAGTCCTTCAACTTCTCCGAAAACTACGTCTTCGGGAAATTCGACGCCTTCTGCAGACGCTTGAGTAGAATAATCTCCATGTTCGATCTAATCGACGACTACAACAGCTTGTTCCAAAGACGCATGGAGGGGTTGCTTCTAGGAGACGGTAACCACCTCCAACTCTATTTTTAGGCACTCATTTCAATTCGTAGCCTTGGAAGAAGCCATGCAGAACTTCAACGAAATCAAATCGATAGTGATGAATAAAACATACGACTATCTAGATCAAAGAAACGCGGAATTCAATGCAGACTTTAGGTCGTTTTTGTCGCACACCGACGAACTAAAAGAGAACATCGGGAACAGCATCGAAAGGAATTTCGATAGCGTCTGGGAGACTCCACAAGGCATCCGTTTTCTGACGCGCTTCGAAAAAGTACTTTTCTTCGTAGTTTTGCTAACTTTGACGCCAGTTTTTCACAGGTCAGCGAAAAGATTCCTCTAACCCGGATGGACGACAAGTACGAACGCATCCTCAAGTACTGCGAGAAGGAAGTCGATCGCATTATCAAAATGTACAAGAAGCAGAAAGACGATCCGCCGGTGCCTATCATGTTCCCACCGATAGCTGGTAATTTCTTGACCAAAAATAGATTAAAAGGTTCATTTTGATACAACAGGACGCATCAAATGGGCGAGGTCTCTATTGTGTCATTTAGACGAACTACTGTCTTGCGTGACTACGCACCATATCTTGAGGAACCTCCCAGCGACCGCGGAATTATCCAGAAGACATAAAGCAGCTGAAACAACCCTAAAGTCGTACGAAACGGATATGGTAGCCATTTGGATGAATCAACACGTAATCATGTTAAAAGTCTTGTAAAGTGTCGTAAAATTTTATTTCTAGATTTGCGACGTCGATAATTGTCTTAAGCGGAATCTACTGGCGGTGTGTCCCGAGCAACAGCGCATCAAAGTCAAACTGCACAATACGATTCCGTTGCTGATCCGGGAGACGGATCTGATGCTCAAGATGGACCTCCCGGTACCCATGGTCGCTATGACTCTGTACTGCAAGCAGGAGCACTTTAGCTTGATTAAGGATCATCTCCAGGTAACACCCTTCTAAGGCGCATGTTTGTCAGTTCGATAGCGTTTTGGTACAGTTCCTGATCGAAGACCTCCTGACGGTGGTCCGTTCCGTCAAGCTCGAAGTCCGCCCCCTCTTCCTTCCCCATCTGGTCAAACTCACCGACATCGTCGCCGAAGGCATGCACAAACTCACTTGGGTGTCCTTGGACTGGAAGGACTTCGTCGACAAGTCCAACGACTCCATCAAGCGATTCAAAATTTTGACCGAGAGAGTCCACGATGTCTACACCAACCGAGTCTTGGAGGTCCTCAGTCTCATGCAATCGGTGCAGCTGCACGCTTTACCCGAAGTGGACGACGGCCCCTGGACCATCGACGACTTCTGCGACAAAATGGACGAAGTTTGTAGAACTGCAGCGACGGACCTCCACCGCAAGAGCCTCATGGTGGAGGAAGCCGTCGAGGAGATCCTCATGCTGGTGCGTAAAGCGCGCATCGACTGTCCGTCGCAGAACGACGAAGACATCTTCTCCGAAGACGAGGCGGAGCAGACCGAAGAGAGTGGGTCGACACAACAACAGTCGGACTGGAGTTTGGTGTGGGAGTGTTTCGAGAAACCTCATTTGCTTTTGAGTGGGGGGATGTCCAAGGCTATGGAGGATATGGTGAAGGGGGCAGTGAGCGAGATGAGGAGGTACTACAGTCGGAAGGTGGTGGATGTTCTTGTGAGAGTGACCAGGCAGTCTTTGGAGGCTTTACGAAGACGATTTGCTGTGGAATGTAGGTGGTCAGATTTGGGTGGTTGGAGGTACAGAGATTGTCGTAGATCACTCGGAGAGGACGCCCGTTTTTATCCTGAATTCGGTGTTGTTGATACCGAAAGTGGCCGTTCAGCCGAACTTGGAGGAAGTCCAAGATGTGTTGAACTTGGCCGGGAAGAACATCACCTCTGTGTCGAAGGGTGTTGGACAGTGGATGCGCGGAAAGCCACAGGTGAGCTCCAATCATACCATCATCGACGTTCTTCTTGTGGCTTTCTGCAATGTAAATAAATGCACTTGGTGTTTACTATGCAGAAACAACGATGTAAATTTTTCTCAAATTGTTTAAATACATGCGTCATGACGAACTTTCGTCGTAAGTAATGCGTGCACTGTCATAAACATCGTCATCTGTGTCTGGAATTTCTGTTCGGAGGAATGATGATGACTTTTTAAAGCCCCCAGGAGACAGTTGTACAAGTTTTAAGAAACAAGTAAGTAACCTGTGGTTTAGCAGTAGCAGCATGAAACTTATACAACTGTTGAATGCATCAAAAAACAAGAAATTAATCGAGGTTTGTTTTCCTTTTCTACATCACCCACTACACCCCATCACACTTAACTCTCAACACTGTTACTACCAACACCTTCACTGTATATATACCATTGTTTACGAATGTCATGTACACGCCAAAAATCACCGTCTACACTGACTGCATAAAAATCCACACGACATTTACACTTCCCGGCATGCGGCTTTGTAAATTATGGCCCGCAAGACTCCAGTCCCCAAAAAGTCCGTATGGAAAAAAATAGCTGGTACCAGAGCCAATCTAATGGATATTGTCAATCGTTCACGAATGAGTCAGAAGCCGAGCAAAGGGGGACCGATTAAGACGAAAGACGAAGATTTTAGAGCGAGGAGGCGGAAGTTGTATAGGCTGGCGACGGAAGAGAAACCCATGTTTCCCTTCCAGCAGAAGAACTTCCACAACTTCGTCATGGAGAACAAGGAAGTGTTGAAGACGTTGTCGTTGTTGTCGATTTGCACACAGGAAATGAAACAGGTGCGACTGACTACACGTTAACAAAAATTGTTGAATCACAGTCAAACCGTCTCGCAGGAAATGACCCAGTTCATATCTAAATGGAGACCGTACAACATTCTGTGGCGAAACGAAAAGACCCAAAGGGAGCTACTTACCGCTTGCTTGAACGAATTTGAAACGTCCTTAAGAAAACACGAAGAGCTCAACGAAAGGTTGACCACCGAACCTGACGTTTTCGTGATCAGTAACTGCCTTGCCATATCCACGGAGAAACTCAAGTATGGACTGGTTACCGAAATTAGGTCCTGCACACATAGGTCAGCAATTCTATTCAATAGCTCTCTTGATGTCCACTTTTTCCACAGAATCGGTCAAGCCATGAAGAAGAAATACCGACGCGAAATGGACTACGTCTACGCCGTGATCAGCGAAATGGAGCGAAAGCTCGAACGCACGATTCGCGATTTGGACGACGTTCGTCTGATCATGGACACCTTGAAGAAAATTCGCGAGCAAGAGGTGGACATGGAACTCAAAATCGACCCTATCGAGGTACCGATTTTCCTTCCGCTTCATTCCACTCTAGTTTATCTTTTAGGACGCCTTCAACGTTCTAAATCGTCACAACGTGATGATCGAACGCGAAATTTTGGAACAAGTCGATAGCTTACGGTACACCTGGAGCAGACTGTTGGAGCATGCTCTTAAGGTTCAAGTGAATTTGCTGGAGATGCAGCCGCAATTCCAAACTGATCTTCGGACCAACCTTGAGAAGTTTAGACAAGACAAGATTGACTATTGTAACGAGTATAGAACTGCGGGTCCGATGCAGCCTGGGCTTACGCCGCGAGAAGCCTCGGATCGGCTCATTCTATTCCAAGTAGAACTGTTTTTTGATTTTTCGATTTTCTAATTCGGTGTTTTAGAATCGTTTTGATGGAATGTGGCGTAAACTGCAGACGTACCAAAGCGGTGAAGAACTTTTCGGTCTACCCACTACCGATTATCCAGATCTAGCACAAATACGCAAAGAGTTGAACCTTCTGCAAAAACTGTACAAACTTTACAACGACGTTATCGATCGGGTGACCAGCTACTACGATATTCCGTGGGGAGAAGTCAACATCGAAGAAATCAACAACGAACTCATGGAATTCCAAAACCGGTGCAGGAAGCTTCCGAAAGGCTTAAAAGAGTGGCCTGCTTTCTTCGCACTGAAGAAAACCATCGACGACTTCAACGACATGTGTCCTCTCTTGGAACTGATGGCCAACAAAGCCATGAAACCACGCCACTGGCAAAGAATCATGGATTCCCTCAATCACATCTTCGAGTTCGAGAGTGACGGTTTTTGCCTCAAGAACATCCTAGAAGCACCTTTGTTACAACACAAAGAAGACATCGAGGTGAGTCGTTTAAAATGTAACACGAACCACTTCTACTTCGTTCTTCCAGGACATTTGTATCTCCGCAATGAAAGAAAAAGACATAGAAGCCAAGTTGCGCCAAGTCACGAACGAATGGTCCGTCCACGAACTAACCTTCATGACTTTCAACAACCGAGGAGAACTCCTACTCCGAGGGGACACCACCGCTGAAACAATAGGCCAACTAGAAGACAGCCTCATGGTACTAGGATCTCTCTTGTCCAACAGGTACGTACACCGCAGTACCCACAATCCGTAACTTCTCCTTCCAGATACAACGCTCCTTTCCGCAAACAAATTCAACAGTGGGTGCACGACCTCTCCAACACCAACGAGATTCTGGAACGCTGGTTGTTGGTGCAAAACATGTGGGTTTACTTGGAAGCCGTGTTCGTGGGTGGCGACATCGCCAAACAACTCCCCAAGGAAGCCAAACGCTTCTCCAAAATCGATAAATCCTGGCAGAAGATCATGCAGCGAGCGCACGAAACTCCGGGAGTGGTGGCTTGTTGCGTCGGCGACGATCTTCTCAAGCAGCTGTTACCACACCTCCAAGAGCAACTGGAGTTGTGTCAGAAATCCCTCAGTGGTTACTTAGAGAGGAAGCGCATGATGTTCCCGAGATTCTTCTTCGTTTCAGATCCGGCGCTGCTCGAAATTCTGGGTCAGGCTTCGGATTCGCACACCATCCAGAACCATCTCCTTTCGATTTTTGATAACACGAGATGGGTGAAATTCCACGATATCGAGTACAATAAGATAACGGCGATTGTGTCGTCCGAAGGAGAGATGATACAGCTGGAGAAAGCAGTCCGGGCTGAAGGGAGCGTGGAAACTTGGTTGACCCAACTGTTGGTAACTTCACAGGCTTCGTTACACTCGATCATAAGACAAGCCAACGGAATGATAAACGACGGGAACTTCCACTTGCTTCTCTTCTTGGAGAAGATGCCGGCGCAGGTAGGGTAAGCTTTGTCTCGACGATTTTTAGATTTTTCTTTCAAGATCGGACTCTTGGGGCTGCAAATGATTTGGACCAGAGACGCCGAATTGGCGTTGATGCAAGCCCGACACGACAAAAAGGTGATGGCCGACACCAACAACAAGTTCCTCGAATTACTCAACACTTTAATCGACCAAACCACTAGAGACCTCACCAAAATAGAGCGCACTAAATTTGAAACTTTGATCACCATCCACGTGCACCAGAGAGACATTTTCGACATCTTGGTAAGTCACTGTAACTAGTTCTTGTGTGATTCCAAACTTGCAGTGTCGGATGAACGTAAGACACGTCAACGACTTCGAGTGGTTGAAGCAGTGCCGCTTCTACTTCAAGGAAGAGCAAGACAAAACCTTGATCATAATAACGGACGTTTCGTTTTCGTACCAGAATGAGTACTTGGGGTGTACTGACCGTCTGGTGATTACTCCCCTCACCGACAGGTCCGTCTAGACAAGTCCTCAACGTGGTCAAAAATTTTGGCTTCTAGGTGCTACATAACTCTGGCTCAAGCTTTATCCATGAGCATGGGTGGCGCTCCGTGTGGACCAGCCGGTACCGGCAAAACAGAGACCGTCAAAGACATGGGTAAAACTCTCGCCAAGTACGTAGTGGTCTTCAACTGTTCGGACCAAATGGACTATCGAGGTCTAGGCCGCATCTACAAAGGTCTAGCTCAATCGGGTTCCTGGGGCTGTTTCGACGAGTTCAACAGGATCGAGCTGCCAGTTCTTTCGGTGGCAGCCCAACAAGTAGCCGTCGTTCTAGCCAGCAAGAAAGAAAAACGAAAGAACTTCCAGTTCACGGACGGCGATATCGTCGAAATGTGTCCCGAGTTTGGAATTTTCATCACCATGGTAAACCGTGTCTCTTGTATCCAAAAACAAAACTTTTTTTGTAGAATCCAGGTTACGCCGGCCGGAAGGAACTCCCCGAGAACTTAAAAATCCAGTTCCGCACCGTCGCGATGATGGTCCCTGACCGTCAAATCATCATCCGAGTCAAGTTGGCTAGTTGCGGCTTCCTGGAGAACATCACCTTGGCGAGGAAATTTTATACTTTGTACAAGCTTTGTGAGGAGCAGCTCACCAAACAGGTCTCCCCTCACACTTTTCGTGTCGAATTTTAACCAAATCGATTCAGGTCCATTACGATTTCGGTCTTCGCAATATTTTATCGGTTTTGCGTAGTCTGGGTGCTGCCAAACGTGTCAATAATAAAGACAGCGAAAGTACGATAGTCATGAGGGTTTTGCGTGATATGAATCTATCCAAGCTGATCGATGAAGATGAGCCGCTCTTTATTTCTTTGGTGGCTGACCTCTTTCCCAACCAGGCGCTGGAAAAAACTGCCTATCCGGAGTTGGAAGAGGCCATTAACACGCAAGTGGAAGAGGCGGGCCTCATCAATCACCCGTCGTGGGCTTTGAAACTTATACAAGTGAGAAGAAACTCTAGCTAGACTATAAAGTTGAGCAAACTTTTCCTAGTTGTATGAAACCCAGCGGGTTCGCCACGGAATCATGACTTTAGGGCCCACCGGGGCCGGGAAGACCACTTGCATTCAGACTTTGATGAGAGCTTTGACCCAGATGGGTGACTACCACAGGTTTTTTACTGTTATTGACTAAAACCTTCTCTGACTATGATCGTTTCAAGGGAGATGCGAATGAATCCGAAAGCCATCACGGCAGCCCAAATGTTCGGGCGCCTGGACGTCGCCACCAACGACTGGACGGACGGTATCTTCTCGGCCCTCTGGCGGAAAACTCTGAAGCTAAAACAAGGTATGTAACCTTCAAACACACCCCATCAAAGTCTTAATCCATTTGTAGGAGAATACGTCTGGTTGGTCCTCGACGGTCCGGTCGACAGTATATGGATCGAAAATCTAAACTCGGTCCTCGACGACAACAAAACTCTAACTCTAGCCAACGGCGATCGTTTATCCATGGCTCCAACGTGCAAGATCATCTTCGAACCACACAACATCGACAACGCCTCCCCAGCCACCGTCTCTAGAAACGGAATGGTCTACATGAGTTCCTCTGGACTGAACTGGAAGCCCGTGGTGGCCGCATGGTTGAAAAAGCGAAGTGTGAGAGAACAAGAACTGTTCCACAAGTTGTTCGACGAATCCTACGGGGAACTGTATGCCTGGGGGACGCAGAATTTGGTACTCGTCGTGGACGTTCTCGAATGTAACGTAACTCTTCAAATGTTGAAACTCCTAGAAGGGTTGGTTCCCGTGCAGGTCGACGAAACCGAAGATCTTTCAGCTTCCAAGTCTGATCAGGGTGATTTAGACGACGACTTGTTGGACGAGTCGGAGAAGGTCGAAGAGAACAAACCCTTCACGAACGAGCACATGTCCAAGCTGTATGTTTTCGCGCTGATTTGGGGCATGGGGGCATTCCTTGAAACCGCCGATCGAAGCAAATACGATCGTTTCCTTAAAGAGAATTTAACAGAGTTGGACTTGCCCAAAAACGATCGCAAAAATCCTGACGCTACTGTCTTCGATTATGTGGTCAATTCTGACGGTGAGTGGGTCCTGTGGAGCACCATGGTCACGAATTACGTGTACCCGGAGCTCGCTACGCCTGAATATTCCACGATTTTGATCCCCATTCCCGACAACGTCCGCATCAATTACTTGATTCACACTATAGCGAAGCAAGAGAAGGCCGTTTTGGTGGTAGGTGAGCAAGGGACTGCCAAGACCGTCATGATGAAGTCTTACATAAAGAACGCCAACCCTGAAATTTATCTCAACCGATCTTTCAATTTTTCTAGTGCCACGTCGCCTTATCAATTCCAAAAGACAATTGAGAGTTACGTCGATAAGAGAATGGGGAACACGTTCGGAGCTCCCAATGGCAAAAAGATGATTATTTTCATAGACGACATCAATCTGCCAGAGATCAATTGTTGGGGTGACCAAATAACAAATGAAATCGTTCGCCAGACCATGGACATGGGTGGGTTCTACAGTTTGGAGAAACCTGGAGAGTTTACGACCATCGTGGACGTGCAGTTTGTGGCAGCGATGGGACAGCCTGGGGGTGGCCGAAACGACATACCGTCGAGGTTGAAAAGGCAGTTTTGCATGTTTAATTGTCCTTTACCAATTGACATGTCCATTGACAAGATTTTCGGGGTGATCGCCCAGGGTCACTACAACGTCAAAAGAGGGTTCACGCTAGAGGTGAGGAATCTGGTGAAGAAGCTGATTCCTCTGACGAGGATTCTGTGGAAGAATACAAGAGCGAAGTTGTTGCCGACACCCGCAAAATTCCACTATGTTTTCTCTTTGAGGGATCTGTCTAGGATTTGGCAGGGGATGGTAACTGACTAGGTGTGTACAGATGGGTTTTGTTTTGACGTTGTCTTGTAGATTGGGACTTTATCTACCGTGATAGAGTCAGAAGGGTGCATGATGGTCCTGTGGAAGCACGAATGTACAAGGGTATTTTCAGATCGGTTTACCATAGAAGAAGACAAGAAGTGGTTCAACGAGGAGTTGTTAAGTTTAGTGGAACAGGAACTGGGGGCGGAATTTAGAAAGAAAACGGAACCTAATCCAGTTTTTGTAGATTTCATGAGGTCCGCCCTATATTGTTGTAAAAATTAAAAATCTATCAGTGTTTTTTAGAGACGCCCCTGAACCCACTGGCGAAGAAGGGGAAGACGCAGACATGGAACTTCCCAAAGTGTACGAACCGGTAACCGCCGAAAACGAACTAAGAGAGAGATTGGACATGTTTTTGGCACAATTTAACGAAATGGTCCGAGGTTCTGGAATGGATTTGGTATTTTTCCCAGATGCCATGCTCCACTTGGTGAAAATATCAAGAGTAATTCGTCATCCGAGAGGAAACGTGATGCTCGTTGGTCAGTATTGTGCTCTTCAGTGTCCGCGTGCTTAACTTGAGTCTTCAGGGGTCGGCGGAAGTGGCAAACAATCCCTCACGAAACTCTCGTCGTTTATCGCCGGCTACAAAACCTTCCAGATCACGTTAACCAGGTCCTACAACATCGCCAACTTTTTAGAAGACTTAAAAGTTCTTTATCGTTCTTGCGGCTGCCAAGGCAAAGGTACCACTTTTATTTTCACTGATTTAGACATCAAAGAAGAAGGATTTCTCGAGTACTTGAACAACATTTTATCGTCCGGAGTGATTTCGAATCTCTTCACGAAAGACGAGCAAGCCGAAATCATCCAAGAGGTGACGCCTGTGATGAAGAGAGAGAACCCGAAGAGATCCCTAAACCCCGAAAGCGTCATGGAGTACTTCATGAATAGGACGTGCCAAAACTTGCACGTCGTCTTTTGCTTTTCTCCTGTAACCCACACACTTTGGTGTAGCCAGAACTAAAGAATTTTTTCAGGTTGGGGAAAAATTCCGGAACCGGGCCCTTCGATTCCCGGCTCTCATTTCCGGTTGCACCATCGACTGGTTCCAGCCGTGGCCCAGAGACGCTCTGGTACTAGTAGCGCGTCACTTCCTCACCGACTTCAAAATCGCCTGCACGGAAGAGGTCAAAGAAGAGTTAGTTAAAGCTTTGGGGTCCATTCAAGACGTAGTTTCAGCCACTTCCGTCGAGTACTTCCAGAGATTCCGCAGAGCGACTCACGTCACACCCAAATCCTACTTGAACTTCATCGCCGGGTACAAGAGCATTTACAAGAACAAGAAAAAGGAACTCAGTGACGGCGCTCTCAGAATGGACACAGGTTTAGAAAAGCTTGCCGAAGCCTCTTCCTCTGTTCTAGTTTTGAAGAAAGAACTGGCTTCTATGGAAAAAGAGCTCGCGGATGCGTCCAAACGTGCCGAGAAAGTCCTCACGGAGGTGACAGAACGAGCGATGCAAGCCGAAATTGTCAAAAACCAAGTACAGAAGGTTAAGGAGAAGGCAGAAATTTTGGTTTCTTCGATCGCTGTGGAGAAGGCTCTAGCCGAGGAGAAGTTGGAAGCCGCGAAACCCGCTCTAGAAGAAGCAGAAGCGGCTCTGAATACCATCAAACCAGCACACATCGGTTGGAAGGTATTATAGGGTTGGTTGAATAAAAAGTGTCTTTTGTAGCTACGGTGCGGAAACTGGGACGCCCTCCTCACCTGATTATGCGAATCATGGACTGCGTTCTGGTGCTGTTTCAAAGGAAACTTCACCCGGTCATCCCGGATACTGCGGCTTCCTGTCCGAAGCCATCATGGGCGGAGTCTCTCAAGGTTGTAACAAAACCAAATCGAATTCAAAACTTTATTAACACAACAGTTACAAAATACGATTAAAATCCAGGTAGTTTGGTGGTGGATTCGTTTTTCCATAAGCCGTCAGCTTCGTCTGGACAGTAAAAAATCGTACAAATGTTGTAACACTTGATTCCGTTTATGTTATCGTGTGTGAAAGTTACGTTTGCAGAGGCCACCCAGTCGATGTCTGAGTTTCGAAATGCTTTCAGCATTTCGACGAGGTGGTCGCATTGCCACTTATTCCCGCTGATTCCCACTAACTTCAACTTCTTCAAAGACCAAATCAAGTCCATGTGGCTTATCGCTATGAGGTGGTTTCCGGTCAGATCTAGGCGTTTCAACCCAATCAAGGGCATCAAGTTCTGCATCTTCAGTTTCGTTTTATTGTTGTACGACAAATCCAAGTCCTCTAATTTTTTCAAATTCGAAAAAGTGCCAGTGAGAAGTTTATTGACGTTGTTTCTGTGCAAGTTCATCACTCTTAGATTCGGGAATCCCTGGAAAGTGCCTAGAGCTAGCTTGGTTAGATTGTTGTTGCTGATTGATAACACTTCTAGATTAACCAAGCCGAAGAACGCCTTCATTTCTAAAATATAAATGTTATTGTGCGATAAGTTGAGCGTCTTCAGACAACTCAAGCCGGAGAAAGTACTATTAACGATCGCTGTAAGTTGATTGTTTTGCAAAAATAGTTCCTTTAGGTTGGTGAGACCGATGAAGGCTTCTGTTTCTAGGGAAAATATCTTCAAACCACTCAAATCTAAAGTGTCGGGGTTTGACATCCCCTCAAAAGTGCCTCTTTTGATGATGTTTATATTTCTGAACAAAGTTTTGAAGTCGTTGCTTTGAAGATTATTTAAGCCGTTGAACACTCCAGTGGTGATGTTCAGAATGTCAACGTTGTGGAGGTTGAGGGTTTCCAGATGTATCAAACCCTTGAAACAATTCCCTTCCAATGATAGTGCCTTCGTATCTGAAATGTTCATTACTTTCAAGTGGTTCAACGTAATGAAAGTATTCTGGGCTAAGTTAGTAGCGTCTGCGAAAGATATGCCAAGTTCTTCTAACCGATTACCAAAAGAAAAAGCATTTTGTGAAAATGTGATAATGCGATTCCCGCTTAAATCCAACCGTTGGAGTCTCTTCACTGGAAAGAACGTCTTGGGGTGGATTGTGACAAGTTGATTGTTACACAAATCTAAAAGTCTTAAAAAACGTAATCCCCGAAAAGCGTTAGCATCGATATCGATAATCTTCGAGTTTGATAGATCTAATTCTTCGACGACGCTAGTTTCAACGACTGAATGGTTGGTTAGACTAGTCAACCAGTCGTTCTTCAACAAAACAACAACCGCCGACGAGCTTAAAAGAAAAGAAAATTCCAAAGTATCAAATTTGTTGCTTTGTAAGTTCATCACTCCAATCACGCTCCTAGTATCAAAATCGATTCTCTTAATAAGGTTGTTTTCCAAGTGCAATTCCCTCAGTTGAAAGTCACCCGAAAAAGCTTCGCTTTTTATAACCTCGACCCCCGAATTTGATAAATCCAAAATCTTCAAATCTTGACACCCCACAAACCAACCATCTTCCACTGTCTTCAAAAAATTAAACGACAAATCTATCACGTCAACGTTCGATAAATTCTGGAAGGTGTTCACGTGGATGTACGTTATCCTGTTGCGACTTAAATCCAAAGTGTGACTTAAATGCAACCCCAAAAAAGCGTCTGCTTCAATTGTATCAATATGACACCCCGAAATATCAAGTTTTGCTATCCTACAGTTATCAAACGTGTGATTTTTGAGTTCCGTCATCCAGTTCGAACTGATGTTCAAGACGTTGACTGAACAATCGCTGAACCCTCTCTCACTAATGCTGATTATAGACGAATTAAACAAAGTCAACACGACTAGGTGAAAATGCTCCCCGAACATCTTCGGAGTGACAAACTTGATGTTATTGTTGCTCAAATCGAGCTTCTTCTTCACATACTTCTGACAAGTCTCGAAGTCAAACTTCTCGTCGATGTTAGCGTTTGATAGATTGAGACACTCTGTTTTCACGCCGCTGAGCGCAGTCAAGAAGTTGGTGTTGTTTAGGTCGTTGAAGGAAAAATCTATAACGTTGATGTTTCTGCGGTAATAGTGATAGTTGCAGTCTTGACAACTTATGTCGCTGATGCTCTGGATGTTGTTATAGCTGGCGTTTAAACTCCTGAAGTAGATTCGTTTCGTTCTGGTGTCAATGTGTTTGATTTTGTTGAAACTTAGATCCGCTTCTAGTCTTACGCCGTCTTCGAAAACCACATCGAACGACGTTAGATTGTTATTTCTAACGCTAATAAACACTTCTTTCGTAAAAGTGGAGAAACTGTGAGGATCGATTGTTCTAAGTCTGCAGCTGCTCAAATCCAGATGTTTCAGCGACACTAAATTCTCGAAAACGTTTCTAATGGATTCGAAGTTGTTGTCGTTCAAGAGTAGCATTTCCAAACGTGTCGGTAACGTCCTGACGAAAGATATCTCGCTGAGCTTGTTCTTACTCAAGTCTAGAAGCGTAACGTTGACGAATTCTTCAAAAGCGTAGTCTTCGATCACTTCCACCGACGAATTCGTGAGAGAAAACTGCTTGAGTTTGTGCTTCTTCGGCAACGGAAGAGCAAACGAGTGGATGTTTGCGAAATGTGAGTTCGTTATGACCACGTTGTAGATTTCGTTGTGGCGATGCGATGTGGAATTCGCATCCACGTTGTCAAAAAAATCGTACAGGAAATTCTCGAAGTTCGTGTTTTGGCAGCGATAACAAGTGAACGTTCGTAAACCGTTCTTCTGGATTTCAGTTGAACATTGTTGGATAGAAGGTTCAGGGGTCAAAAGCAGCATCCACGAGACAAGCGCCAACGTTTTCTGTAAAATTAAAATACAAAAATAAGAATGCAGCTTTTAATAAAAATATGGTTGGATAATATTTTTCAGAATTTGAAATAACGCGATGCCACTTACCATTTTAAAATTGTAGGTCAATGCACACTTCCACTATTCAAACGAAACTATTTTATTAAATCGGCGCCGATTTCGAGACATTCCATTAATTAACCAACTCATTCCACTCAAACTTAGCTGAATAAAGAATCTACATAATGTCAAGGCAAATAAATTAATGAATAACCATGCTTTGATTGTGATTTATTATTCAAGCGGCGACCGGTCTCTATTATTTTTCCGACTTACACTAGTTGGAAAAGATCCAAAACTGTGTGAATGCAGCAGGAACGATAAAAGAACGCGAATGTATTGATTTTCAAACTATTCGTACCTCAACCCCACTCGAGAAACGGCTTCACAGGAAATTATCACACACGACCATTTAATTGACAAAATTAACAACATAAACACAAAACTGGCGTTTCGACAAACCAACAGCCAATACAAGGCGAGTTTGAATCACGTGACACGACTGTCATTTTTTTATTGGTCCTGGAACTTGAGTCGTAATTTTCGTTAACCCAGATGATGGCCTCCACCACTTTCCTCCTGCAGCTCCAAAACTACCCCAAAGACATCATCAACAACGAAATGGTGGAGTTCCTCCAACCCTATTTCGAGATGGAGGACTACAACATGGACACTGCGAAGCGCGTCTGCGGTGACGTCGCCGGCTTGCTTTCGTGGACCAAAGCTATGGCGTTCTTCCACAGCGTCAACAGAGAGGTGCTCCCACTCAAAGCCAACCTCACGCTTCAAGAAGCCCGTCTGAAGGTGCGTCGTTCACCACAACCACCGGGCATTAAAAGCGGTTTTTCAGGTGGCCATGGAGGATTTGGCAGCCGCCGAACAACAACTGGAGGAACGCGAGCAGAGTCTGCGCGAGGTGAAAGAGCAGTACGATAAGGCGGTACTCGAGAAACAGAGACTGACAGATGCGGCTAATTCTTGTCTGAGAAAGATGAACACTGCGACCACTCTCATTAACGGTTTGGGAGGGGAGAAGGTGAGGTGGACTGACCAGAGTAAAGAGTTTAAAGAACAGCTAGGGCGTTTGGTCGGGGATGTGCTTCTAGCCACCGGGTTTTTGTCATACTGTGGACCCTACAATCAAGAATTTAGAGCGAATCTGGTGAACACGTGGATGGATATACTCAAGTCGAAGAGCATTCCGTTTACTCTTAATCTCAACATCACGAATATGTTGGTCGAGAGTGCCACTCTTTCGGAGTGGACGTTGCAAGGGTTGCCGAACGACGAACTCTCAGTCCAGAACGCCCTAATTGTTACTAAGTCTAGATCGTACCCGCTCTTAATAGACCCCCAGAACCAAGGGAAGATGTGGATCAAGAATAAAGAAGCCAACAACAGTCTCCAAATCACGTCTTTGAACCACAAGTACTTCAGGACGCATCTGGAAGACTGTTTGTCTATTGGTAAACCACTTCTGATTGAAGACATCGATATCGAACTAGACCCGGTTCTGGACAACGTCCTCGAAAAGAACTTTATCAAGTCGGGCTCGATCGAGAAGGTGATTGTAGGGGATAAAGAGTGCGACGTGATGAAAGGTTTCATGCTATACATTACGACGAAGCTCCCCAACCCTCCCTACTCCCCAGAAATCAGTGCCAAGACCTCCATCATCGACTTCACCGTGACTATGCTAGGCTTGGAGGACCAACTCCTCGGCAGAGTCATTCTAATGGAAAAATCCGACCTAGAAGCCGAACGAGTCGCCCTCTTCGAATCCGTCATGCAAAACCAAAGACGCATGAAAGAACTCGAAACGAACTTACTCAGCAGACTCAACTCCTCCGAGTGCTCTCTAGTAGAAGACGAGGAACTCATAAACGTCCTCCAAGTCACAAAAAGCACCGCCGAAGAAGTCAACCAAAAACTCTCCGTCTCCGCTCACACTGAAAAGAAAATCAACATAGCAAGAGAAGAGTTCAGAGCTGTAGCCGCTCGAGGCTCCATTTTGTACTTCTTGATCGTCGAAATGAGCAACGTGAACGTCATGTATCAAAACTCGTTGAAACAGTTCTTGATTATTTTCGACAGCTCGATCACCAAGTCGGAGAAGAGCCCTGACACGATGGAGAGGATCAGGATCATACTCCAGTACCTGACGAAAGAGGTGGGTAAGGTTTGACAAGGTCTTCCTCTAGTGTGACATTCCAGGTGTGGGCGTTCACCCAACGCAGCTTGTACGAACGCCACAAAGCCCTCTTCACGCTGATGATGGCCATGAAAATCGACCTCCAGAAAGCCATCATCACCCACGAGGAGTTCATGGCGTTCATCAAAGGAGGAGCATCTCTGGATTTGAACGCGGTAACTCCGAAACCCTTCCGATGGATTCTGGACATCACGTGGCTAAATTTGGTCGAAATCAACAAACTGAAGACGTTTTCAGACATACTGATCAAGATCGAAAACAATGAACGCGAGTGGAGGATTTGGTACGAGAAGGAGAAACCCGAAGAAGAAGAGATTCCGTGCGGATATCAAAAGGGTTTGGACGTGTTTAGAAAGCTCCTACTGATAAGGTCTTGGAGTCCGGACCGAACGGTCTCACAAGCACGAAAATACATCATTGGTAAGTACATACGAAAGATCGTGGGTTTCATCGTTGTCTTTAGATTCTTTGGGACCTGAATATGGAGAGCCGTGCATTCTGGATTTGGAAGCCACCTGGGCTGAATCCGAAGCAAGGACCCCTCTGATATGCATCCTCTCCATTGGGTCGGATCCTTCGCCACAAATCTCAGCTCTTGCGAAAGTCAAAGACATGAGTACGTATCTTCATTTCATTCATCTTAATCATTTGAAGTCTTCCAGCTTTGAAGGCGGTTTCCATGGGTCAAGGTCAAGAAGTCGTAGCCCGCGACATGATCGACTGGTCCATGGCCAACGGTGGCTGGGTCCTCCTCCAAAACATCCACTTATCCCTCCCGTTCGCCACCGAAGCCATGACCATGATCGTCGACGCGGAAACCGTCCACGAAAACTTCAGAATCTGGTTAACCACCGAAGTCCACGAGCAATTCCCAATAGGTCTCCTTCAAATGGCCATAAAATTCACGAACGAGCCGCCACAAGGAATCCGCGCCAGCATGAAACGCACGTACCAGAACATCACCCAAGATTACTTGGACTATTCTGCACAATCTCAGTGGCCACCTTTACTGTACGCCGTAGCTTTCCTTCACACCGTGGTCCAAGAAAGGCGAAAGTTTGGCCCTCTGGGCTGGAACGTCCCCTACGAGTTTAATCAAGCGGACTTCGCGGCGAGTGTCCAGTTTATACAAAACCATCTGGACGATATGGACCCCAAGAAAGGGGTTTCGTGGCCCACGGTATGCTACATGCTGGGGGAAGTCCAGTACGGGGGACGGGTTACCGATGACTTTGACAAGAGACTACTGACGACGTTCACTCAAGTTTGGTTCTGCGACGTGTTGTTGCGGCCGGGGTTCGAGTTTTACAAAGGGTACAAAGTTCCCCAGACGCGGAACCTTCAAGGGTACGTAGATTACATTAACAGTCTTCCGGCGACGGATACTCCTGAGGTGTTTGGGCTCCATGGAAATGCAGACATCACTTACCAGATTAACACGGCTAAAGGTATTCTGGACACGATTCTCAGCGTTCAACCCAAAGAAGGTGGCAGTCAAGGTGGCGAGACCCGCGAAAGCGTGGTTTACAGCCTTGCCGAAGACATGTTAGAGAAATTACCACCACAATACAACAGTTTCGAGGTAAAAGAGGCTCTCCAGAGAATGGGGGCACTTCTCCCCATGAATATTTTCCTTCGACAAGAAATCGACAGAATCCAGAAGGTGATCAAAGAAGTGAAATCCACACTGAGTGATTTGAAGTTGGCTATTGATGGCACCATCGTCATGAGTCAGGGTCTACGAAGTGCCCTTGACGCTATGTACGACGCCAGAATCCCAGACCGGTGGCAAAAAATATCGTGGGAGTCTGCCACTCTAGGATTCTGGTATACAGAGCTTCTTGAAAGGGACGCCCAATTCAGAAACTGGTGCAACAACGGCAAGCCCAACGTGTTTTGGATGACTGGGTTTTTTAATCCTCAGGGATTCTTAACGGCGATGCGTCAGGTACTCGAATATTTGTGTCAACACTGGCGTAATTTCTTTTTTTAGGATGTCACAAGAGCGCATAAGGGATGGGCGTTGGATTCGGTCGTGTTGCAGAATCTTATAACGCGTTACAATAAGGAAGACTTGAAGGAGGGTCCAGCGGAGGGTGTTTACGTTCATGGGTTGTTTCTGGAAGGCGCAGGCCTCGATAGAAGGACTGGGAAACTTATTGAAAGCAAACCCAAAGTGCTGTATGAGATGATGCCCGTTATTTATATTTACGCTATTAATACCACGGCTGGGAAAGACCCGAAATTGTACGAATGCCCTATATACAGGAAACCGCAACGGACTGATCAGAAATACGTGGGGTCCATTGATTTCGAAACTGATCACAACCCCAGACACTGGACTTTGAGAGGGGTGGCTCTGCTGTGTGATATCAAATAAAGAATGTCGTACATTCTTGATAAGGAAGAAGGCTGTGCACTAGTTGTAAAGTAGTTTATCAATTCACAAAATAGTAATAAAGATGTAACAGTCAGTATTAAATAAACACTTATTGAATGCAAGCTTTTTTTGAAGAATAAACGGGTTGAACAACGAATAGAAACAACAGTTTAGATCGCGTGACAAAATTCTTATTGTTGATTGGCGGGTGTATTCAGCCTCTCACTTGTTCCCGCCTCTGTTGAAATTTCATCCAATAGCTTTCCAGTGCGTCGCCGTGACGTCACACAATTAGTAAACCAACCTTTTATTCCTAATAAAACATCACCTTGTGTTAACGACGTCATTTTATTAGTTTTCAAAATTACAAAACTCGAGTTTAACCGTTACATAAATAAATCCATTAAATAAAGCTAAATGAGATCCAATATTAGGCATGCAATGCAGCCTTGACTTGCGCTTGCTGGAACTGATGCTGCAGCTTCTGGAGGGACTCCCTATGAGTGTCCTGCTTCTTCTCCATCGAAGTGATCAAGTCGTCGCACCTCTTAAGCTCCTTATTTATGTACTCCATCCGTTTGCTCACGTTTTGTTTAGCCTCGATGAGCTCTGTCTTAATAAGGACTGGACCCACGGACTTGTAGACTTTGGCATCTTTAGGCAGTATATCGAGCTCATCTTTCACTATCATATTTTCGTTTAATTGACCATCGAGCTGCTGCCTGGACGAAATGGCTTTCTGCAACTCTAACAAAATGTGAGGTTATATTCGGGGGTGCGAAAGCCGTACCTTTCTGTGTATTTTTGAAACTGTCCAGCTCGGACTGAATTTTTCGCTGCAGATCTTCGCTCATCTTGGTGTTGCTAATTAATTACGCTTTAAAATAGTACAAATTCGATTTATTTTCACACTTGCGAATTTGTGAAGATAGACGCAGTCGTGCAGGGGACACCGGCTTTTTTTAGGTTGGTAATCAGCTCAAGTTTCAACCAATCATGTCACAACAAACGCGGCCAACTTCACGTTGACGCAAACGCCAAATAACCGTTAAAAATTTCAAATGTGCCCCCCAAACAGCTCTCAAACACTTCGATTGTGATTGTTTACAAATTTTATACTATTTTATACACTGACTTATAATCCACGTGTTCGATATGTCTGCGGTGAAAAACAAAAAACGAAAACACTCAGGAGAGGCTGTGGAAGTCGCTCCCGAAGAGCCCGACGATGAATTAAACTGGTCTGACGAAGAAGGTACTGTAGTTGACGGTATTCACATCCCCGCGCCGGCAAAACGCAACGTTTCTGCCACCTCGAACGCACGTTTAATCATCCGAAAGATCTCGAACAACTTCTTCAAGAGCTATGCACAAGAAACGGATCTGGGGCCCTTCTCGGTGGTAGGTTTGTGCAGCACGCATTCAACGATTTAGAGCTCTGTTGTAGTGTTTTAACGCCATCGTTGGCCCCAACGGCAGCGGCAAGAGCAACGTTATCGATTCCATGTTGTTTGTGTTTGGGTACAGAGCCACGAGGATCAGGTGCAAGAAACTCTCGGTGCTCCTTCACAACTCGGAGAAGTACAGAAGCGTACCTTCGTGTACAGTCGCCGTGCACTTTTGTCAAATCATCGATAAAGTAGGTGGATGTGTGAGTGGGAGTGGTAACAACAACATGCTTGTTTTAGCCAGGGAACGAATACGAGATTGTGCCAAACAGTGAATTTGTGGTGGCCAGAACTGCCAATAAAGACAACAGTTCATACTATGAGTTGAACGGGCGGCGGGTGCAGTTCAAAGAAATTGCTAAATTGTTGAGGCACCATGGGATCGATTTGGACCATAACCGGTTTCTTATTTTGCAGGTTTGTGTTTGATTTGGTTTATTTTGTCTCAAGAGGGTTTGTAGGGCGAGGTTGAAGAAATCGCGATGATGAAGAGCAAAGGGGCTAATGACAATGAAACTGGGATGTTGGAGTATTTGGAGGATATCATTGGCACTAATCGCTACAAGGTGGGTTTGTGGGGTCGTTGTTTGTTTTTATTTTGTGTTTTTTTTTATATTCAGAAACCGCTAGTAGAATTGAATGACAGGATAGAAAACTTGTCAGTTTTGAGGACAGAAAAGTTAAACAGGCTTATGTTGATCGAGAAGAAGTTGGACGAACTCAAAGGACCGATGGACGAGGCGATCGTGTTTTTGAAAACGGAGAACACGATTGCGACGTGCAAGAATTTTTTGTATCAGAGGAATGTGTAAGTAACGCGAAAACCGTTATATTGTTGATAGTTTGTCAATATTTAATGTTGTAGTTTTAAGTTGGAAGAAAAAGTTACAGAAATTAAAGAAGACAAAGCACAAATCAGCCAAAGTCGCAACAACATCATTGAAACGCTGAAAGAAATCGCTAAACAAAAAGGCGAAAAAGAAGACACTCTAAGACAAAAATCATTGTGAGTACTTTGAAACGATCTTCTCAATTTCCTGGCACAAATATTTCCAGAAAATACGACAAACTTACCCGGAAAAAGGACCAACTGAAAGAGGCTTTCAACGCCGCCGACAAAAAAGACGTGCAACTGCAAGCAGAGATGGTTCAGACTAACAACAATCGAAAAAAGTACAAACAACAACTGGAAGACGAACGGAAAAAACTCGCCCAACTACAGAACGTTCCTGACGAAAATAAAAAAGTGAGACGACTTTACTAAAAAAATCAAAACATATTGTGCGATTTTTGTAGACCATCGTTGAATGCGAAACGAAGGCAGTGCAACTGACGTCAGAAAAAGAAAAACTCGAAGCGCAAAAAACAAAACTCCTTGCCAATATTCGGGCGGAAACTGAAGACCTACAGAAAGAAAAAGAACGACTTGAAACCGGTTTGGGCCAACTCAAGAAGGCCGTACACGAAACAAAATCGGCGGTAGATTTATCATCATTTCGTGTTTTTATATCTATTATTATTTTTTGTAGTATGATTTAGCCAACGCAGAATTGAAACTAGCTCTAAGCCAAGAAGAAACTGAACAAAATAGGCTACAACAACTCCGCGAGATGATAACAGACATATCAGAAAAGATAGCACAGAGAACTGAAGAGGTGGCACAATTGCGACGAAAAATCCCCCTGACGGAGAAATCACTAAATGATGCTCAAAGAGAACTGGACAATGTTAAGCGCGAAACGGTTCAAGTCTCACGGGAAGTTGGACAGAAACGGATAAGCCTGCAAGAGACGAAAACTTCCATGCAAATGTCCAAGTCCCGTGGAAAAGTTCTGGACGCTCTGATGCAACAAAAACGACAAGGAAATTGTCCGGGACTTTACGGGCGTCTTGTAAGATCGCACTTTGGAGTACGAGTTTGAATTGAAATGGCGTTTTAGGGGGATTTGGGGGCCATTGATCAAAAATATGACGTAGCTGTGTCCACGGCGTGCGGTCCTTTGGATAATATCGTTGTCGACTGCGCAAATACGGCGCAGTGGTGCATCGAGTTTTTGAAGCAGCATGGGATAGGGAGGGCCACGTTTATTGCGCTCGATAAGCAGGAGTATTTGAGGGAACTGGCAAGCACGCGGATTCAGACGTGAGTTTTACGATTTTTCGATATCTCAGTTTTGGGTTAATAAATTGTGTCAAAAATCAACAACATGATTTGATTGTGACCACGGTTGTAGAATAGATAGGTTTGTACACTAATGGCTTGGGATGGCGACGCTTCTTTTCGATCCCTATATCCATGGAAAGGACACATACAGCTAGCGCCTCTACCTTGTCGAGCGGAAATCGTTCTAGTTATTTTGGGGATTTTCGTTTACATTGCTTTATGAACAATACAAAATTTGTAAATGACATTTGATCGGAGTCGATAAGTACGGTTTCTTTTATTAATTACATCGGTTATAGGCAGATGCCTATAGAGTTCTGTGTCCCTCATAGATAAATAATACTACGTAAATAGAATGCAAACTCCCACTTGATTTTTGGTCTCAATAAACGCCCCCTGGTGCCTTGTGGCCGGTGCTAAAGCATGAACTACTAGATGCGTCATTGCTGCATATTTTATAATTAATATTTTATTTTTATTATCACTAATAATATCAAAAACACAAAGTAGAATAATATACAATTTATTAGTATTATCTACGATTTTTTGACTTTAATTTTTTTTGGTACATTATACAAGCGTTTTGATATAATGCATTTTTATGTGTGGAAACTCTTGTATCGCGACCGCTTAAAATTAAATTCAAACCTTTTACAAACGTAAAAATTGTTAAATATATAATTTTATTACATATTTCACTTTCAATTAATTCCTTATGTTCACAATGAAACGAAAATTTGACATGATGAGATACTATAAACGAAATTTTGTTTTTGATGTTGTCGAAAGATGTACAATTGTTTAAAACGATTCTTGAAATATTATAAATTCTGTTAATGTTTTTTATAAAATCTAACTTACAATATTGCAATTTTCTGTTATTACAATTGTATTCTCTTATACGTATTAATTTGTAACATTGTTCGTCTTCCGAAAAATTGTTTAAAATTTGGGTTTTACAATATTCACACTTCAAATTTCTTAATGTTTTCGCAACCCAGCCAGACACATAACCAACAATACTTTTATGAAGATCCTTTTCTAAATTATATGGAGACAGTTTTGAAATGTACATATTCACGTTTAAAATTTCGTAACTCGTTTCATATACTGAAGGTTGATTTATGTTTTTATCCACAAGTCTTTTAATATGAAATAAATCCGGTATGTTCGTTTTCTCACAGTTTGCGCCCACTGAATTTGAACTATAAAAATTGCGTAATAATAGAGATTTGAAACTTTCCTTAAATTGGGCTGCCGTTAGATTAGTTGCTCGATTTCTTTGACTTCTGATTTTGCCAAAATAGTTTTCAATAACATCTTGATTTAAACATCTAGGTAAAAAATATTTGCACCTGCCCTGTTCTACTCAAATTGTATGTAAATCCACAAAACCTTCTAACGTTGCAATCCAGTTTTTTATACACGGAGGTACTACCATTTTTCCGGCCTCATCGACGAAATACATATCACCCAAAATTTTGATAGCTTCCTTCCAAAAATGTTTATGACCAGAAGATTTAAATACGCCCCCAGAAAATGGTTTTCCGCACCGTGGTTGAAAAGTACTGCCATTTACACTGTCGAAGAGCTTGTCAAAAAATTTTATAATTCGTGCTGTTCCCATTGCCTCGTGTGTTAAACTGCATTCGGCTGTAAAATTAAATTGTAAATGAATCTGTTAATTATTTTTAAATTTGTATTTACTAGATTTAACCAATAGCGTAATAGTCGATGCCATTGAGTGACTCAAAACTTGTGTCGCATAGCACACCTTCATCTTTTGAATTTTTTCCGGAATTACGTGGAGATCCGTAATTTTGTGTAGAGCCCGTAATTCTCCACATGTTTGATCACTGTAGTACGCATCGATTATATGTTTCCAATTTGCAACCAAAATTTCTTCGCTTGTTTTCCACACTAAATTTTTAGTAAGCAGATTGTTCCTAATACATTTAATTAAATGAGGCGTGTCATATAATGGAATAATTTCTTGATCCCCTAATAAAATTCTTCTTTTAGGTTCCATCCCTTTATGTATATAACGTTGTTTCGACTCCTTTAGCAGAGAATTTATAGCTGCTTGGTTTGGTTGGCCTTGATCACAAATTGTAACCAGAATTTTGAATCCACAATTTTGTATTTTTTCAACCAGAGTTTTTATAATAGTTGTCAATATGTAAGATTTTGTAGACGAAAAAGAAAATGCAAAGTATATTGGCTGTTGCCATTTTTTAAACACTCCGCGAATGAAAAAAACAAGAACATGATCTGCTATCTGTAAATTTTGTTCAAATCCAAAATTTTGAAATCCGAAAAATGTATCCGTATATTTGTCATAGTCTATGTGGGGCATTATGGACATTTCATCAAAAATTAATGCACATATTCTATCTTGGTTATTTAATTTTGAAGCAGATTCTTTAAGATTGTCGAAAATTATTTTGTTTATACCAACGTCTACTGGAATTTTGTTCAACATAGACATAATTGTTTGACGTGAAGGCAGTGCAAAAATCTGTCTCATTTTTCTATAACATCTCCCAGACTGTTTATAAAACATTAATGCAAATAATTTATCTTCAGTGGTAAACCTGCGACCCTTTGGTTTGACATTTCGTCTTTTTAATTGTGATAAACAAAAATTTATAGCATCCTGACTTAAAATTTTGCTTTCTAATTTTACTTCAAATTTGGAGTATAATTTCAATCGTTGGCGATACGAAGCTACCTTAATTTTGTTTCTACGGGCTGTACGCGAAATATTCCTAGAATTTGAATGTAAATTTAGTATTCGAGAAGATTCTTGGTTTAAAGTTTCGTTTAGGGTTTCTCTGGAATTTCGAGATACTTCAGTACAAAATTTTTGAGAATCCAGTATAGAAATAGGGTTTACGGGATCATGGGTGTGTCTTTCGGGGTCGTTCATATTATCTGAAATTATTGTAAAAATTATCTATGGCATTCACTTGCACACAAATATTTACCATGCATAATTTGAATTGTAGGAATGGCAGTATTTTTAAGTTTTTGATTGGGGCCAAAATCCGTTTCTTTAAAATGTACATCGCAAAGAAAATATCCATTTTTATATATTTTCGTGGGATCTAATTTGCCTAAATTTGGATTCCCTGTCCGTTCCAACCAAATTTTAAAACGCTCGTTGTATTTGTAGGGGTTGGGAAAACGATGGCGTTTAATAATTTTAGTGTTTAGACATTTCAAAACACTGCATAGTTTCATATTTTACGCTTTGTTATCACGTATAATCACACAAATGACACTTTTATACTAATCATAAATGACATTAGTTTTTTTATTGTTTCTTAAAATTGGCTGTGGAAGTTGTCGCCAAGTAATTTTTGGAAAAAAATACTTTACTGCTATCAGTGCTATCTCTTATTATGTGGCCGTACATAAGCCTAGACACAAACCTGGGACACGCATTACAGCCGAGTTTGCATTCTATTTTACGTAGTATTATTTATCTATGGTGTCCCTCATAGATAAATAATACTACGTAAATAGAATGCAAACTCCCACTTGATTTTTGGTCTCAATAAACGCCCCCTGGTGCCTTGTGGCCGGTGCTAAAGCATGAACTACTAGATGCGTCATTGCTGCATATTTTATAATTAATATTTTATTTTTATTATCACTAATAATATCAAAAACACAAAGTAGAATAATATACAATTTATTAGTATTGTCTACGATTTTTTGACTTTAATTTTTTTTGGTACATTATACAAGCGTTTTGATATAATGCATTTTTATGTGTGGAAACTCTTGTATCGCGACCGCTTAAAATTAAATTCAAACCTTTTACAAACGTAAAAATTGTTAAATATATAATTTTATTACATATTTCACTTTCAATTAATTCCTTATGTTCACAATGAAACGAAAATTTGACATGATGAGATACTATAAACGAAATTTTGTTTTTGATGTTGTCGAAAGATGTACAATTGTTTAAAACGATTCTTGAAATATTATAAATTCTGTTAATGTTTTTTATAAAATCTAACTTACAATATTGCAATTTTCTGTTATTACAATTGTATTCTCTTATACGTATTAATTTGTAACATTGTTCGTCTTCCGAAAAATTGTTTAAAATTTGGGTTTTACAATATTCACACTTCAAATTTCTTAATGTTTTCGCAACCCAGCCAGACACATAACCAACAATACTTTTATGAAGATCTTTTTCTAAATTATATGGAGACAGTTTTGAAATCTACATATTCACGTTTAAAATTTCGTAACTCGTTTCATATACTGAAGGTTGATTTATGTTTTTATCCACAAGTCTTTTAATATGAAATAAATCCGGTATGTTCGTTTTCTCACAGTTTGCGCCCACTGAATTTGAACTATAAAAATTGCGTAATAATAGAGATTTGAAACTTTCCTTAAATTGGGCTGCCGTTAGATTAGTTGCTCGATTTCTTTGACTTCTGATTTTGCCAAAATAGTTTTCAATAACATCTTGATTTAAACATCTAGGTAAAAAATATTTGCACCTGCCCTGTTCTACTCAAATTGTATGTAAATCCACAAAACCTTCTAACGTTGCAATCCAGTTTTTTATACACGGAGGTACTACCATTTTTCCGGCCTCATCGACGAAATACATATCACCCAAAATTTTGATAGCTTCCTTCCAAAAATGTTTATGACCAGAAGATTTAAATACGCCCCCAGAAAATGGTTTTCCGCACCGTGGTTGAAAAGTACTGCCATTTACACTGTCGAAGAGCTTGTCAAAAAATTTTATAATTCGTGCTGTTCCCATTGCCTCGTGTGTTAAACTGCATTCGGCTGTAAAATTAAATTGTAAATGAATCTGTTAATTATTTTTAAATTTGTATTTACTAGATTTAACCAATAGCGTAATAGTCGATGCCATTGAGTGACTCAAAACTTGTGTCGCATAGCACACCTTCATCTTTTGAATTTTTTCCGGAATTACGTGGAGATCCGTAATTTTGTGTAGAGCCCGTAATTCTCCACATGTTTGATCACTGTAGTACGCATCGATTATATGTTTCCAATTTGCAACCAAAATTTCTTCGCTTGTTTTCCACACTAAATTTTTAGTAAGCAGATTGTTCCTAATACATTTAATTAAATGAGGCGTGTCATATAATGGAATAATTTCTTGATCCCCTAATAAAATTCTTCTTTTAGGTTCCATCCCTTTATGTATATAACGTTGTTTCGACTCCTTTAGCAGAGAATTTATAGCTGCTTGGTTTGGTTGGCCTTGATCACAAATTGTAACCAGAATTTTGAATCCACAATTTTGTATTTTTTCAACCAGAGTTTTTATAATAGTTGTCAATATGTAAGATTTTGTAGACGAAAAAGAAAATGCAAAGTATATTGGCTGTTGCCATTTTTTAAACACTCCGCGAATGAAAAAAACAAGAACATGATCTGCTATCTGTAAATTTTGTTCAAATCCAAAATTTTGAAATCCGAAAAATGTATCCGTATATTTGTCATAGTCTATGTGGGGCATTATGGACATTTCATCAAAAATTAATGCACATATTCTATCTTGGTTATTTAATTTTGAAGCAGATTCTTTAAGATTGTCGAAAATTATTTTGTTTATACCAACGTCTACTGGAATTTTGTTCAACATAGACATAATTGTTTGACGTGAAGGCAGTGCAAAAATCTGTCTCATTTTTCTATAACATCTCCCAGACTGTTTATAAAACATTAATGCAAATAATTTATCTTCAGTGGTAAACCTGCGACCCTTTGGTTTGACATTTCGTCTTTTTAATTGTGATAAACAAAAATTTATAGCATCCTGACTTAAAATTTTGCTTTCTAATTTTACTTCAAATTTGGAGTATAATTTCAATCGTTGGCGATACGAAGCTACCTTAATTTTGTTTCTACGGGCTGTACGCGAAATATTCCTAGAATTTGAATGTAAATTTAGTATTCGAGAAGATTCTTGGTTTAAAGTTTCGTTTAGGGTTTCTCTGGAATTTCGAGATACTTCAGTACAAAATTTTTGAGAATCCAGTATAGAAATAGGGTTTACGGGATCATGGGTGTGTCTTTCGGGGTCGTTCATATTATCTGAAATTATTGTAAAAATTATCTATGGCATTCACTTGCACACAAATATTTACCATGCATAATTTGAATTGTAGGAATGGCAGTATTTTTAAGTTTTTGATTGGGGCCAAAATCCGTTTCTTTAAAATGTACATCGCAAAGAAAATATCCATTTTTATATATTTTCGTGGGATCTAATTTGCCTAAATTTGGATTCCCTGTCCGTTCCAACCAAATTTTAAAACGCTCGTTGTATTTGTAGGGGTTGGGAAAACGATGGCGTTTAATAATTTTAGTGTTTAGACATTTCAAAACACTGCATAGTTTCATATTTTACGCTTTGTTATCACGTATAATCACACAAATGACACTTTTATACTAATCATAAATGACATTAGTTTTTTTATTGTTTCTTAAAATTGGCTGTGGAAGTTGTCGCCAAGTAATTTTTGGAAAAAAATACTTTACTGCTATCAGTGCTATCTCTTATTATGTGGCCGTACATAAGCCTAGACACAAACCTGGGACACGCATTACAGCCGAGTTTGCATTCTATTTTACGTAGTATTATTTATCTATGGTGTCCCTCATAGATAAATAATACTACGTAAATAGAATGCAAACTCCCACTTGATTTTTGGTCTCAATAAACGCCCCCTGGTGCCTTGTGGCCGGTGCTAAAGCATGAACTACTAGATGCGTCATTGCTGCATATTTTATAATTAATATTTTATTTTTATTATCACTAATAATATCAAAAACACAAAGTAGAATAATATACAATTTATTAGTATTGTCTACGATTTTTTGACTTTAATTTTTTTTGGTACATTATACAAGCGTTTTGATATAATGCATTTTTATGTGTGGAAACTCTTGTATCGCGACCGCTTAAAATTAAATTCAAACCTTTTACAAACGTAAAAATTGTTAAATATATAATTTTATTACATATTTCACTTTCAATTAATTCCTTATGTTCACAATGAAACGAAAATTTGACATGATGAGATACTATAAACGAAATTTTGTTTTTGATGTTGTCGAAAGATGTACAATTGTTTAAAACGATTCTTGAAATATTATAAATTCTGTTAATGTTTTTTATAAAATCTAACTTACAATATTGCAATTTTCTGTTATTACAATTGTATTCTCTTATACGTATTAATTTGTAACATTGTTCGTCTTCCGAAAAATTGTTTAAAATTTGGGTTTTACAATATTCACACTTCAAATTTCTTAATGTTTTCGCAACCCAGCCAGACACATAACCAACAATACTTTTATGAAGATCTTTTTCTAAATTATATGGAGACAGTTTTGAAATCTACATATTCACGTTTAAAATTTCGTAACTCGTTTCATATACTGAAGGTTGATTTATGTTTTTATCCACAAGTCTTTTAATATGAAATAAATCCGGTATGTTCGTTTTCTCACAGTTTGCGCCCACTGAATTTGAACTATAAAAATTGCGTAATAATAGAGATTTGAAACTTTCCTTAAATTGGGCTGCCGTTAGATTAGTTGCTCGATTTCTTTGACTTCTGATTTTGCCAAAATAGTTTTCAATAACATCTTGATTTAAACATCTAGGTAAAAAATATTTGCACCTGCCCTGTTCTACTAAAATTGTATGTAAATCCACAAAACCTTCTAACGTTGCAATCCAGTTTTTTATACACGGAGGTACTACCATTTTTCCGGCCTCATCGACGAAATACATATCACCCAAAATTTTGATAGCTTCCTTCCAAAAATGTTTATGACCAGAAGATTTAAATACGCCCCCAGAAAATGGTTTTCCGCACCGTGCTTGAAAAGTACTGCCATTTACACTGTCGAAGAGCTTGTCAAAAAATTTTATAATTCGTGCTGTTCCCATTGCCTCGTGTGTTAAACTGCATTCGGCTGTAAAATTAAATTGTAAATGAATCTGTTAATTATTTTTAAATTTGTATTTACTAGATTTAACCAATAGCGTAATAGTCGATGCCATTGAGTGACTCAAAACTTGTGTCGCATAGCACACCTTCATCTTTTGAATTTTTTCCGGAATTACGTGGAGATCCGTAATTTTGTGTAGAGCCCGTAATTCTCCACATGTTTGATCACTGTAGTACGCATCGATTATATGTTTCCAATTTGCAACCAAAATTTCCTCGCTTGTTTTCCACACTAAATTTTTAGTAAGCAGATTGTTCCTAATACATTTAATTAAATGAGGCGTGTCATATAAGGGAATAATTTCTTGATCCCCTAATAAAATTCTTCTTTTAGGTTCCATCCCTTTATGTATATAACGTTGTTTCGACTCCTTTAGCAGAGAATTTATAGCTGCTTGGTTTGGTTGGCCTTGATCACAAATTGTAACCAGAATTTTGAATCCACAATTTTGTATTTTTTCAACCAGAGTTTTTATAATAGTTGTCAATATGTAAGATTTTGTAGACGAAAAAGAAAATGCAAAGTATATTGGCTGTTGCCATTTTTTAAACACTCCGCGAATGAAAAAAACAAGAACATGATCTGCTATCTGTAAATTTTGTTCAAATCCAAAATTTTGAAATCCGAAAAATGTATCCGTATATTTGTCATAGTCTATGTGGGGCATTATGGACATTTCATCAAAAATTAATGCACATATTCTATCTTGGTTATTTAATTTTGAAGCAGATTCTTTAAGATTGTCGAAAATTATTTTGTTTATACCAACGTCTACTGGAATTTTGTTCAACATAGACATAATTGTTTGACGTGAAGGCAGTGCAAAAATCTGTCTCATTTTTCTATAACATCTCCCAGACTGTTTATAAAACATTAATGCAAATAATTTATCTTCAGTGGTAAACCTGCGACCCTTTGGTTTGACATTTCGTCTTTTTAATTGTGATAAACAAAAATTTATAGCATCCTGACTTAAAATTTTGCTTTCTAATTTTACTTCAAATTTGGAGTATAATTTCAATCGTTGGCGATACGAAGCTACCTTAATTTTGTTTCTACGGGCTGTACGCGAAATATTCCTAGAATTTGAATGTAAATTTAGTATTCGAGAAGATTCTTGGTTTAAAGTTTCGTTTAGGGTTTCTCTGGAATTTCGAGATACTTCAGTACAAAATTTTTGAGAATCCAGTATAGAAATAGGGTTTACGGGATCATGGGTGTGTCTTTCGGGGTCGTTCATATTATCTGAAATTATTGTAAAAATTATCTATGGCATTCACTTGCACACAAATATTTACCATGCATAATTTGAATTGTAGGAATGGCAGTATTTTTAAGTTTTTGATTGGGGCCAAAATCCGTTTCTTTAAAATGTACATCGCAAAGAAAATATCCATTTTTATATATTTTCGTGGGATCTAATTTGCCTAAATTTGGATTCCCTGTCCGTTCCAACCAAATTTTAAAACGCTCGTTGTATTTGTAGGGGTTGGGAAAACGATGGCGTTTAATAATTTTAGTGTTTAGACATTTCAAAACACTGCATAGTTTCATATTTTACGCTTTGTTATCACGTATAATCACACAAATGACACTTTTATACTAATCATAAATGACATTAGTTTTTTTATTGTTTCTTAAAATTGGCTGTGGAAGTTGTCGCCAAGTAATTTTTGGAAAAAAATACTTTACTGCTATCAGTGCTATCTCTTATTATGTGGCCGGTACATAAGCCTAGACACAAACCTGGGACACGCATTACAGCCGAGTTTGCATTCTATTTTACGTAGTATTATTTATCTATGGTGTCCCTAAAGCGTCAAAAACCAGGCGACGCGATCGGCAATTGGCGTCGCTGACCAGGGGTATGCAAATGTATGCTAGTGTATCAACCTATCTATTGTACAACCGTGATTGTGACCTGACTTGACGTAGTGACATTTGATCGAAAAGTGTGGTTACGGTCCACTTTTGCACTATACCACCCAGAGCTGTTCAGTACTTCAAGTAAAAGTACTTGAAGTAATACTTCAAGTACTTTAAGTACTTCAAGTACTTTACTTGAAGTACTTTTATATTTAGGTACTTGGTACTTGGTACTTGGAGTATTTCTAAAATGTACTTGAGTTTAGTACTTGATTTTGCCAAGTACTTTACTGCAAGTACTTCACTCAGTATTTTAAATACTCTTGAATTACTTGAAGTATGAAAGTGGAAATTTCAAATACTTTAGTCTCTATTTTACGAAGTGTTTACATCTCAAAATAGGGTCTGTTAAATACTTGAAGTTATTAATTCAATTATTTGATTAGATGTATTTTTATAGTACAATCGTGTTTGTTTCCTATGAGGTTATATTTTGATCTGTGATTGTGGATATCTTATCCATAATATGACGTACATTTCGTAGGTACTTGCATAATGCCGATAGATAGATAGGTAAGAAAATTAATGTCATAAATATGTCATTTGAGAGTGGATGACGACAGCAGAAGGGTGGGAGATCTGTGTAAAATTTTCAGCGATGTAAAGTTGTGAATATATGAATTTTGTCTTTTTTGTATTTTGGTCTGGAACTTAACTTTGCGGGTAGTTTTTCAGTACCTTCCAGGTACCCCAAAGGGAATCGGGTTTGTTGACGTACCTGCTAAAGTGCAAGGTCGGATTTGAAAATATTTGAGAAATGATTCAGTACTCGTTTAAAAAGATATTTATTCTTTCATTAGTTTCTTAACCCCGCCTTGTATTTGTCAGTAAGAAGCCTGGTCAGGGCGGAGAACTCGGCAGGGGATTATCCCTTTTATTATAATAGCTGATGGCAGGTACAGACTTTAATATTCGCCTCTTCCTCGTAGAATTTAAACACAATTTTATGTTAAATATTTTGCAGTTTAATTTTCTTTATCATGTTAGACACTCGTTTTTTACCAAATTTTCTTTTTTTGTTCATACATGGTTCAGCCATATAAACTTAGTTTATTATTACTACTTATATTTTCTCACATTACAGTTTCAAATAATCTTTTAAATTGTATGAATTATTTGAACACCAACAATTTAAAAAGACGTAATGCAGAAAAACAATGATTTTAAAAGTCACGCTAATTAGTGTCATTTGTCTTTCCTGTGCGGATTTTATTTATTACCGTACAATAACTTTACGTATTACACTGCATCGTTTATTACATAAACCCAATATTGTTCAAAATTAAATATGTTTTGTGAAACTCGGCTCGTAGTACCAATGTTTTTTGTAATCCAGTTGATACGACCATGACTGTATGGTTTTGATGAGTACCGAATTGTACTTTGATATTGCTCGAAGGACATTTGTTTTGTTGTGTGCGAAATAATAGACAGCGTTCGGTTTCGATGTTTCAATACAGGACGGTTACAGAAGTACTGAATTTACATTTGTATTTACAATATCAGGTAAAGATACCCAAAAGGGTCAGTGGCCGCTTCCGTAAATGGAACAAAATACATATTCACATTATAAAAAAATACAAAGTTAATGAAATTCGCGATTAGTTAGTATAATTGCCTAGATAAATACACCCCTACGAAATATTTTAACAATAATAAATTTAGTACATACATATTTACCTGAATTTTCGCAAAAGCCGTTGTTAGGCATTCCCTGAAGTCATTGTAGTTATCAGTTACTAATGTCATCTTCTTTGGGTTTTCAGGTAAAAATAAAAAATAAGCCAATCGAAATTGTAAAGGAAAATTCTGAAAGTATTGTGGCATTAGAGGAACAAAATTTTGTATAAAAGGACGGAACAGCATTACGAACCTATTATTTGTGATTTGTCAGTGTAAAGTTACATACTTAGTTAGACAAACACTGTAGTGATTAGTGTTTACTATTTAGTCACTGTAGTATTTAGGTTAATTTAATAATTTTTAGAATAGTAAATACGTAAATGGTAAAGTCGTAAATATGGGGCATTCATTCCAAGAAAATTCTCAGCATTTTTGGTAACCGCAAAAGTAAAAAACGACTAATTGGACTCTCGTTTTAGGCATTTTATTTTTTATTTAAAATATTCACACGTTTTTTTTTAAAATGCAACATAGTGACTTAAACATTTTTATGTCACGAGCATGTATATGTATCGCACAGCTCTTAAAATTTTTTTCTGAAAAATTTCAGTTTCACAAATCCGGCCCTGTGCACTTTCACAATAGGTAATGATTAAGGGTGCTGTAAACTATCCACAAACTTAAATACGGAACCGGTTCATAAAATTAATATATTTTTAACACAACTTTATTAAAAAATCAGAACGTTTTGGTGGTGAACCAAAATTCAAAATATTAAAAAAAGGCAACAGAAGCCTGAGAAAATACCATACAGCGCCGATGTTTTTGTTATAAATTAATAGTAAGCATACATAGACAACGCCGTCATGTATTTTATTATAAATTTTAAATTAGAAATAGACGTTAATTTTGTCGAAGGCATTGTGTCAACAGAAAGATGTAAAAGTATTTCAAAAGAATATTGTTTATAAATAACATAGTATTATCAATAAGTGAGCTACCATTCTGCATTTAAGTTGATGCTTATGCAATTTTTTATGTGGCGAAATATGTATTATTGTATACTTAAATTCTGAGTATTAAAAAATTCAGTTCTAAAACATATTAAGCTTTTTTAAAAAAACAGGAAAAGTTATCTAATTCTACAGTATTTCAAATAATTAGAAAGTACTTGAAGCATTTTCAGTACTTCAAGTATTTGTAAGTACTTGAAGTATACCTCCAGTACTTCAAGTACTCGTAAGTACTTGAAGTAATGTACTTGGCTTGTACTTCAAGTACATCTGAAAAGTACTTGATACTTGAAATACGCTTGCTGAAAGTAAGTACTTGGTACTTTACTTGAACACCATTTCAAGTAGTACTTTGTACTTCGTACTTCAAGTACTTTTTTTGGGTACTTTGAACAGCTCTGATACCACCTATTTCAGGCCCGAAAACGTTCACCGCTTGTTCGACCTCATCAAAATCCCAGATGAGACCGTCCGTACTGCCTTTTATTTCGCCCTTCGGGACACTCTGGTGGCCGACGACCTTGAACAAGCAACCCGAATCGCGTACGGGGCCAGGCGTTACAGAGTCGTCACTCTTAAAGGAGATCTCATTGAAACCTCTGGTATAATTTTCAAACGTTTAAATAAATCAATAGATAAATCAACTGGTAACAGGTACGATGAGCGGCGGCGGGAAAACGGTAAGTCGGGGCCGCATGGGTCAGTCCGTCGTCGTGACCAACATCAACCCCAAAGAAATCCAGAAGATGGAAACGCACCTAGGACAGTGCGAAGACCGACTCGTGGAACTAACCCAGAAACAGGCCACTCTAGAAAGCCAGATCAACACCCTCCTGCCGGAATTGAATATGATGAAGCTCAACCTACAAAAATTCAACGAGGTTTTGCAGTCTCTGAAACAGCAGCAGCCGGTGCTTCAGCAAAAGTTCAAGAACCAAGAAAACGTGGTGAAAGCGACCAAGTCCGACGCGAAGCAAATTCAGAGATTGACGGTGATCGTGGAGGAGGAGAAGGACGCGTTCGAGGAAGCTTCGGCCGCAGCGCAAGAAATTCAATCGAAAGTTGATAGACTGACGGAGAAGATTAGAGAGAAAACGACCGGGAAGATGAGGGCGGTGGATAAGAGTTTGAATGAGGTGTCGAAGTCGATAGACAAGTGCAAAGCGGAGATTACGAGGTTGAGGGTGGCCACGACGGCGTCCGAAAGGTGAGTTTCGGGTGATTTTTACAACTTTGAATAATTTTTCGTTTTGAAGGAATGCGAAGAAGTCGGCGCAGAAGATCACCACTTTGGAGCAGAATATCGTCGACGCGGAAAACAGGTTAAGAGCGATGAAAGAAGAAAGAGAGACCATAGAATCGGACGGGAGAAAATTGCTCCAGTGCATTGAAGAAATGGCGGAGCAGTTGGAGAATGGCGAAGGGGAATATGCAGGTGAGGAAAGTGAGGTTGGTATTAGGAGAGATATATTGAAAGAATTGGCGTAGAGTTGAAGAACGAGGTGAAGGCGCTGACTGCTGAAGAAAAGAAGCTGTTGTTGAAGCAAGTGGACGTGGATCAGACTTTCAAAAGCATCAACGAAAAGTTGAACGAATGTAACAGTGCGAGTCATCAGTGGACCGCAAAGGTATGTTTTTTTCGAAGTTTGTAAGGAAAAGAATCTGATTAATTTTTCCAGTTGGCCCAACTCAAACTGCACGACATTCCGGAAGACTCCTCCGAATTGAAAACGTTCACGCCTGAGGAACTCCAATCGAAAAACCCGGAAGTGGTTGAACTCGAGCTCCAAGCGGCCCAAAATAACATAAAAAATACGAAACCGAATCTCAACGTCATCCAGGTAAATAAAACACGAGAAACCCTTTTGACTTTTTTCCAAAAATATGGATGTTTAATGAAAAAAAAAATTGTTACAATAATTGTTAAAAACAAAATATTTCCAGGAATACCGAACCGGCCAAAACAACTACATGGAAAAAGCCAAAGAACTCGAAACCATAACAACGAAAAGAAACGACATGAAAACCCTCCACGACAAGGTGAAAAACCAAAGACGCGACGAATTTTTAGTGGGCTACAACATCATCAGAATGAAACTGAAAGAAATGTACCAGATGATAACGCTGGGCGGCGACGCGGATTTCGAAATTCTGGATTCGTGTGATCCTTTCGCCGACGGGGTGCAGCTGAAGTAAGACAGCGTAGCTGCTGAAACATCCGATGATTATAACGTTTTTTTTTTCAGTGTGCGACCTCCACGCAAATCTTGGAAGGCCATTTCGAATTTATCAGGGGGCGAAAAAACCCTCTCGTCCCTAGCTCTAGTGTTTGCTCTCCATTATTACAAACCGTCTCCTTTGTACGTAATGGACGAAATCGACGCCGCTTTAGACTTCAAAAACGTGTCCATAGTGGGGCACTACATCAAAGAGCGGACTAAAAACGCCCAGTTCATCATCATCTCTCTCCGTTCCAACATGTTTGAACTGTGCGACAACTTGATAGGGATTTATAAAATATTTAACTGTACCAAAAGCATAACGATCGACCCCAGAGGCTTCGACGATAAAAAGCAAGAACCGGAGAAAGAAGTCGCCGTTCAGAGGCACGTACCCGAAAGCCAGGAGCCCGTGGCAAGGGTGGTACAGAACGAGGATGCGGTAGTCAACGATTCTCTAGAAGACGCGATGGATGTATCATAGTTTTATCATTTAATTATATAAGAAGAGCAATGTAAAAAAATTGAGTTTATAAATTTGTATTAATTTTTTCAAACGTGTTAGTCTGACGGAAAGCCCCACACTTTGAGACTCCCGGCGTCCCGCTTCCTGTCGTAGGCATCCTTGTCGTCGCAAGCGTACGCTAAAAAGTACATTGATGGGTGCCAAGCTACCGTGAAGGTCGCTGCTTCAACGGAAATGTCGGCGATTTTGTCGCCCGTTTCCACGAACCCGATGTCGATAATCAGGTCCTCGGAGGCGGAGGCCAGGAGTTGCCCGTCGTAACTAAACGAAATCGTCCTCACCGGCCAATCCATCCTGCACAACACAAAATAGAAACCTTTCCTCTCCTAGTAAAAAATAAAACAATCACCTTGTGAACACCCTCTGGCACGCCAATTCGTTGATGTCCCACAGCGACACCAAGGCATCCGCGCTCCCCGTCGCGAAGTACTTCCCCGTGGGGTCGAACTCTATACAAATACACGTTCCAGGATGGGCTTTCAAAATGTGTTGTCTTTTCAACTCCGGGTAACTCAAGATGTGGACACAACCTTGCCCGTTCGTCAGAAAGAACAAGTCGCTGGTGTTGTTCCACGAGATCTCGTTCACTTCGAAGTTGAACTGTTCCTCAGCTTCGATTTTGTGGGTTCTCGCGTCTATGAAAGTTACGAGGTCTTCTTTATTCCCCACCGCTATGGCGTTTCCGTCGGGAGACCACGTGATGTTGATGTTCTCGCCCTTTGTGTTGATGGTGGCGACGCATTTCTGGATTCTGGTGTCCCAGATGCGCACTGATTTGTCGCCACTGGCTGTACTGAGGAGGTCGGAGTGGGATTGGTGCCAGCAGAGTTGGTCGACGGAGCCGCCGTGGCCTTTGAAGGTGATTTCTTTGTTCTAAAATTAGAAAGTTCTGTTGAAATGTGAAAATTTTTAAGAGAAAAGGGGCTCACCAATCGATCTCTGTCCAGAGTGTAGATGCAGACGGATTTATCAAAGGACCCAGAAGCCAAGCGCTTACCGTCGCAGCTCCACCCCACAGAGTGAACTTTAGAGGAATGTCCCGAATACTCTTTGATTTTGCAGTGGCTTTTGAAGTAAGTTTGGAGCTCCTCGATCTTGCTTTGATACATGTTTGTTATGACCGGGAAATGAAACTTGATCACATGTAGCGAATTATATGCATTTTGTAACACAACAATGAAAAAATGGTTTAAAAGAGTAATTAAAATGCTGATTTTGTGTTTCGTCGGTTAACCCTATTGTGGTTTTATATATATTATATCATTTTTTTTTGTCTCGCACAAACACAAACTCTACACTTTTTCAATATCTTTGTATCTGTATGATCTGTATCTGTCACAAAATGTCATTCCGTTATTATACCAACATAAACGCAAGAAAAGTTCACATTTTTATTTAAAAAGTACTGCAGCTGTCATTTTCACTGCTTGATTTGTGCTCCACGCTTTTAGGTTAATTTGCACCTTATTGTTTTAGAAAATCGATTAAAATGACAAAATTACGCAAACAGAGACGAAGAAAAGTTTACCGACACAACGTAAACCGAAAAAGACTCCGAAACAAAATACACGGTGTAGGAAAAATTTCATGGTACCGTTCATAACATGCTCTTCTTTTTTTTTTAAATTTGTGTTTTCAGCAAAGAAATTAAAAGCGCGTGGGACCAACGCAAGTCGATTCAAACCAACTTACAAGAAATGGGGTTGTCCTATGACCCCAACAAAACCATTAAAATTCCTAGCAACAAACAGAAACTAAAAGTATCGATTGCTTCAAATGACAACGAATGGGAGGAAGAACACATGGAGGCACAACCCACAAAATTGCACGTCGTTGAGAGTTTGGAAGAGGATGCTAGAGCCCCAAGAGTTAAAATGTTCCGACTGCCAAAGGGACAGGTGGAATGGATAACTTACCTGATGGATACATATGGGAAGAACTACAGAGCAATGGCCAGGGACAAGAAAAATTACAATCAAGAAACGTGGAAGCAGATTAGAGCGAAAATAAAGAGATTTAAGAGTATTCCAGAACAGTACTCTGAGTATTTGAAGGCAAGAAACTTGAATGATGGAGATGGTGAAAGTGATGACCTATCAGACGATGAAGTTTAAAATAAACAGTCATTTGTACCTATTTATAATGAAAAATACCGTATAAATTTTATTTTGTGGACGTTTTTGAATTGGGAATAACATAACCTCAAAATGTGAAAATAAAGTTAGGAAAGAAGGCCGCATTTTATTATTCTTTATTTATTTTTAAATTGGAAACTGGTGCAGAATCGTGCATGTTTCTATAATATATAGAATTAGATAATTTAACTGAAGTTTTTTTTTATTATAACACTAATGTCGAAATTTGACATCTGACAGCAAATTGACAACTATGACAATTGTGGAGTGAAAAGTGTATTAAAAATTGGTGACTTATCGCCTTTAGAAATTGTTTATTGTACATTGAACAATGTAAATCAGTGATGAGTAATCCAAAATAAATAAAAAGTGAACAAACTTCAAAATCCAACCAGTAAGCTAACCAAGAACCATGTCTTAATGGTTGATTAAACACAGTCCCGTTGTAGTGTTCTCTATGAGGTTTAAGTAACCCCAGAGGCCCCATCATGTCTGACAACCAAGCAGACCAATACAGCGGCCAAGATGCAGACAACTCCCTCAACGACTCAGACGTCGAATGCTCTCAGAGCGTGTGCTCCGACACCCACAGCGACAACACAACCGTCTCCGAAATGACCGACAAGAGCACCATCTCTCTATCGACGATCCACGCCACCCTATCGAACGATGAGACGGAACAGCCCCAGAGCCCTTCAACATGTATGTCAAATTTCAGTCGCAACCTGTGAGCTGAACGTTCATTTTCAGGCACCGATAAAAAGAACTCGTCGTCATCGACGGCCGCCTCGTCGGCCCCAACCCGCGGCTTGCTGCTCCCGTGGGGCGTGCACAAAGAGTACTTCCCGCAGACCATATCCGGAAGCAGCGTGGAAATCGACATCAGACCCGGCGAATACGTCATGAGAAGTTTGTTCTCCGATTTTACCATTCTCGCCGAGAAGAAAATCGAAGCTGTAATGCAAGAACCGCAGGAGAAGCCGCTGTCGAAGACGTTGCAGCGAGGCGAAGACATGCAGTTCGACCAGCTTTTGAGCGCTTTCGGGTGCGTGGGGGAGCATTGTTTGCCTTCGCTTCTGCGGGCTTTGTTTTCGTGGTACGAGAGGCAGATGGCGGAGGTGGCGCATCAGGAGCAGAAAAAGTCTGACATTAAGCAGAAAAGGTAGCTAATTTTGGTGGTTTTAGTTGTGTTGTGATTGATTTTTTTTTAGTATTATTTATATGGTGGCTGGGAACTCCACTGAAACTGTGGAAAGGTCGGAAGTGGATATCCAAAAAGAGAGACGCGACTTGGCTGTGGAGTTTATTTTTTGTTTGGTGCTGATTGAGGTTTTGAAGCAGCTTTCGTTCCATCCAGGACACGAAGATCTGGTGCAGCATATTGAAAATCTTGCATTTAAACATTTCAAGTACCGCGAAGGGTATTTTTAATTTCTTTTTCGAGTCATGGGTTACCGTTTTGGTTTTTGTAGGATTCAAAATAACCCGAACGGTAGCAACATCCACATGATCTCTGATCTTTATGCTGAGGTTATTGGTGCTTTGGCGCAGTCGCGATTTATGTCGGTGCGCACAAGGTTTATGTCTGAGCTGAAGGAGTTGAGGGGGCGCGAAGCCAGTCCCCATACCACCCAAAGCGTCATTAGTTTACTAATGGGAATGAAATTCTTTAGAGTCAAAATGGTCCCTATCGAGGAATTCGAGGCGTCGTTTCAGTTCATGCAGGAGTGTGCTCAGTATTTTTTGGAAGTTAAAGATAAGGATATAAAGCATGCTTTGGCGGGGTTGTTTGTGGAAATTCTTGTTCCTGTAGCCGCGGTGAGTTGGATTTTTTGTTTGTTAAGTTTTTTATTAAACTATAACACACACAGGCTGTAAAGAACGAAGTGAACGTCCCTTGTCTCAAGAACTTCGTCGAAATGCTCTACTCTCAGACGCTGGACGCAAGCACGAAATCCAAACATCGACTCGCTCTCTTTCCCCTCGTCACCTGCCTACTCTGCGTCAGCCAGAAACAATTTTTTCTTCAAAATTGGCACTATTTTCTCGCTATGTGCCTCTCACATTTGAAGAATCGCGACCCGAAGATGTGCAGAGTGGCCCTTGGTAAGCTTATAAGAAACGAAAATTCAGGCGACTTCCCTTTTCCTTACATTTAAAGTAATGTATTTTAAAGAATATTCTAGAAAAAGTTTGAACTCGTTTCAGAATCCCTCTACCGCCTCCTCTGGGTCTACATGATCCGCATCAAATGCGAGAGCAACTCGGCCACCCAATCCCGCCTCCAAAGCATCGTCAACTCCCTCTTCCCCAAAGGTTCCAAAGCCGTGGTCCCCAGAGACACTCCTCTCAACATCTTCGTCAAGATCATCCAATTCATCGCACAAGAACGCCTCGATTTCGCGATGCGAGAGATCGTCTTCGACTTGCTATCAGTGGGGAGACCCATCAAGATCATTCTGACACCGGAACGTATGAGCATCGGCCTGAGGGCGTTCTTAGTGGTGGCCGACAGCCTGCAGCAGAAGGAAGGAGAGCCGCCGATGCCACGATCCGTGGGGGTCCTCCCCAGCGGCAACACTCTCCGCGTGAGGAAAACCTTCCTCAACAAGATGCTGACGGAGGACACCGCCAGGAGCATAGGAATCAGCGCGTACTTCCCCCACGTCAGGAGGGTGTTCGTGGACATCCTCAGAGCGCTGGACACGCAGTACGGGCGGCCGTTGATGATGACGAACACCCAGAACGTGAACAAAGAACCAGACGAGATGATCACCGGGGAGAGGAAGCCGAGGATCGATCTGTTTCGGACTTGTGTGGCGGCGGTGCCCAGATTGATTCCAGACGGGATGACCGGGTAAGTTTTTTCGTTTAAATTTCAACAAGAAATAATTCCGTTTAATCGGTAGCTCGGAGCTGGTGGACCTCCTCAGCCGCTTGACCGTCCACATGGACGAGGAGCTCCGCGGCTTGGCCTACCAGAGCCTCCAGACCCTCGTCATCGACTTCCCCGACTGGCGCCAGGACGTCTTGTGGGGTCTGACCCACTTCCTGGCCAAGGACGTCGTCGACACCTTCCCCAGCTTGATCGACAACGGGCTAAAGATGATCCTCACCCTCTTGTGCGCTTGGAAGGGCGCCCTCACTAACCCCAACGTCAACGCCAACTCCAGCATCCGCTTGAGCAAAGACGACAACAAGCGCACCGACAACGGCAAGTCCGAGCCGATGTCGTCGGTGCTCCACCTGGTGGAAGCCCTCGCCGTGGTCATGCTGTGCAACTACCGCGTCACCACGAAGCGCGTCTCCGTCTTGATCCTCAAGGAAGTGAAGAGTTTGCTGAAGGCGTCGAACTGCTCGTCCAACCAGCCGGTGATCGACGTCATCGATCGGGTGTGCCCGAAAGTGGCGGAGAAGTGCCTGCCGCTGCTTCCGCCGGCGGAGAAGACGGCCGTTCTCACGTCGAGCTGCATCGATCTGCAGTGGCTCGTGGACAGGACGGCGTCGTCGTGGAACGCCGGCTTGGCGGAAGACGGTTCCATCAAGAGCGGCTCCGCCTATAGTTTCAACGTGGTGGACCCGTGGAGCACGTGTCTGTTCGGGTTCTTAGAGAAGGACAGACTTCTGTCGCAGTGCCCCAACGTGACGGCGCATTCGTGGCCGATCGTCTTCACGAGGTTGAACGCCCTGTACTCTGTGGTGGATCCGACGTGAGTTTTAGGGAAGTTTTCTCCAAATAACGTTTGACCAATTTTTCTGTAGGCCTTTGAACGACAACAGAGCGTCATTGCTGAGAAGTTCGGCCACGCTGAAGAAGCCGCCCAACGAGAGGGACGCTTACATGCACCTGTGGAAGAATTACATCACGTTCGCCTTCAGAGTGGTGCCGCACATGTCCAACCCCATCGTGAGGTGTGCCAGCCCCGATCTCAGCTTAAGGTGAGACGACAACTAGGTCGTTCGAACGAAAACAAAGCATTTTCTTTAGTTCGTCTCCGGATAGCTTGAACACCGAACGCTCGGATCTCAAGTCTGGCACCACCAGCGTGTCCCCCACCAGCCTGTACAAGCTCGTGGTGCCCTTGCTGCGGTGCGAAGTGGCCGACGTGCGGGACGCCGCCGTCTACGCCGTCGGCAACATCAACAGCGACGCCTGTAAGGACCTCATGGAGGAGCTGGTGATCTACTTGCGCGAAGCCATCGACAAGAAGCAAGAGAACGTGCGTAGACGCCGGCGTCGCGACGCCCTCAGGCTTCACCTGATGCGCACCCTGGAGTACATCGCCGAAAACGGCACATTCAATATCAGTTCGTGCATCCTGGATAAAGACACGCAGTCGTTGCACCCCACGATCGTGGAGTTCATCGAAGGGGTGAGGTCCTACCTGGAGAACGAACCCGACAAGACGTCCAGTAGCGTCAAAGATCTGACCTTGCACTTCGGCTACTTCCTCAAGAAGTTGATCAAGACGTTCAGTCGTGAGTATTAATTAATTCAAGTGAGTTGGACGGTTGCTTCACGTTGATTTTAGTTGAAGCCTGCCGGAGTCTGCTTAAGCGCGACCTCCGCAGAAACCTCTTCATGATGTTCTCCTTCTGGGCCGGCAAGTACGGGTTGACACCCTCGAACGTCCATGAGACCGACAGCGCTAGCAAGAAGAACGCCGAACTCCAGTACGTGTCGTTGCAAGCCATGAGTGCGATCATGTGCTGCGGGCCGTACTTCGATACCACCGATTTGGGTGAAGACAGCATGATCTATCATTGGTTGAGCACTTTGTTGGATAGCAGCGAAGAAAAAGTCTACAATCTGGCACAAGAGACGGTCATTTTATTCTTGGAGTCCAATCCGGACATCGGTCCGCTTCTGGACTGGGTGGTCGATAAGTGTTACACTGGGACGTATGCGGTAGCCGACGGATGTTTTCTAGCCCTGGCGACGATCTTCAGCGCCAGGGAGTACCCTTGTGACCACTACACGGCTATAATTAACGTGACCTTGATGAACACGGGGTGTCCCAGACCTGCGGTGCGAGACACGGCGTTGCAGCTGCTCCAGTTGTTGGACAAGAGGTTCTTCGGAAGTGTAGGCCCTCTGGCGGAGAGTGATCTAGGTGAGTTTGTGGAATCCGCGGTCTCCTTTTTAAAAAGATAAACTATTGAGAAAAAAAGATGCAGTTACTAAAGGTGTAAGGTTGGTTGCATACAATATTTTCTTATTTATGCGGTTAAAAAAGGAAATTGTTAAAATGAAATTAATAACAATAATTACTTCTTGTCTGCTGTCTTTCTAATTTTATATTAAGGAAGCCCTGGTAGAACCCCGTGTCGACTAATCGATTTGTTTTAATCCCTTACTACATTTTCCACCCTCTTTCGGCTACCTTCGAAAATTACATGAAGAGATTTTTGTAGATTTTGACCACCAGAAATTATTTTCGGCTTAATTTTTCCAAAAGTTCGTACCGTTTTTCCAAAATCAATGTTGTTTTAGGATTTTATGAATTTTTTTTTTTAATTTTACAGCCGAAGGCGACAAGGGGCGGAGCACCCTCGACACCCTCCTCGCCACGACGTACAGAAGATCGCAAGTGCATTTATCCGGACAGTTGGCCCTCCTCCACCCCGAATTAACCATGCCCATGTTCTCAGGTTTCATCCTCTCTCATAATAAATAACCACCCTTTTTTACCGAGATAGTTTCAGAAATCACATACAGATTCCAGTCGGCCCGCCCCGAAGTGCGCCAGCTCCTCCTCCAATACCTGTTGCCGTGGTTACACAACATGGAGCTCGTCGATCCCAACGTGCCGCCCCCCAACCCACACACTTACCAGTTTTACGCCACGGAAACTGGGCGGAGTCGGAAGGAGGGGTGGGGCTCGGCGGAGGCCACCGAGATGGTTTTAAACAACATCTTTTACATAACGGCGAAAGTAAGACCATTTAGTTGTAACTGATTAAACAAAAAAAAATAAATGACATTTTGTTCTAGTTCGGCGATAACCACCCGAAAGAAATTGAAGAGGTTTGGGCCACTTTGTGTACCTCGTGGCCCAACAACATGAAAGTGATCATACGCTACTTGATTATTATATCGGGGATGGCGCCGTGTGAGCTTTTGCCATACGTAAGTAGCGTGACGTCACTCGCTAAGTGTTCAGTTTTTTATTTTTAGACCAAACGTGTTGTTTTGTACTTGGCGAGGGTTCAGCCGGTGCGTCTGCTAGACGAAATGATGCTCGAGCTGCAAACCGTCGAGACCCTCAACTGTTTAATCGAACGAACCGAAACTCCGCCCTTTTACCGCCTCACGGTGATGCGGAAAACGTCGAGTCACTCCGACGGGACGAACGGTGCGGGCGGCCAATCAGATTCCAACGCTCGACAAGACTTAAGTAACTTGCTCGATATTTTGCGACTTTAACTATTGTTTTGTTACGCAGATATCGAAAAGGGTACTATCCATACGAAAAGACACAGCGGAGAAGATCCGTCCAAACTTATCACGAAGACGAACTCGGGGACGGTTTTGTCCGACTTTAACACGAGGATGAGGAATTCGGACGACGGGTGCTCGTCATCGGATGACGTAAGTAGTTGACTCGTAGTGACTTAAGTAATGGAAGGTTTGAAGGTTCAGAATTGCGAGGATATGTTTTTTCGTGAAAAGTACGACATTCCGGTGCCGCAGCCCCACCCGTTGCCCATGCCCGAGTACGGGGGGTACTTCGCTCCGTTGACTGAGTACCTGCCCGAGACGTCGCAACCGATTTCGGGGTTTCACAGGTACTTCTTTATTTGTGTGTTGGTATCCAAAATGGCGGGTTGTGTTCAAGTTACTAAGAGATTTTCATTGCAGGTGTAACGTCGGAGTTATGCTACTGTGCGACGTCGTAGTCGATGGGATCGAATTGGATTGGACGGTTCATGTCCCCTTGATGCTACATATTTTGTTTCTGGGCCTGGACCACACGAGACCATTGGTGTACCAACATTGCAAGCAGCTCCTACTTAATCTTTTGATCGTTCTGGCCCAGCACAACGACCACCTAACGGTGGCCCACATCCTCCTCAACAGTAAAACAACCCAGCTGGAACTGGGTCTCACCACTCCCAGCCTCCCAATATTAAAACACAACTTCACAGGTGAGTCAGTTAGTTGGTGATTTTCACGATTGAATTATCGCTTCTAGAACCCGACTCCGTCTTCGACATCTACCTCCAGAACAGCGCCCCCACTGCGGTAACCGACCCAACTAAACCCAAACCGGGTGTCGCAACCTTACCCGAAGGTGACGTAACCGAAACCAAAGATGTCGCAGCGCCACCGCCTGTGATCATCACACCGGAAGATTCCCCGGCGATTTCCATCACCAATAAGCTGGACATAACCATAGCTTTGGTGATTAAGTCGTTGATTGATTTTCTGAGTAACCAGAGCAGCCCCCTTTGGAACTACGAGGACATCACGGCCAAAGTCTGGACGATCAAGAGCGTCGAACAGATCGATATTTTGTTGCAACACATCCTGAAGATCTTCCAGTTTTCGCTGCCCAATGCACACATTAACGAGAGGTGGGCCCAGACGGCGTTGCAACTAGGGCTGAGTTGCTCGTCGAGGCACTACGCGGGAAGGTCCCTCCAGATCTATAGGGCGTTACGAGTGCCTATTTCTTCGAGGATGCTGTCGGATATTCTGAGTCGGTTGGTCGAGACGGTCGCGGAACAAGGAGAGGATATGCAAGGTGCGTTTATGTTGATTTATGTTATTACTAGCTGACCCCGTGAACTTCGTTTCACCTACAATTTAATTTTGAATCTGCAAAATCGAATGCTTTGAAATCTTGCAGATGTTTTAAACATATGATAAGCATAATAAATTTTTATTCAAAATATATTTACTTATCCCCTCCAAAAAATTTATGACGTCAGCCCAAAATTTTGCCAAATGAATCCTATCTAAAATCTCCAAAATAGGATGAGACTATACTTGTGATTTATCATTCCATTCATATTTTTTAGTTTTGCTTATAGGGGGTGTCTCAAAAAAATTAAACACAGTCAATTTATTTTATTGATTGAATCAAGAATTGCAAAACTGAATTTTGAAATATTGCAGACATTTTGAAGTTACTGTTTGACATGGTAGGTTTTCAATCAAAATATATCTGTTTATCACCCCAAAAACTTGAAGACGTCATCTCAAGATTTTGCCGAATAAATCCTATCTAAAATGTGGAAAACATCATCAGTATATTTTCGTAATTTATCATTGCATTCATATGATTTAGATTTGCTTTTACAGTGACTCAAAAAAATATATGGATCAGTGAATTTATTTTAGTGAATAACTCAAGAGTTGCAAAAATGAATACTTTGAGATCTTGCAGAGGTTTTAAAGTTATTATAAGCATGGTAAATTGTTAAGAATATTTATTTATTCCCCCCAAAAAATTGATGGAATGGTTCACTCGATTTTCGCAGATAATTTTGGGAATACAATACAGTTATTTTTAGTATTACACTGCACCAATCCAAGATGGTATACGTGTTGATAGTAAATGTAGTAAATGTTGATTAGGTCATCACAAAATTGTGTGAAGAACAGACTCAACTCGAAAATGCTGAATAGGTTTCATTATACTTTTGGTGCGAGGGAAGTTCTGTCGAAAAAACGTTCGATCAATTTTTTGACAATGGTTGATATAAATAAAACTCAGTAGATGCTCATACTCGAAATACGAAGTCTCTACTCGAATATCAAATCAAAATATTTCTAGTTTTTCTAGATGATACTAATACTTCAGTAAGTAACAGTTGATGCTCAAGTAGCATCTCGATACAACAAAAAAGGACAACAGTGACAGTGTTCAACCATCAAGGCAAAAATCGAGTCACCAAAATATAAGTTAGCATGGGGTAGACACCTTGAGATGGGAATCTCTATGGCCAGTGTTAGAAAAAACGCACTGCACAATTTATGCATAAATAAAATGAAAAGTTTTCGATATTCCTGATCCTAATGTGTTTTTCAAACTGAATGCACCTTTTTACGACGTTCCACGTTCATGAAAGTCACCATGTTTAGTTAAAATTCACTCTTACAACGTTCCTACTGGTTTTCTAAGCTGCTTTACAGACAGCTCAGTTATTTGCCACGCCGATGCTCATTTCTAGATTAAATGCTCACAAAACGCGTAGATGTTCAGTTTATGTCCGGGGAGATACAATGTTTCCAAGTAGGTACTCAGTACATAGAGTAGATGCTCAGGTATATAAGAGTAATAATGAAGTAGGTACTTTGTACTTCGAATATGAGTATCTACTCAGTTTTATTCATACCACCCAATTTCTCGCTTCAATGTTTGATTATGTTGATTATGAGCACAACGGTGATCAACTTCCATATCCGAATTACCTATGAAATAAATCATTGCGGTTTGCACCTGAGGTAGTTCGTCGCACATTTGATTGACTTCGTGGACCTATGTGAGCTTGTCGTCTTCTCGGCATTTTAATGAACTTCATAAAACGACACAGAATTATTTTCACAGTCAATCAAATCTGTAAATTTTGTCTTGAGAATTTTAAAATATTGAAAACTTCAAATTAAATCCTCGAATATCGGTAAAGTTTGAGGTTTTGTCGAAACCAACAAAGTGAATATAGGTAAAAAGAATGGCAGATCAAAATGAATAAGAAACTTTCGCGATGTGTAATTAAATTCACTTTAACCAAGACTTTTCTTAAAATAAACGACGTTTTTTTTACGAAGAAACAAAGAACGATTTGAAATGCAATATACTTTTCACAATCGCACGGAAGAATTAGTTTTGTATGACACGTCAGTTAGACGACAGGTCCGTCAGAAACGCCAACTATTGAAATTAATTCGAAGTGGCGATTTCCATACAAAATTTTTAGAATTTTTTTATTTTTTAACTGTTCTTTTAAGTTATCCTTATTTTTTTTATTTATAAACCATCCCCGTAATATAAAAAAAAATTCAAATCGGTCAAGCCGTTTTTGAGTCTTAGCGAGACTAACAGGAACAGCAATTCATTTTTATTTTATAGACGATTAAAAAATGGGGGTTGGTGGTAGAAAGGTGAAAATTTAGGGTTATGTGTATTTTTTGATGCCAAATCTTAAAAAAATAAAAATAAAAAATTTTGTCCAAAAAATAGACAAACATTTTTTAGGGTGGGTCACCCTTATCACTTAGGGGTTTAAAAAATAGTTTACAACTTATTGTCAGACCTACCGAATATACATAAAAAATTTCATACAAATTGGTCAACCCATTTCGGAGAAGTTCGGTTACAAACACTGTGACGCGAAAATTTTATACATAATGCATTATTATTTTAGAACAAATTTCATTACCATAAAAAAGGTTATACTGACTCGACCTTAAAAGATAGACATATGCTGTCGCGGACTTTTCTTTAGAACTTTTAGAGGGGAACAATTTCGTCATACTTGATTTTTACGTAACTTTAACCGTTTAAGCAGCGTAAGCAACGGAAGCTGTCAAAGGAGAAAGAGAGAAAAAGATGTTCCCGTTTTTCCGAATTTTTCATTGCTACTTCGCTCCTAATGATCGTAGCGTGATGTTATATAGCGTATATGTAGATATGATACATGGACTATCCAACACAAAAAGATTTTTTGAATTTGAACCAGTAGTTTCTGAGATATGCGTGTTCAAATAAACAAAAGCTTCAGCTTTATTATATAAGTATAGATAAAACGATTTTTCAGTTTCTCAATTCTTCAATTTTTTAATTTTTCGGTTTTTTGATTTTTCAGTTTTTCGATTTTGCAATTTCTCATATTTTTGATTTTTCAGTTTTTCTATGTTTAAATTTTTGAAGTTTTTAAATTTTTTTATTTTAGGATTTTTTGATGTTTCCATTTCCGTATTTTTCAATTTTTTAATATTACCATTTTTATAATGTTTCGTTTTCATAAAAATCATAAAATTTTTCAAAGAAGCGGGATTTATTTTACGGGCCAGAGAAATTCGCCGCCTACCAATTTTTTTAATATTTCAATTTTTCAAATTTTCGATTTCTCGACATCTCTTAATACGATTTGATGGGGTACATTTCAGGGGCAAGGGAAGTTCCATCTAAAAAACATTCCACTAATTTTTTTATTACTTAGGTTACGTGACTGAGCTCCTCCTCACCCTCGAGTCGGCCGTCGAGTCCCTCGAGTCCGACTTCCGCCCGCTCGACTTCATGAAGGACTTCTTCAAGTCTACCCCCAACCTCAACAACAAGGACCTCATCACCCACAAGCAAATCCCCGAGGGCAACGTGGCTCACTCCGCCGCCACCGCCCTCTTCAACCACTCCCTCCAGGCGGGCCACGCGCGCAGCACCAGCTATTCCGTCTCGTACGGCCTGCGCAAGAACGTCTCCTCCCCGGCCAGCGACACCAAGGAGCGCGCCCGCAACCCCGAGATGGAGCACCGGCCCGGCGTCAACAAGTTCTCGTCGAACCTGTCCAGGTCTCGGTCCGCCCAGAGCCTCAAACTCCTCGGCGACTCGGCCACCCAGGACGACAAGCTCACCATCCTCGCGCAGCTGTTCTGGCTGGCGGTGTCGTTGCTGGAGTCCGACTACGAGCACGAGTTCCTGCTGGCGGTGCGGCTGCTGGCTAGAGTGATGCACCGGCTGCCCCTGGACCGGCCCGATGCGCGCGATAAGGTCGAGAAGCTGCAGTCGCAGCTGCGCTGGACGGCGTTCCCGGGGGTGCACGCGCTCCTGCTGAAGGGGTGCACGCACCCGAACATTTACGAGCCGGTGGCGGCGCTGCTGTCGCAGTTCACGCCGCTGCTCAACCTGGTGGTGGTGGACCCGTCGCAGACGGTGGCCTTCCCGATGAACGTGATCGCGCTGCTGCCGTACATGCTGCTGAACTACGAGGACGCCAACGAGATGTGCATAAGGACGGCGGAGAATATCGCTCAGGTAGGGAAGGAGTGGGCGGAGTCGAGGGTGTCCTCTTCAAGGGTTGATTGGTTGGTTGGTTTAGGTGAGCATCGAGAAGAGCAAAAAGCTCGAAAATTTGGGCACGGTCATGAATCTGTACAGCCGGCGGACCTTCAGCAAGGAGAGCTTCCAGTGGACCAAGTGCGTGGTGAAGTACCTGTATGACACCTACGCCCATTTGAGCTTCAATATGTTGACATTCCTCATTGAAGTCCTCGAAAAAGGTAATTCTAGAAAACGTTCAAAAACGGTGCAAATAGTCTTCTCAATATTATATATATATATTTTTTTTTCCCAGATTTTTGGAAAAAAAAATCAAAATTGTGTAACATTTTTCAGTTTAACTTTGAAACTGCACAACCGAATGCTCTGAAATTTTGCAAATGTTTTAAGGCTATCGTAATCGTGGTAAATCCCTTCCCAAAAATTGATGACGTCATCTGAAAATTTTGCCACAATTGTCCATTTTAAACGCATTTTATACTTATCATTTAATTACAAGCCTTTCAAAAATTGTTGCGTTGAATTTTTCCGTGTTCCATTGATTAAATACATATAGATAGACCCATGCTATTGTTTGGAGCGAACAGGCCAACGGCCGGCGAACAAGAGATGGCGCACCAACAGGCGGCCGTCAAACGCCGGCGAAAAGCTTGGACACCAATCGCGCGCGTAGATAACCCAAATCGCAGCAACAATACATTTAATAAAGCTACCACTCGACAGAGGGCGACGAAAACAATGTGTAAAAATCTCATAGTAAACATTTATATAATTTGCAACGTTGCCGGATGAGCCTAGCACAACTTTGCCGTTATTTCTAGTCGATTAGATTTTATTTCGTTTAAAAGTTTCTGGTGAATAAATGGAATTATTATAATGAATAAACAATACAAACAAATTATTACTTGTTATTTTAAATACTTGTTAGTGTTGATGAAAACATAAATGGTAATTAAAGTTATTCTAAATACGGTCCGGTCCGGTAGCTCAAATTTTACAGTACGAGTGATATGTTTCAAGACGAGTAGGTAGCCGAGTCTTTAATTTCGAAACGAGTACTGCGAAAAGAGTTACCGGACGTATGTTGTTATGTATTTTATTTCATACTGTCAACATACTTTTTTATTCGATAAAATTATTATTATTTTGAGAAAAAATCCAAATCGAGTCACTTTTTCTGACATCGTTAGCAACCGCTCTTTGGTAAATGTTTTAATTTGTTTATTCGTGCAAATCAGCATCATATGTTTAAACACATAGTACTTATAACACTTTACAGGACTTATTGTTTTGTATAATCTGACTCGATGGACGAATGTTTTGTGCAATCCGTCTCGAAGGACCAATGTTTGTGCAACTCGGCTCGTCCTACCAGTATTTTTTGTAATCTGGTTGATACGACAATGTGATACCGAATTGTACTTTGATATTGCTCCAAGGACCTTTGTTTTCTTGCGTGCGAGATAATAGACAGCGTTCGGTTTCGATGTTTAATACAGGACGGTTACAGAAGTACTAAATTTACATTTGTATTTACAATAACAGGTAAAGCAAAAGAGACCCAAAAGGGTCAGTGGCCGCTTCCGGAAATGGAAGACTTGTCCTTTTTGGCCACGGAGGTAGAAGAGTGTCTCTTCTACCACCGTGTTTTTGGCTCAATTTTATCGGACTTGTCCGTTTTTTTGATTTTACCGGAATAGTTCGATCCAGTAAAACGTCAAACTTGACATAGTATAAAGTAAAATAAATAAATTTTATGATGTAAATACAATTAAGTGTATCGATAATTCGCTACTGAAAATTTATTGAAATATAATTTGTGTTAAAAAAAGATTTTTGTGGTTTTATGGTTTATTAAATGTAATTAAAATAAATAATATCAAGAACTTGTATTATATATCAAAAACATTCATTGTAAATAAGAAAATTATGTAAATAAACCATAAAACCATACAAAATTTTCCTGCGACCTCTATTCAAAATCCCAGTTTACCAATAGGAATTAAGGCACAAAGATGTTTCACTGAATTTATTACCGATTTTTCAAGAAAAGTATGCTTATAAGCCTATAAGCGTCTAATGGGTTAAAACAACAAATAATAATCACAATTTATTTGTTTTGTGTGTTCATTACAATAATCCCATTTATTTACCAGAAACTTCTAAATGAAATAATATCTGGTTGACGAGAAATATCCGCAAATTTGTGTTAGGCTCATCTGGCAACGTTTTCGGTAGGTAGGTATCAATGGAATAATGCGATTAGGTATACTGACCGTTTTAAGGAGTGCTCGTCCAATAGTGCGTAAACTAAAAGATTTGGTAATTTTCTTGGAAGAGTTTGTTTCTTCAATGAAAATTTATGGTTTTTAATTCTTCCGCCGCTTGAAAGTCTCGCCATGTGAAAATAGATTATTTGATAACCTGTTTCGTAATAATTGTAAATACGAACAAAAGCATATTTGCATATTCTAAACAACTGGCCATATCGATTCCAAACTTGTACAGATATGTTTTTTATTGTTTCTGTTTTCAATGAAATAAATTTTATTTGCAAAATACTTAATGTCTAACGACATATCACGCATACATACTACCCCATTTACTATATTTTCAATCTGTGCATTTTTCGCTTCATTCGTAGGAGCCAAGTAAGAAGTATCAGTGAGACCGGCGGACTTTCAATAGCTCGTAAATGAAAAGATTTAGTAAAGTTTCCTAGAACAGTCTGTCTCTTCATAAAAAAATTTAGACATTTTTACTATGAAATATAGGTACAATACGGTATATTCCACTGTTTGTTTTCTTTGAGATACGACTAGTTCTTGTGCCGAAGTGAAACACCAAAAAGTCTAAAGTCCGGAAATCAGAGTGAATTTTAAAACACATAAAACGACTTCTTTATTTATTTAAATATTGTCCTGTAACGTCCTGTGACGTGGATGGAGTTTCTTAATGTACAAAAGTATGTTAGATAATAACCGAAAAATTTTCTTGATTAAAACTAAAGGAAACACAATTATTACTTGGAATAAAAATAAAGAATATCAAGAACTTGTGCTATGTATTAAAAATATTTAATTTCAAATAAGTAAATTATGTTAATAAACCATAAAACCACAAAAATCTTTTTTTAACACAAATTATATTTCAATAAATTTTCAGTAGCGAATTATCGATATACTCAATTGTATTTACATCATAATAGTTATTTATTATACAAGCGGTTAAAGTGAATGTTTAATGAGCGGCCAGTTTAAGGCGAGAGCGGCGTATGCCGCGAGCGCCTTAAGACCACGAGTTACACATTCATTTTAACCGCGAGTGTAATACAAACTTTTATTCAATTTTGACAACCCCAAGTCCCAAATTGTGAAAAAATTGGTGATTCAAAGTTCACATTCGAGAAACGTCAGAATTGACAGCGACCAAATAAAAGTTTTATATGCGTAGAATTTAGGTTACAATATCAGGTGTGTGTGTGTAGTATGTGACTCTGGCGACGGTGTTTGTTTATTTTAAACAAACTAAAATTATCGAAAAATTGCAAAATCATGCAAGATTCCAACGGCAAAACTTGCTCCCAAAAAAGAGCAAATCAGAAAGTGTATCAAAAGTTCCTTAGATGGAAAGAGCAGCAAGGCATTGGAGAAATTACAGAAATGGTAACCATGGTTTTAAAACAGCAAAATAAAAATTTTATTTCGCTAGCGGTTTAAAAATTTTATGGTGCTGCCGGATAAACCAAAGCTTTAGTGGCCTACTGACGGCAAAATAAACGTTTGTTTACATGTCAAAATTGAATAAAATTTATTTATTTTACTTTATACTATGTCAAGTTTGACGTTTTACTGGATCGAACGATTCCGGTAAAATCAAAAAAACGGACAAGTCCGATAAAATTGAGCCAAAAAGGACAAGCGTTCCATTTCCGGAAGCGGCCACTGACCCTTTTGGGTCTCTTTTGCTTTACCTGTTATTGTAAATACAAATGTAAATTTAGTACTTCTGTAACCGTCCTGTATTAAACATTGAAACCGAACGCTGTCTATTATCTCGCACGCAAGAAAACAAAGGTCCTTGGAGCAATATCAAAGTACAATTCGGTATCACATTGACGTATCAACCAGATTACAAAAAATACTGGTAGGACGAGCCGAGTTGCACAAACATTGGTCCTTCGAGACGGATTGCACAAAACATTCGTCCATCGAGTCGGATTATACAAAACAATAAGTCCTGTAAAGTGTTATAAGTACTATGTGTTTAAACATATGATGCTGATTTGCACGAATAAACAAATTAAAACATTTACCAAAGAGCGGTTGCTAACGATGTCAGAAAAAGTGACTCGATTTGGATTTTTTCTCAAAATAATAATAATTTTATCGAATAAAAAAGTATGTTGACAGTATGAAATAAAATACATAACAACATACGTCCGGTAACTCTTTTCGCAGTACTCGTTTCGAAATTAAAGACTCGGCTACCTACTCGTCTTGAAACATATCACTCGTACTGTAAAATTTGAGCTACCGGACCGGACCGTATTTAGAATAACTTTAATTACCATTTATGTTTTCATCAACACTAACAAGTATTTAAAATAACAAGTAATAATTTGTTTGTATTGTTTATTCATTATAATAATTCCATTTATTCACCAGAAACTTTTAAACGAAATAAAATCTAATCGACTAGAAATAACGGCAAAGTTGTGCTAGGCTCATCTGGCAACGTTGCAAATTATATAAATGCTTACTATGAGATTTTTACACATTGTTTTCGTCGCCCTCTGTCGAGTGGTAGCTTTATTAAATGTATTGTTGCTGCGATTTGGGTTATCTACACGCGCGATTGGTGTCCAAGCTTTTCGCCGGCGTTTGACGGCCGACTGTTGGTGCGCCATCTCTTGTTCGCCGGCCGTTGGCCTGTTTGCTCCAAACAATAGCATGGGTCTATCTATATGTATTTAATCAATGCGTGTTCCTAGGCCCCGCCAACCTTCAGCTGCCCGTCCTGAACATCATCCACTGCATCCTCCACTACGTGGACCTGGGCTCGGCCGCCGCCCATCCCATCAACACCGACCTGCTCCGCATCGTGGTCAAGTACATCGAAGGCGTCCACTGGAAAGAAGCCCTAAAAATCCTCAAGCTGGTGGTGACGCGTTCCAGCTCGCTAGTGGCCCCGCCCATCTCCTCCGTACACTCGAATTGGGAGAGCTCGCTCAACCCCCTGCCACACCCCTCCTTCAACGAGGACAGCCTCTTCAACAAGAAGGAGTTGCCCGGGCGGACCATGGAGTTCACGTTCGACGTGTCGCAAACGCCGGTGATCGGCCGCCGCTTCTTCAACAAGGTGGAGGAGACGCAACCGCTGGTCACGCCCAGGAGGTCGTGCTCGTTGAGTCCGGCCGACGTCACGCCCCAGACGGGGTGGAAGCGCCCGTGGATGTCACAGGTAGGCGTTCAACTTTGATAACAAACAAAATAACGAGGTGGTTTGTGTTCAGGGTCGCGTGAGGGAGTGTTTAGTCAACTTGTTAACAACCTGTGGACAACGAGTCGGTCTGCCTAAGAGTCCCTCGGTCATATTCAGCCAAACTTCGGACATAATCGAGAGGCAGTCGAGCATGGCGTCGAGCACCGAGGAGATGTCGTGCGGGAACAACGACATGAGCGGCGGGTCGAGGCGCGACGACGCCGCCACCGAGTTCGGAGTCTTCAAAGACTTCGATTTCCTCGAATACGAGAGCGAGAGCATCGAGGTCTGTTTTTTGTTTGTTTGTTTGTTTGTTTGTTTGTTTGTTATTTATTGATTGGAATGAGTAGGGTGAAAGCACGGACAACTTCAACTGGGGCGTAAGACGCAGACCCCTGAGTCAAGGTGAAGAAGAACAGCCCAGCTTTAAGCAACTGGAGGACAGTCTGAGCGAGAAGACACCCATGTTGACTGTTAGAAAGAGACTCATGACTGAAGAATCGTCGGATGACGAGGTCGGCTCTGAGTCGCCTCTGGACGAGATCGTCATAGCTCCGGAGTTTGACAACAGTACGGGTGAAGGGGGGGTGGGGTTTCCGCCATCTTCGCTTGTTTTGAGGGAACAGTCGCAGATTATATCGAGTGCGAGGTCGGACACCAGGTGAGTGCCGTTTTCGAAACGAGGGGCTAAGTCCCACAAATTCCCGTTTAATCAACCTGTCGTCTAGCATTCCACCTTAACTGGAATAAATACTTCCAAAATTCTGATTATCCCCTCGTTTTGTAATGATGACGATGCTAATGCGAAACAGTGGCTCGAGTGCTGGAGACCTCGGCGAAGTGACCCCCTGCAACGCCTCTCCGAACTTCTCCGGGATTTTAACCATCCGGCCGAGTAAGAGCGACGTCCTGGAGAACTGGACGTCCTTCATCCAGACGAACATGATCCAGATATCCACCAACACGCTCCAGTTCTTCCACCAGTTGCAGAATCTCGTCAAGGTACGACGAATGAACACCTGGTGCAACCATTAAGCGTTTTATTCCAGGACGTGTGCACTTCCACTATAGAAATAACCAAAGATTCGTGTTCGCACATGATGCAGTCGGCTGCTGGCGGCTTACCGACGATCAAATTGATCGGGTCCAGGTTGAATTCCATGATCGATATCATCTCGTACAGGATTCTACCGCCGAACTTGATTTGGTTCAACGCTTCGGCTTTGAACAACACGAAGTTCATAGAGACGATGAAGTACGGGATGTTGGAGGTGCAAGAGCACTTGGAGACTTTTTGCGACAAGAAGGATCAAGCGGCAGTGGTACGATTATCCGTTTCTTTGTTATTTTGTCTATAAGTATGATTCGTAGTACTGCAACGCTGTCAAAACCACGCTAAAAGTGGAATATTTGAGCGGCCAGCACCCCACAGAAGTGCATCATTATCTCCTAGACCTAGGAAAGTCTCTCTATAAACTCTATTTTCAACTATTACTCTTGATAGAAGCTGGAAATAAAATCGTCGCTGCTCTACACAACACCTTGAGAACTGCAGAGGTACGTAATACGTTATTTTGTGATTCACAAATATCGTAATCATTTTGTAGTTCAAAGACATCACCGCAGATGTTAACTTGATAAAAGACGCTCTGTTGAGGAGCTCAGAAGATAACGAAGCCGACGGCGGCGTTTCGCCTCCTTCCACCTCCAATTCCGACACAAATCTCTTCAAACTGATCGAAAGCGAAAAATTTTCAGCCGCTTTGGCGTTCTTCAAGTCAAACAAAGACGAATTAATCAAGGAAGTCAATGATCTATCGGATCTAAATAACGACGTCTACATTATTCTGAGTCTGTATTGTAAGAAGGTTATCCAGGATAAGCCAGGTTTGTCTTTGTTGCGTGAAAACGCAGTGTTGACAAAGTTGTTTCAGAGTGCTTTGTCATGACCAACCAGGAGGGAGATTTAGCCGACATTTTTGGAAGACTGTTTCAGGTTTCGGCCGCCGTTGCCGATCTAGAGAGCGTTATTAAAAATACGCAACCGTTGGAGAAGGCAACGGATAGTAAAATTTAAAGATTGTTTAGACTAAGTATGACGAAATTTATGAGATTTGTACTGTGATTGTAACATGAGCCAAGGTATGAACAATGTAATCAAATTTAATGTAGGTGTAGCTCGTAGAGTAAATTAAGACTGATGTTTAATTTGCTTGGTGGTAATTGCTGTATTAGACGAATGAATATGTGTACGAAATACATGGAGTAGAAAATTAATGTTTTAAATTTGCCGCCGAAATTGCGTCGTTTTGATTGGTCGTCACGGGTGCAAAGTCTAATAACCTCAAAGTCAAAACAAATTCAAACTAAATGCAGCCCCAAAATGTTCACTCCGTGCTCGCAGTTGGAGAAAATTTCGACTACGCACTTTTTCGGGTAATTTTATAACTTATGTGAAAATCACGACTGATTAATTTAGGTTGCAATTGCTTTCGCCGAGAACGGCGTCCAAGTGTGGTTCATTTCCCCGAAAGCGTTCGACAAGGCCCCAAAAGAACTGAAAACCCCCGATAAAGAAATCCTCCAACTTATAACTTTCATGTAAGTATCGTTCGTAGCATTATTTTTGTGTAACCATTTGTGATAGGTACTTAAAGGATCACAACGATTTAGTCACACAGTTGAATGGAATTCATCTCTGGCGCAAAATTCCAAGTGTTATTATATTGAGCGGATATGAACACTATTGCGACTTCAGTAGTGTTAATTATAAGCCGTTACAGGCGGCTTTAATCACTACAAGCCTGCTGGATAGTGTGGGAGTATGTGCAGCTAAAAAAGGTGAGAAAATTGTTTTAGTCGTGTCTTGTGTGAAACTAGTAGAAGCGAATTTGCCGAGACTCCAGGTTTTGAAAGATCTTTATTTTAAAGATTCTGTGTACAAGGCAGATGATGATAAGTTTGTTGAAAATATCATCGAAATGTTAAAGTGAATGAATAAAAAAAAAAGCCACTTTAAGTTTTAATAAATATAAAATTATACAAGTTATTTACATTAGTGTATAAACACATTAACATCAAGAACGTTAAAAAATAAATTGTCAAGATTCAATAACCATCATAATACTTGTAATATATTAAAAGTGAAAACGGTATGTAAAGCACACTTGGGAAGAGACGCATTAGGAAGAATGTCACTTGGATAAGAGGAATTAAGGCACTACGTATCTACATACATTTCTACAAAAGACTTTTGTACTTTGTGAAGAGGTTATAAAGCACTCTCAGTGTAGACTTCAGATCATAATTCACAACGTCTGCAACAAAAACATCCAGGAACGAAATAAACACCTTGACACTCACCTTCAGGCCTCGCTTTCGGTCTCTTCAAACCCACTTCCTCCATCAATTCGAACGCAAATGACACATTGTGCACTTTCTGTTCGAAATCCTTTGGTGTGGCATGAAAACTGTACAGCGGCACGAAAAACCCCTCCAACAGCCCCATCAACATAATCAAATACACCCCATCGTGGAACTGCGTCTCAATATCGCTCACTTCCAGATTAATTTTATTGAGGTGTTTATTAACAAACGTCACCAAGCTCTACAACAATAAAAGTAACACCAAAATTACCCAAAAATTAAATTACCTTTTTGACTACTTGGAGTTTATCGGGGGCGTGATCGAACAACGTATCGAAAGCGTCGCGTTCGCACCTCATCCCCACGTCATCGTAAGCAGCGGTGATGATTTCTTTGACCACGCGATGGGTCAACTGACCCCCTACCTTCTGCACTACTACCATCGACACAGACACGTGTTCCGGTAGACGCACCGGGGGCCTGAAGTGTCTGGCTAGAGCTACCAGCAAGTGTAAAATTGGAACGATGTTTTTGGAGTGGATGGCTTCGACGCTCCACTTTCGGTGTTCGAGACGCTGCACCCCCAAAACTTGATTGAAGTGTGCTAACACCACAGAGAGCTTCTGTTTTTGGCCTTCTTCAGATTGAGTGACTTCGGGCACGTCGAGCTTATCGTTCGTGAGTTTTTCGAGGAGTTTTTGCAACACTTGACCATCGTACAAGTCTTCAGACAATTCTTGGACTATTATTCTTTGGGATGCTAATTCGTCGTTCACCCAGTCGATCAACACTTGGATCAGCTCCCTGAATTTAGGGTCTTCGTAAGAGCGAGGCTCCACCATGCAACGTTCCTCTCGGTCCTCTATAAGACTCATTAGTACTGCTACAATATTAACAAAATAATTACGCACCCAAATCATACTCTTCTGGAGGTGTCACGGGATTCAAGGGGTTCCCCGGTGAGTCGATCGCATACTTTCCCTCAGCTTGCACCTCTTGAACTGTAAATAATTAAATCAGGACACCACACCTACTTTGTTTAACAACATAACCATATATGGTTACGTCATTTTTTAACACGGAAAAGTAGGTCAGACTTGTGGTTTTTACCTTCCTTGATGCGTTTTTTCCGGCCCAGAGTCCCCAACTTGTCCCAAATCGACTCTTCCTTGTCGTTTTTCGCCCCCACAGTCCGCGGAGATTTAGGCCTTACGGTCGCCATTTCTGGATCTCTGTCATCGCCGTCTAGGGGAGTTTGGCGCGGCTTCGGTGAAATCACTGAAAATGACACTAGTGACAGATACTATAGCACACTCGACTGATTTGTCAGCTTGTCACAATTAGAAACATGACCGCTGATCTGATCGTGGACCCCCAAATCCGCTTCTGGGTGTTCTTGCCCATCGTAGTGATAACATTTCTAGTCGGAATCCTTCGCCACTACATCTCCATACTTCTATCAAGCCAAAAAAAGGTAGAAATCCAGCAACTAGCAGACAGTCAACTGATCCTCCGAGCGAGAGTCCTGCGAGAAAACGCCAAATACATCCCCAAGACCTCGTTCTTGATACGAAAACATGCCTTCAACAGAGAAGAGGAGGGCTACTTGATGCAGAAGCGTCCCCCGGTGACGCAGAACATGATGACCGACCCCACCATGATGACCGACATGGTAAAAGGGAACCTCACCAACGTTCTGCCCATGATCATCATCGGCGGCTGGATCAACTGGATGTTCTCGGGCTTCATCACCACCAAGGTACCCTTCCCGTTGACCCTGCGGTTCAAGTCCATGCTGCAAAGAGGCATCGAGCTGTCGCACCTCGACGCATCCTGGGTGTCGTCGGCGTCGTGGTACTTTTTGAACGTGTTCGGCTTGAGGAGCATTTACGCGCTGGTGTTGGGGGAGAACAACGCCGCCGACCAGAGCAAGCAAATGCAGGATCAGATGTCGGGGGCGGCGATGGCCATGCCCAACGACCCCAAAGTACCTTTCAAAGCAGAGTGGGAAGCTCTGGAGATCGTGGACCATCAGTGGGTGTTGACGGATATTGAGAACACAATCACCCAGAGTGATGGTTAATGAGTGAGTCGAATCTAGTTTATTGTATTGTTCAGACATTGATTGTTTCAAGTTGAGTATTGAGATTTTTTTAAGTTATGCGAATTGGGAGTTTACTTACTTTTCATTAAATATACTGCCGTTGCTTTGTCGTTTTTGTCTTCTTTCTCCTCAGGTGTGAATTGTTCTTGGGTGTCTTTCGGGGGCGTTTTCATTTTGAAGTCGACGATTTTGGGTGGCGACGTCAAAGTTTTGACTTCTTCGTCGCTGGATTCGGACGACTCTTCTGACGGGTCGACGGGGTATAGTCGGGTTTCGAGGGAGGATTGGCGGAATAAAATTTGGCACTCGGGCCGTTCTAGCTTGTCTTCCATTTTTCGAAATTGGTTTTATTGTTGGAATAGAGCGTGTAGGAACTATCTTGAATGAAAGGAAATCGTAAGATCTGATAAGTGTTGACCGCAATTTCCGGACGAATGCGTGGATGTGGGGAGGGCTTTCTTTTCGTGGAATCACGCAATATTTATATACGTGATTAAAGCTAACAAAGGCGATTAAAAAAAAAAGAGGAAAAACTGATGAAAATTGTATGCAGATGTATCTTTCGGTGGTGTGTAGGCAACTATTAATTCACTTGTGATTCACAGGTGTATTGTTAGTTGTCTACACAAATGGAAACAAAAATGAGGTTATGTTTGTGTTGTGTTAACCAAAGATATTGAATAAATATAGATACACACAGTCAGTGTGACCATTTGCTATGATATTGCCAACAAATCATGTATTTAAAACTTGATACGTTCAAAACCGTCACGTACCGTCACTCATATTGTAGAGTGGAAATAACTGTTTTTTGTTAAAATTAATTAAGGCTAAATTCAAATTTATGGGTATTTTGATGTTACAATTTTCACTTAACCAACAATAAGGTTATCGACAAAATTACGGTCAACTGAAACTTTTTAATTGTCAAAACAAGATTCATTCCCAAATATAGAATGCAAAAAATATTCAAATTTTGATTTACTGGTTGCCTAATTTTGGTAATATTCCTAGTTATTATCTAATTTAAGTTGGCAGTTTTCAAAATTTTATGTTGGCATACCTTATTGTGAAATGGACGTTTTGCACAACTATCATGGCCGGCTATTCAATGCTACCAATCGATTAAAAAAAAAGATAATACATATAAAGCAGACAGGCATTCATTATTATTAATTAAAAACTAAAAAAAAACAAGAAACAAAATGCTTGAAAACAACATTTTTGGCCTATGACTATTTCAAATGCAGTAACGAAGAGTATATTCAAAGCTCCCGCCGCGTAAGATTTGATTTCTTGTTGTTGCCCTGTTAATAAAAATAAAATTCCGAGTCTTCCTCGAGAAGTCGGAAAAATTAAATTCTGGCAGCGTGGATTTTAGTACGCCTAATAGGATCACAGAAAGTCGAGGAGGTCTCCGAGAATTACCTTGCTCCGGATTTGACATTTGTTACAGAAACCTCCTCGACGATATGTGATCCTGGTACGAGGTCGAATATCAAGATTCGCCGGCTTGGTACTTTCACGAATTCAGGAGTCGGAAAAATTAAGCGCTGGCAGCGTGGATTTTGGTTCGCCTAATAGGATCACAGAAAGTCGAGAAGGTCTCCGAAATTTACTCCGAATCGAAATTGACATTTGTTACAGGAACCTGTAATACCTCAATTGTCACTTGAACGATCAGGCGCCGTTTCTAGCTTTCGCCACCTCCTCGACGATATGTGATCCTGGTCCGAGGTCGAATGTCGAGATTCGCTGGCTTTAGTATCAAATTCACGGTCTTGTAGTTTGAAAATTAACGGCTGACAACGTGGATTTTCGTTTCGCCTAATAGGATCGCAGAAATGCGAGGAGGTCTCTGAGAATTACTTCGAATGACATTTGTTACAGAAACCTGTAATATCTCAGCTGTCACTCGAACAATCAGGCGCCGTTTCTAGCTTTCGCCACCTCCTCGATGATATGTGATCCTGGTCCGAAGCCGAACATCGAGATTCGCCGGCTTGGTACTTTAACGAATTCAGGAGTCGGAAAAATTAAGCGCTGTGCGTGCCAACGTGGATTTTCGTTCGCCTAATAGGATCATAGAAGGTCGAGGAGGTTTTGAAAATTTTGATGCTCTGGATTTGACATTTCGTTACAGAAACCTGTAATACCTCAGCTGTCACTCGAACAATCAGGCGCCGTTTTTAAGTTTTTAGCTTTGGCCACCTCTTCGAGGATATGTGATCCTGGTCCGAAGCCGAATATCGAGATTCGCCGGCTTGGTATATATTTAACGATCTAGACTGTGGTTATGAATAAAAAATTGGTCTAAAGAGTTTAGACAGTACTTCCCTCGCTGTCGGAAACTTGACGACTGCATGCCTATTGTGTTTTTTTTCTCATTACATTTTTGTAGTGGGAATTTAAAAAAAAATTGTGATGACGTCATCAACATTTTTGCAAGGACACGTATATCAGTTGGGATAGATGTAGTGTAATACTAAGAATAAAATTATTGTATTCCCAAATTTTCGGGAAAATGAATTGGGTCGTTTTGAATATTGATTTTTTATAATCAATAAAATAACGAAACAATTTACTCGCGTATACGGCAACTGAAAATCGTTTATGTATAAACATTCTTAATTTAAGATGACAAGCGTAACAGCATACGTGAAAGTCAAACAGAGAAACTGTAAACAAAACGACCATCGGTTTTATTGCTTCGACTTCCGCTTATTATATAAAACATTGGGTTTTATTTTAATTCTTGACGGTGAAATTCACAATTGGTTAATTATAAACATGTCTATTTCACATTCGCGGAACCAAGTGATCGCATAAAACAAATGCAGGTCTGTAATGTTAAAGTCGATGTAAATAAGCGTGCTACCCTTATGTTTCAACCGAGTTTTTCCTTTAACAAATTTTGTGTCTACCAAATTGGGTTGGTTGGGGTGTAATACTAATAATAAGTGTTGCCTTTAATTTAATCAATAAAATAAATTGACTTCATTAATTTTTTTGAACCACCTCTTAAGAAAATCTAAAAAATATGAATGGAATGATAAATCACAAGTACAAACTCATCATATTTTTTGCATTTTAGATAGGATTTATTCAGCAAAATTTAAGGGTGACGTCATCAATTTTTTTAGGAGGGATGAACAAATACATTTTGAACAAAAGTTTACCATGCTTATAATAACTTTAAAATATTCCCAAGATTTCAAAGCATTCGGTTTTGTAATTCCTGATTAAATCGATAAAATAAATTCACGCCTTCATTAATTTTTTTGAGTCACCCTGCATATGCAAATCCAAAAATATGAATGGAATGATAAATCACAAGTACAGACTCATCATATTTTGTACATTTTAGATACGATTTATTCGGCAAACTTTTGAGCTGACGTCATCAGTTTTTTGTAGAAGATAACCAAATATATTTTGACTAAACATTTATTATGCTCTTTATACCCTTAAAACATCTGCAAGATGTCAGAGCATTCCGTTTTGTAGTTCCTGATTAAATCAATAATATATTTACTCATTCATTAATTTTTTTGAGGCACTCTGTATATGCAAATCGAAAAAATATGAATGGCGTGATAAATGACAAGTACAGACTCATCATATTTTGTACATTTTAGATATGATTTATTCGGCAAACTTTCGAGCTGACGTCATCAAGTTTTTGGAGGGGATAAGCAAATATATTTTGACTAAACATTTATTATGCTCTTTATGACCTTAAAACATCTGCAAGATTTCAGAGCACTCGGTTTTGTAGTTCCTGATTAAATCAATAAAATAGATTTACGCATTCATTAATTTTTTTGAGTCACCCTGTATATGCAAATCCAAAAAATATTAATGGAGTTTTATATCACAAGCACAGACGCATCATATTTTGTACATTTTAGATAGGATTTATTTGGCAAACTTTTGAGCTGACGTCATCAAGTTTTTGGAGGGGATAACCAAATATATTTTGACTAAAGATTTATGATGCTCTTTAGAGCCTTAAAACATCTGCAACATTTCAAAACATTCGGGTTAGCAGATTCAAAATTAAATTGCAAAATGTTGTTTTATAATTTTGATTTTTTTTCCAAAAATCTGGACGTTTCGGGTAAAAACTGAATTCGGAGTCGTAAACTACATGTGTAGGACTATGTTATTTTATACAATTTAAGACCTATTTACTATGTACAATTTTGAAGTGACGTCATCGCATTAGTGGTGGGGATGATTAGACAAATTTTGGTTAGCGTTTTACCATCTACATGATATTCCTAATATAAGTACAGAATTTCACAACAATCGGTCCAGTACTTTCGGAGATTATCTGTCTAATAAAAATCCGGGACGGCAGACGGACAGACGGACGGACAGACGGACAGACGGACGGACGGAAATGGGAGACCTATTTCTTCGTCTTCTAGGGGTCATGAAAGATCGAGAAAACGTAAAAGCAGAGAGTCGGCCGACGGACTCGATTACAATACTTCCTTTGCTTACGCTCGGGAAGTAAAAATCAACAATTTTTATTATTCTGTTTTATTAATTACGATGACTACAAGAGTTGAACACTAAGGTATATGAGAAAACTACTGTAACTCCGAATATAATATAACACGAGTATAACAACGCTAAACTTTTTTAAACAAAGTAAATACAAAGTAAAATATTTGAGACGGGACGACACTAATTCTGATTGACTGACTGACGAATCGAACGATGAGTGCTTGAATGAATACTTGGATCTTGAACACTTGATGAATCTTCTGGTCGTTCTTCTCCCTTATGTACTGAGATTGGACCTCCTTTGGCAAAGGTAAACTGCACAGGGGCTGATGTACTTATCAGTAAAGGGGCAGAAAAAAATCACGCAACCAAAAAACACATTCCATAACTAAGCCGCGGATTTCACACAATTTATTATAAATAAATGCGGGCAGCTGTATGTGTATTATAGGTTGCCTATTTAGATGTGTATTATGAGTTGCATAAGTTCACGACGGCAGCGCAGCAGTTTTGGTTGCCTATCATATGCGTTATTTATTTTAAATAAAGAAATAAAATCCAAATATTTTTACGTACAAAATATATTCAAAATTGATATAAACTATAAATACAATTCAAAAATATAAAATATACTTTCCAATTTTGATTTTACCAATTTATGTTGGTAGTCCTGTGGTTGACAGCTGACAGACTGTTAACCTCAAATGTAAATTTTCAAAAAACAAAAATATCCTTCATATTAAAACCACATTACCACATGTATAATTCTTATTTAAATTATCGCTTTCCGTGTAGTTTGTGAAGCAAAAATGAACTCGCTCTGTGGAAATTTGAGACACATTTTCTATAACCCTTGTCCAGGATTCATGGGTAAAATGACCACTTACTTCACATTTTCTCCCCGCTAAAAGTAGTACCTTAGTATCGGCCAGGTTTGCCAGCAAGAAAACCAGCGGAAGCACCCAAAACACCCACACCAAAGTCAGACCGAAACATCGCGGTTGGAAAGTACAGGACGGTACTAAAGTAGAAGCTGGAACCATTTTAGCAACACAGCGCCATTTACGTTTTCATCCTGGTCTAAATGTACTTTTTTGACATTCAGCAGACACAATATTAAAGCTACTTTGTAGGTTGGCTTAGGTAGAAATGGTACGTTGTTTGCAATCATCCCAGGAAAAGTTTTAGTCACATGTGAGAAAGTAGATCTGGACTGGGAACACACGTGGGTGGAGAGATGCCACGGGTTTAGAAAAAATACAGAATTTTACAAAAAATACTTTAATATTTTGCCAGAGAAACAGCATCAGAGTTTTAAACTAATAGAACAAGTGTAGATGTAAAATAAAAATTAGTTTTGTTAAGTGACTAGCCAGTTGATCGTTATGTAGGAAACTTGGTTGTCTTTTAAAGACGCCAAAACGGCGTGTTTTCGTACGGACGACGCTAAACGACCAAAAGCGACTATTTCTGTTGCATGCATGGCTATGTCTGGGTTCTCTACACAGTGTACAATAAAAATGGCATGGTATGCAATAGGGTCACCTAAAACGTGTTTTAATTACAGTGGTTTCATGTTGTTTTGAACTTACCTAAATAAACTAAAAAGTCTGCTCCGAATTTGAACCCCGACGTTATGTAGTACCCTTTTCCGTGCAAGTCTTTGTAAACGTGATACTTTAACTCTGTAGTACTTTTGCAAAGTTCGCCCCTAGACACAATACTACTTCTAGTTGAATTAGAAGCTTTAAGCAAAATTGGCCATATCATATTTTGATTCGTAATTTGTGAAGATTTCTCCAGTTCATCGTTGAAAATTTCTTCTGATGATCTCGTATCTCCCCGTTTTCGTTTGGCTGCAACGATATCGTCAACCATAACTTCCAGTTGCCTTTTCCGCCGGTTCCTATAAATGATTTTTTCTTCTTCAAGTAGCTGATGCTCCAACCTGTCGTGCTTCTTTTGATCTTCCGGTGTTGTGTCAAAGTCATGATTGATTACTTGTGCCAGTTCTTGATCTACTAACAGTAAAGCTTCTTCCGGTAACAATTTTAGTGGTAGGGCTGCAAAACTGACGTGAAACTCGAATCGTTGCTAACGGGGTCAATTACTTTGAATTATGTTTGTGTTACCGACAAGGGCACCTAATATCCTGTGGGTTTTTCGAAGGGTGGCCCAATCTGAAAAAGCCCCCTGTGACAAAAATAACGAAAAACTGTTTTGGGGTTTTACCGTCTACGTCGAAGAGAAATACTTCGCCGCTGTTGTATTTTAGTTCTATCATACTGTTACCATTCGTACTTTCTTCTTCAACACCAGTTTCACCACTCATTAGAATACGTTTTTAGGTTAACTTTTATTATCTTTGATTTTAAAAGTACAAACATTTTCTGTAAACACAGTATTTGCTATCTTATTCAATTTAGACAACGACATTGATGCCAAAAACGAAAAATTTGCCCATTTTTCAAAAACGTGGTTCAAGCCTTTTTGACATAACCTCAAATTATGATTTTCGCCGCAGTTACAAAATGAAATATGAACAGTACAAAATACGTATATTAAGTAAAAATTTGGTAAATAATACATAAAAGACAAAAAGGTGATTGCACACTTGTCGATGACAGTATCACATTAGGAACAATATGAGTACTAAAATTAAATATCCCATCCCATGGACCTCTCCACTGCCATTTTCCACTTGGCATATCTAACATCCCTCTCATTCTCGCTATATTTCGGTGTCCACTTCTGCGCCGGCAGTGTCAATGGGGCCCCTTCGATATCCCACACTTTCATAGCAAATCCGGCCACCATGGCCGCCCCCAAAGCCGTACTTTCTGCCATACTCGGCTTCACCACGGTTACGCCCGTCAAATCCGCCTGCAGCTGCATCAACAACGAATTTGCTGTCATCCCCCCATCAACCTTAAAAAAAAAAACAATTAATACTTTAAACCCCTTTAAACAAACTTATTACTTGTAGCTGCGTCAGCGTCGATCCGTAATCTTTATTCATAGCCTCCAAAATATCCCGCGTTTGGAAACAAACAGCGTCCAGAGTAGCCCTTATAATGTGGCTGGAATTTGTATCTTCCGTAATACCAACAATAGTTCTAAAATTCAAAAATTAAAACACAATTACCGTGGGTATCACTTTATGTACCCTCTAGCTTCTTGTTGCCAGTAGGGAGCATAGAGTCCGCTGAAAGCCGGCACGAAATAGACCTCCCCACTTTCAATAAGAGCGGCTCTTTCGGCCAAACCTTGAGCATCTCCAAAGGTTGGTAGAATTGTTAAATTGTCCCTCAACCAGTTGATGGCAGCCCCCGCGATAGCAACCGAGCCTTCGAGGGCGTACATGGGCTGCTGGGTTGGCCCCAGCTGGTACGCTACGGTGGTTAGTAAGCCATGGGAGCTATCTACTTTCACTTTACCCGTGTTATACAACAAGAAGCAGCCAGTTCCATAGGTGGCTTTGGCCTAAACAAAACACAAGTAGGCTGTGATTAAACGTCAACAGTGTCAAACAAAAATGTATAGGTACCTGTCCTCTGTTCAAACATTGTTGACCAACTAAAGCGGATTGCTGGTCCCCGAGACACCCAGCGATGGGGACGCTTCTGAGAGAGCCCTCTTTAACGTACCCATACACCTCCGCACTTGATTTAATTTTCGGTAAGATGGAACTGGGTAGTTCGAAGAAATTTAAAAGGACGGGGTCCCATTTCAGGGTGTCTATGTTCATGAGCATTGTTCTGGACGCGTTGGTCACGTCGGTGACGTGAACACCACCATCCTTGCCCCCCGTGAGGTTCCAGATTAACCATGAATCAACCGTTCCGAAGAGACAGTTGCCTGCAACCATCGCTTTCTTCACTTTGGGGACGTTATCCTGGAGCCACTTGACTTTAGCGGCACTGAAGTAAGGCGACATCGGGAGGCCGCACAGCGGCTTCAGGTAATTTTTGTTTCTAGTTTTATTGGGGACTTTATCCAATAATTGATCGACTGTGGTTGAAGTCCTCATATCTCTCCAAACGATCGAGTTATACAAAGGTTCACCCGTTGTTTTGTCCCACACGATCGTGGATTCCCTCTGGTTGGTTACCCCCACGGCCACAATATCGTTGACGCTCCCACCCAGAGCTATCAGTTTGTCTATGGTGGCTTCGATGCATGTCTTCACAATCTCTAGGATTTCCAGCGGGTCCTGCTCGACCCATCCTTCCTGCGGGAAACTGGTGGATAATTCCTTCTGGTGTGCCGCCACCACGTCTGCACTTCCGGCTTTGAATAGGATGAACCTTGCACTTGATGTGCCTTCATCGATGGCACCTACGAGGGGTCCTGTGTGCATGTTGCGTTCACCAGCTTTAACCTTACCTCTGAGTTGTGATGGTTGTTCGTGCGGGTTTTGTCTACGTTTAATCTGTTATCTAACATGTTTGACCTTTGTTCAGCGACAATTATTGTTAATTATTAAACCATTTGAGTTTGCTTACCAGGAAACCACTTGGCCGCATTTGGAGTTGTATGTAAACAGAGGTGGTAATAATAGATGGAAAGTGATGAATGATGATTGACGAGAGGAGACAAGGGCGATGTTTGTTTTTGCGGTCGTTTAATGTGAAAGGTGAAAGTTGCAAAATTAATTTGCACTTTTTTTTTGTTCTATTATGAATTTGTTAATTTGTTTCAGGTTCTTGACTCCTGTGATAGTTGTGTTATTATGTTTACGAATTCTTAAATTTATTGTTTTGGTTTAAGTCGCTTTTTATTTCTTATCGGTTTATTTGATTGTGGTTGGTTAATTCCTAATTCGTTTGTAATTATAGAGCTATTGCCCTTGATGTAACTTTATGACGAAATTATACTTTAATGTGTGTTTTTTTTTGTTAAACAAGTAAATAAAAAAGTAATTGAGACGTTTTAGTTGTAATCTAAATTGTCTCAAACATATGACCTCGAAAATTTTAAATATTCGAAATTTTGCCTGGTTAGTAGGCAACAAATTATACATCTTGTAATTGGGAGTATTATTTTACGCCGCCAGTACCGTCACGATACCAAAACCTTCCAAGTAATCGGATCGCTAGTTCGCAATAAATCAGTCTAATAAATTTCTACCTTACAATAAAAATAATTCGACTCCTTATCAAGCTAAAGTCACATCTTTTATTGTTATCTCTTGGGATTCTTTGTGTTGATGTTGTACGTCTTAATACAAGCATGTTTACTCACCTACATTACATTAGGTCACAGTTTAAACAGTGATAAGAGCAAAGACTTGAACGCTTTAATATAAACGTAATTTAGTGTTAATGAGGTGAGATCTTGATTTGGGTGTGGAAGATGAGGAGTTCGAAAATCGTCAGATTTGCCATTTTTATCTTGGGTGAGTGAAGTGTACTAGTGTACAGTGTTTTAATAGCGTGGAGTCAATTTTATAAATTCAAAATATAAAATAAACAACACTTACCTGCTCCAGAACATACATTTTTTTAAGATATGACGTCATCGTATAGTAAAATAAATAAAACATATTTTTTTTGCAGTTATACTTCTGGCAATATCGCAGGAAGGAGAATGCAGGAGAAAAATTCTCAAAGGACGAAAAGCTATAACCAGGACCTACTACAGTAAGCCCTAGAAATTTCAAAAAAATCCTGATTTGTCTTCTATTAATATTTCAGGATATTCAGCGATCCCAGCTTGGGCCGTCGTGCTTCTCGTGGGACTCGGACAGCTCATCATTGGCGCGATTTTATTCCTAATTTTGAAATTCTTTGTGCTGGATCAAGTTAAACCTACGCGTTACCTAAGAGCACGAATTTCGCCCTCACCATAAGTTACAAAAATAAAGAAACAAATTCAGTTGTAGAAATCTCGAAATACAAATTTTGTAATTTTGTAATGGGTCTTCTCGAAAAACAAAAAATTAAATAAATATATTAGGCCAATACTAGAACTTTACTTTAATCGCGTCACCACCTGTAATGGGTTGTGATAAAAAAATAAATATTTTTCGAGTGTGGCACCGCACCCAGAAAAACATAAAAAAGTTGTTAAATCTAGCCAATAGTCTTATTTCCTTAGAACTAGACCATATCGACACGATAAGATAAAAATGATATAGATAGGAGAAATTAATTTCTGAATCGACACAGTATTGTGAAGAACAATAGCGAAAATGGCTGTTTCAAAAACCTCCAAAACCTTTGTAATATGTCTTGGTAAGCACACTTAACTTTACTAATAAACTTTCAAAATGAAAGTTTTTTAAATTTTATTTTCAATTTTTAGTTCTGTGTGCGCTACTATCCCAGGAAGTAGAGGCAAGACGAAAAATCCTCAAAGGACGAAGGGCCATAACTCGCACGTATCTAAGTGAGTGCCATTTTTCCCTTTTAAAAAATATAACTTGGTAACGCTTTTTCAAAATTTTTTGTTTCCAAAAATAACTCATTTTTATTCTTATCACTTATCAGATGTGAATCAGACGCAATTTCAAAACATCGATGATTCTCGCTTCTGCGTAATAAACGATGATTAAGTGTTTGTTTTGGTGTGAAAACGCTGATTATTTTTTTATTTTAAGGGGATTCGCCAATACCGGCTTGGGCAGTAGTAGTACTCGTAGGAGTTGGAGAAATAATTGTCGGGGTCGTAGTCTTCTTTATTATGAAGAAAGTTGTTATCGACCCGCCTCTGGTCGGGACTTACACTCCAGCGCATATTGAAGAACCTTAAATTTATTATTTGTAAACGCATTCCACGCCACCTTTAGTTAAGCTCGCATACGAATTCATGTTATCTGTGTAACTTTTTTTTACAGAATGTAATTAGTTTATGTATTAATGAAAAATAAATAAAAGAAAATAAAATTAAACGATGTCTGAAAAAAAAAACGAAGATCAATAAAGGAAATATTAAATAACTCAGATCTAAAGCAGCGAAAATTTTATATTAATACGAGTTAAAAAATACGAAATTTCCATAAATAACAGAAAAAGTAAATGCCAAAACGCCCAAACTGTCTTCATTTAGAATTACAGTACATAGCACATGTTGTAGAAAACTGTGACTGCACTGCATAAAAAGTTACATTTGCAATACTGATTAACCATTTATTATAACTTAGGGGTCAAATAATGAAGAAAGACCAACACATTTTCTCAAATGGTGGGTTATCAAAAAAAAAAAAATTAAAGTCAAAAATCAGTACAACTCAAACATAAAAAAGACAATCAAATTTATACCTAAAAGTAGATTAAATTTCTTACAAAAATAACATCGGGAATAATCTAACATGAATAACAAAATATCAAAAAAAACTCTAGCGTTAATCACTATCCATGTTGATCTCTTTCAGTTTCTCCCAATTCAGATCAACGATCAACGTATGGTTGTTATGTTGTTTAACCGTAACAGTCACAGGCGCATACAAATCCCTGTCTAAAGCCGACCATCCTGTATACTACACCAAACCATCAGACCCCAACTAAAACTCAACCCCCTATACTCACAATCGACGTCGTCTTGTGCCTAATTTTCCCCTCCTCCTCGAACGGTTCGTACTTCTGCAGCAGCGCCTTCCCGTCCACTCGCCAAATACACGGATGCTTCTTAGGATCCCCTACTTGCGCATCTTTTTTCAAAATCAAAAACGACCCAGTCTGAAAGCAAACATAGAGAAAGGATACCTTCCTTATGCTGGCTTCCCCTACTTACCGAATAGTCTTTAGAATTTATTGTTTTCGTCGACGTCTTCGTCGGTTCCGGCGTCGACGACGAATCCGAGTTAACTTTTTGCTTCTTGTTCACGCCGTTCCGTTTCCGCGGCTTGGGTTCTTCGTAGTCGCTTTCGCTGCTCGATTCGGACTTCAGTCGGGGTTTTTTGCTTACTCTAGACGATGTTCGACGGGTGGTTTTGCGTACCTGAAGCGCCAAAAATGGAATTACGGAAAACGAAAACGAAGAGAGTGGAAAAATTACTGGTTCTAGTTCCGATTCAGAGTTCCACTCGGAGCCCGAACTTTCGTACACTGGAGGGTCGTCCTCGTTTTCGGAGAAGTCGGCTTTACTCATTGTTGGGGCTTTGGGTTGTTTTTAACGGATGTGTTTGATTTAGCAGGTGTAAACAATCAGCAGACGAGATTCGGCTACAAGTAAAAATACGACTGAAGTAGCGGGGTTTCGCTGGTTCGATTATTATCAACTGGGAAATTATTTTATTTCGTTGGAAATAAAATGGAACTGATGGTTCAGCGGTCAAACTTACCATAAAAATTAAGCAAACTTTACCCATCAGCATCAGGGAAACATACCGCCATGTTACTTACATCAGTCACTAATACCAGTGGGGGAAAATCAAATTCCCTAGACTAGATCACCCCCCCCAGATTTACAGGGTCGGATCAGCTTGAATCGAGCCCGTTTTTCAATTTCCATTTTTACACAAATTTCACTCCGGGTACTACGATCGACAATAAAAATAAGACATTTTCTTTAATAAGTATTTACAAATAACACATCTTAACACTTTAGTGTTTTCTATAAACATGTTCGAATTTACTAGCCCCTACTGGCAATCAAACTGGCTCTCTTGGCATCTACACACTGTTGGAAGGCCTGTACGAGTTTGGAACAATTCATCGGCTCATTAGAATGTTCTTTATAACATTTCAAAACGGCATTCTTTGCATCCTGACATGGGGGCAGCTCATTTTTTTGCGTTTTCGGTTTGTCCTTAACGTCCATTTCGGCCATCTACAAATAGTTCATCACAACCTTGTAACTACAAAGCGCCCACCTTACAGCCTTCTGGTATTCACTCTCTAGAATGTCGTTGATCGCCTTGTGATTGGCTTGCTGATTTTTGAGCCTATTTTCCCAGTAATGATCGTTCTTTTTCAGTTCGGCTACATTAGCTTGTCTTAGTTGCAAGGATGTGACGTTGGGTTCGTACAAGAACAGTGGTTGGTTCACTAGAGGGGGCTGTTGTGGGGTTGACTGCGGCACCGGTTCCGGGACCGCTGGTTTCGCTTCTAAACAACAACAAACATTATGTAATCGGTTGCTAAAAAAGCGCTGACGTTTAGCTATTTTTGGAAAGGTTTTTCGCGATTTAATATCCGAAAGAGTAAAACCGTCGGGCGTTGCTTTATCGATTGGATTTGGTGGAAGTTTCGCGAAAAGGGTGAGAGAGTGAGGTTATGTTTTACCTTGACTATTTTTAATGCGTTGGACGACATCGTCGGATACTTTTATAACACTAGTTGGGTCGTCATTTTCCACTGTTAATTTTCTTGTTCTACTTTGGTGTCCACCCATTTTAAAGCAAGGGAAAATATTTTCCAATTTTGACAACTCGAATTCACCTTTCGTGCATGACAGAGGGCGGCAGATGCGCGGGTCTACGGTGCCACTACAAACCGGGACAAGCTCGCCAATTATATTCAAGCGCTGAACCACATGACGGTAAATGACGCCTGTGATTGGCTACCGAGTTTCGTGATTTGGTGAAGTGGCCCAGATCTTGGCAATTTAAGGACCGGATTGATTTAATTTCACGTTACTTTTTTTGTTAGTTTATTATAAATCGTGCAAATTCTTTACATCTATTAAAGGATCCACCATATCAAAAACATTCCTATACTTTGAACTCCGTCTCGCTATGTCGTACGCCGTCTCTTTGCTCACATTCTTTAATTCTGGTTTAATATACGGATGCATTAGTAGCAGCTGCACCACATCGTAGCAGGCCCCATGCGACGCCGCAATGTGCAAAGGGGTTTGCCCTCCTTCCGAAGGCGCATTCACGTCAGCCCCTTCCGCTATCAAAACCTGAGCACACTCGATATTATTCCACTGACAACAAGAGTGCAGCGGCTCCCACTGCATTTCGGTCTTGGCGGCAATATTGGCCCCATTTTGCAACAAATATTTGACGACTTCCACATGATTACCGTAGCAGGCCCGGTGTAGGGGTGTATAACCTTCTTTATCAGTTACATTGGCAAGAGTTGGGTCTTGCTCTAACAGAGACTTGACTTCGTCGAGTTTGCCATTTTCGGCGGCTGAGAGTATCTGTTTGGGGTTTTCTTCTACCGGAAAAAAAATTACATGGGGGCTGCATATCACCAACTTGAGAAATACCTGAGGGGTTTCTTTCCGGGTCTATGTCTTCCTCGTCGTCTGAAAAACCACTAACGAGGAATTTGTCGACGTTTTTGTCCGTCATTTGCAGTTTTTTGTCCCAATTTTGAAATTAAATGAGGTTATGTCATTTTTACCAAGAGGCGGTGTTGCCAAATCTTAACACGTTTAATTATTAAAATAAAATCAATCAGTTGTTTATGGTGATCTTTTGACTTGCGGTTACCTAAAGCTTTAGTGACGGATTTAGACTGATTGTGTGAGTGACGAGATTTTTTTTTTAAATAAAAATTACGTAAGGCGACAACGTGACATCACCGCTCAGTTTGACAACTGACATAACGACAGTAGAATGACAGATGATTCTATTTTATATTTGCAAATTTTTAATTAAACAAATAAAAACAAAAACGCCAGATCAATGAAACAGTAATTTTTAGCAACCCACTAGCACTAAGAGTCATCAAAATGGTAATGAAACGATTTTCGAAGGTTTGACTCTCGATTGAGACGGGTTGTCTTTCAGGCGTACTGCAGCAAAGGCAGAGTTTGTATAACGTTGAAGAAGCCCAGCCAGCTTAAAACCGAGGTGGACGTGGCGGCTAAAGAAAACTTCGACTTTGCGGAAGCCCTGGAGTCCGTCTACCCCTTGCTCGAGATTGTTTTCAGTTACTTGGACTACAACGACTTACAAACGGCCGCTTTAGTCAAGAAGTCGTGGCAAGTCACTGCGAGTAGGATTCTCGAGAAGCGAAACGACGTGAGCTGGATCACCGTGTTTCGGAAAAAGAGACAAAGTTACGTGCACTATAGCAAGAATTATCTTTACAATAACATTAGTTTAGGGATCATTTTATTTAATTATCGTGCGGTGTCTCTGAGTGATTGCTTTTGCTGTCATGAGGACGTGTCTTCAAGAAAGATTAAGTGTAAGTTGGTGGTTGGGTTTTGATCGTGACTGAGGTTTGGAAAAGTTTCAGATTTTCTAGCCGACCAAGTGGTTCCTAGTGGAACCGAATATTGTGTGATTGGGTGCCCGGGAGTGGCTTCCATGTTCTCCAAGCAAGTGATAAACAAATCTAGCGTACCTCTTTTCGACGGGTGTTTTATACCTCCAATCCCCAACGTGCGGGTGTCCATGTTTTACTGCAACCCCATTCACATGAGGGATGACCACATTAAACCAAACGAGAGACTCAAGTGTTTGTTGTTGTTTTGCAAAATTGACCTCGAAGAGAGCGTCTACGACATCTTCGAGCACCTTCTCCCTGAGTAATTTATGCATAATGTTTTGTCAAAAAAATAAATTAATTTTGTAGGCGAGACTTTCGGAGCGTCGCTGTCGGCGGCGGCATAATTCGCAGGACCGTGCTCTTCCCCCACCCCCCCGATTGTCTCAAGATCCGCAAATGCGGCACTTTGTGCATAACTTTCGCCGAAGACATGTACTGCGAAAGCGCCTTCGACACGTCCTCCGTCGTCATAAACGGTAACAATCTGTCGTCGGAAGACTTTGAAGACGAGTTGTTGAAGGTACAAGCGACAGCTGTGTGTTTTCTGTATTGAGGTTTGGTTTCAGTTTAAAAATAAAATCGTAATACGGAGCAACAGCATGGCGTTTAGAATATGTTGTTCCGCGAAGATGCGCAAGAACCACGAGTCGCGCATTTTTAACAAGGTTTTCCCTCTCACCCCTCTTCTGGGTTTGGAAGCCGAGGGCGAAATCGGGTGGAATTGCTTCAATCTTCCGGATTCCGGCGATGGTACGTATAGTCGGGAGGGTTGACTGTGGTGGGTGAGTGTGGAAATTGAAATTGCAGAGTTCGAAGGGCACAAGCCGAAGCGAGCGAGGGAGGGCTATCCCACGGTGCAACATCAGTGGTCGACTGTGATAGTTTTTGTTACTTGGGGACACTTGCTGCAGAATCGGGTTTGATGACTTGTGTGGGTGAAGATAACTAGGGCGTGATATCACTGAATATGAGCTAGATATACTTAAGATTTTATTAGAACCGTACTAGCGTCAGAATAACAACGTTTTATACGATTGTCGTTATACAGATAGTACAATTTTATTTTCGTTTATGTGAAACATAAGCGCGATCTTTTGCAGAGCTGAGTGCGGGTTTTTGCTCAATAACGGCATTCAGGAAGAATACCAAACTAACATTCAGTTGTACTGAAGTGTTCATCATTATTTTTTAGTTCACATTGTGTATTAGCATTTATGCTGTATAAGTGATTTTGTGCAAGAATAAAGATATACAACATTATTTTGTAGTTTTGTGTTTTTAATATTTGTTAAAGATTTAAGAGATAAAGACGATAAAGAGAAAAATTTTACAAAGAAGTAAAAATTGGTCTTTAATTGAAAAAATTTAGCAAAAAATGTGGAACGCTTCACGATTTTGCGTGTCATCCTTGCGCAGGGGCCATGCTAATCTTCTCTGTATCGTTCCAATTTTAGTATATGTACCGCCGAAGCGAGTACGAGGGGTGGTTTATTCCCGTCGTATATAAACTTATCCTTGAACGCCTCGTGTTAGTGAGATGTAACGTACAGTCGAGTTTTTTATAGTTAGAAGTAATTTCACCACGAAAGGGTACAGGGGCGGGGCTTAAGTTGCGCGACTTGTAGCCGGGCCATCAGTGGCGTAACATCGATGCATTGAGAAGGGAGGCTCGGCTGAGTTATACTTCTTTCAAAAACAATTAAAAAAAGAGCAATTTCTACAAAAGAATACAGACAACCATTTAATAAAAATAAATTAATTTGTTTGTTAAAAAAATAGACTTACGTAACAATAAATTATGACAATCTATCACACAAAATTTGGTATTTTTAATTATTAAACGAGTTTATAATGTGAGGGATTATAGCATGAGTAAAAAATTCACGAACCCCTCATTATAAACCAGTATCATATACTATTTTATAGTCGACTAGTCTTAAATCAACAGTTAAATCTACGGAAGCGTAGAATGGTCAGGTGGAATTTTTTTTGGAAAAAACTCTACATGCCGAGATTAAACTCGACATATCGAGAAAAAACTCGACATGTCGAGAAAAAACTCGACATGTTGAGAAAAAACACGGCATGTCGAGAAAAAACTCGACATGTCGAGATTGAACTCGACATGTTGAGAAAAAACATGACATGTCGAGATTAAACTCGACATGCCGACATTAAACTCGACATGTTGAGAACAAACTCGACATGTCGAGTTTAATCTCGACATGTAGACTTTTTAATGACATGCCAGTAGTAAATGCGTGTCATTAGGCAACTTTCACCACTAATTACCCGCGCCTCTAATTACCAGCGCCTTAATAACTAGCCCACCAAAATGACCACTGTATTAAAAGTGCCGCTTGCTCTAATGAATTAATTAATCTATATTAATAAAAATGAATCGCCGAAATGTATGTACGCCCATAACTTCAGAACGGCTGCACCGAATCGGACGATTCTTTTTTTTACGTGTTCCTTATCGTCAGGACAAGGTTTATATGTAAGAAAATTTATAAAAAATAAGACGGCTAAAAGATTAAAAAAAAAATAAAAATTTTGCATGGGAATCTCCACTTCGAATGAATTTGAATAGTTGGCGTTTCTGTCGCCTAACTGACGTGTCATACAAAACTATTTCTTCCGTGCGATTGTGAAAAGTATTATTGCATTTTAAGTCGTTGTTTGTTTTTTCGTAACAAGAAACGTCGTTTATTTTAAGAAAAGTGTTCGTTAAAGTGAATTTAGTTACGCATTGCGAAAGTTTCTTATTAATTTTGATCTGCCAATTCTGCCATTCTATTTACGTATATTCACTTTGTTGGTTTCGACAAAACCTCAAACTTTACCGTTATTCGAGGATTTAATTTGAAATTTTCAATATTTTAAAATTCTCAAGACAAAATTTACAGATTTGATTGACGGTGAAAATAATTCTGTGTCGTTTTATGCCGAGAAGACGACAAGCTGACATACGTCCACGAAGTCAATCAAATGTGCGACGAACTACCTCAGGTGCAAATCGCAATGATTTATTTCATGGGTAATTCGGATACGGAAGTTGATCAGCGTTGTGCTCATAATCAACATAATAGTCAAACATTGAAGCGAGACATTGGGTGGTATGAATAAAACTGAGTAGATACTCATATTCGAAGTACGAAGTACCTACTTGCAAACATTGTATCTCCCCGGACACAAATTGAACATCTATGTGTTTTGTGAGCATTTAATCTAAAAATGAGCATCGGTGTGGCAAATGACTATTTCTCTTCATAAATAATAAATTAAATGTAATATATTTTTGTTTCCTTAATAATACAAAGTTAACAAAGTTAGTTGAGTTACAAAAGTCTCTTTTGCTCCACGTTGGCCACCAACGAGCGATTTTCAAGATTTTTGTGAAACTTTGCTGGTTTTGAATTTGAATTTTCTGTCCTCGATAGTTGATGCTCAGCAAGAACCACGGGAAGGTCTGGAGCAGATCTCGCTAGGAAAGGAGAGGGCTAGGATTTGTTAATGAGGGATAGAACGTTATACAGTACAATACAATGGAAATACAATACAGGTACCTACAATCTAACTACAATACAGAATACACTACAGATACAGATACAATTTAGATACAAAACAAATGCAAAGTTAGTACCCAATTCATCACCGGAAGAAATTGCACCAAAAATTGAGAATGTTGCAAAATGAAAACCCAAGCAAGCACACCCATGGAACTCGGAACGAAATCTATTGGTCGCAACGCTCACACACCCAAGGGAGAACGCAGCCGCATAAATCCAAGGCCGACTGACCTCATCCTTATAGGAGATGCGACCCAGCGTCTAAGGGCCAACAATACCCCCCCAGGCCAAAGCGTCTGACGACATGGAGAATTCAGACTCTGAACCAAAGAATGCACTGTTGCAAAATTAAAACCCAAGCAAATGCACCATGAAAACAAAGCATTTGCACCACTGGAGCTAAATTGGCAAGACCCAAGTTAAGTTAGTAACACATACAATATACAGTACAAAATGCTTAAATTACATAAGTTACAATATACAAATTTCTCCACGTTTGCCGCCAAAGAGCGATGACTTTGCTCGCTCGTTGCTGTTGCCCAGCAAGAACCAAACAATACGAGGAGGTCTGGAGTGCGTCTTGCCATTAAAAGAGAGGACTAAGGTTTGATAGCATGGGTGAAGGACACCGTATTTTGTAAATTTGGACGCCGTATTTTAAAAATGATGAATACGGTATTTTGTGAATTATGAACGCAGTACTTTGTATATTCTAAAGGCGTACTTTATCAGTCCTGAATGCATGTTATTAACAACATATTTAAAAAAAAATCGGGCATTTTTGGAAAAATATCCACTTTCCTTCAGAGCACTTAACAAAAAACATTTTCGCTAATATTTATTAACAATAAATTAGAAATTCGCGAACATGTGCTACTTTTAACCCAAAACGAAGCTCCAATGTTGCTGCTACCAGACCGGAATCAAAACTGAACAGAAAGGATCGAAAATGTGACCTTTTATCTGGTAGCTCACGTGACAGTGACATCATCGTACGTCACGATGAGATTGCAAAAATTATTTTTCATATTTTAGATCAGAAATTGTACATTTTCGGGGTTAATGCAACAACGTTTAAACAAACCAATTTGTTTTTACTAACCTCGTGTTCTTAGGAAAACGGATTTCGGTTTAATTATCATATATTGATAGTTATCATATTTGAACATTATGAATTGTATTAATTATGTTTAAATTTTATTTAATTATATCGCGAAAATGTATAGCTTTGACCCTCCAACTTCAATCGTTTCGAAAATTTATCCAAAATGTAAACATTGTCGACTAAACGAATCACGGAATCCGATAAATTAAAACTGAAGTCGTACTTACCCTGTTTTCGGTCCTTTTCGGAAAAATATCCATTTTCGTTCGTGTTCACAGCACTAACACAACATATTTTCCGCAATATGTATTAATAATAAACTAGAAATTCGCTAAAACGCTCCACTTTTACGCCGAAATGAAGCGACGATCTTGCCGCCATCAAACAGAAATTAAAACTGAACACAAAGGACCGAAACACGTGACCTTTATACAAGTAGCTCAGGTGACATTGACGTCATCGTACGTCACGATGAGATTGCAAAATTTATTTTTCATATTTTGGCCGGGAAAATGCACATTTTCGGGGATAATTTAACATTGTTTAAACAAATTGATTTGTTTTTAATAATTTCGGGCTTGTAGGACAACGGGTTTCGGTTTAATTATCATCCATTGATGCTTATCATATTTAAACATTATAAATGATATTAATTATGTTTAAAATTTATTTATTTATGTCGTGAAAATGTATAGTTTTGATCAACCGATTTCAATCGTTTCGAAAATTTTCCCAAAATTTAAATATTGTCGAGTGAACGAATCACAGAATCCGATAAATTAAAACTGAACTCGAACTTACCCTGTTTTCGGTCCTTTTCGAAAAAATATCCATTTTCGTTCGTGTTCACAGTACTAATACAACACATTTTCACTAATATTTAAATATATAAATTAGAAATTCGTGGAAAGAGCCCTACTTTTAAGCCAAAACGGATGTTGCTGCCACCAAACCGAAATCAAAACTAAACGCAGAGGACCGAAAAATGTGACCTTTTATCAGGTGGCTCACGTGACAGTGGCGTCATCGTACGTCACGATGAGATTGCAAAAATTATTTTTCATATTTTCGCTGAGAAATTGTACATGTTCGGGGTTAATTTAACAATGTTTAAACAAACTAATTTGTTTTTGCTAACCTCGTGTTCTTAGGAAAATGGTTTTCGGTTTAATTATCACATATTAATAGTTATCATATTTTTTGTACGACCATTGCTTTTTCGATCATTTACCGTACAGGTTTCCATAGCAGTAAGTTCAGTTTACCGGTTGCTACGACTAACAACTAAGAGGCGAACGGTAAGTAAATTACTTACTGTTCAGCTGAACGGTAAGTAATCCTGCATTCAAGATTTTTTTATTTTAAATTCAGTGCGTGTTCGACTTCGACATTTTCGCTTTCAGAATCACTCATGATTGATATTTTAAGCAAATAAATCACTCACTAAAAGTCGCGGAATGAAAATTAACTCGACATCAAGCCAGATCAAACCTAAATCGACGGCGGTCAAAATGGAAACTGATTTTTAAAATTGTTGTTTATATTAATCGAAACCATAGTAACAAATTTTAAATTAAAAAACG